AACCCTCAAGTAACGGTGCAGGCGGAGCTTAAAACGCGTACAGTGAAGGCCGAGGAAAGGGGGGGCGGGGGAGGAGGTAAGAGGAGCACCAGGAAAGTGGAAGGGGGAGAAAAGGGAGGTGGGGATGAGAGGGTTGAGAGGGTAGTAGCCGGGAATGCAGGTGGGAATGGAGCAAGAAATGCACCGGGGAAGTGTAAGGGAGGCAAGGGGAACAGTCACGGGATGGGAGGCTGCAAGGAGGAGGAGGAAGAGGCAGTGGCAGTGATTGCTGAAGTGCTGAGGAAGAAATTTGGGCCTCAGATTGTGAGAGAGGTAGAGGAGTTGGGGAGCGGGATAAGATTGAGCGAGAACGACGAGAGGGTGGTGAAAGTGAAAGAGGAGGAGGAGGAGGGGGGAGAGGGGGACGATGAGGAGGCGGAGGAAGAAGAGAATGAGGAGGATGCTGAAGAAAAAGCGAGTGAGGAGGACACACCACCCACCACATCTCCTCCCACGCACCCTCCTGGGTTGTACAACCGGCGGGTCGTATCTCCCGCCTCCCTCCTCTCCCTCTACCGCTTCTTCTCCTCCCACCTCGGCATCTCCTCCCCTTCCACTATCGCTTCCCTCCTCACCTCTTACCCGCAACTCCTCCGCTCCAATCCCACCAATGACTTCCTGCCACGTGTCCGCCTCCTCCAATCGTTTGGCATATCGCATGCAGACATCGTTCATGTCACTGAGAGAGATCCATCCTGGCTCCGATCCTCCCTGCCGCGGATTCAGAACAACCTTGAGTTTCTCTTGGCTCATGGCGTCCGCCGTAGCAGATTAGGCTTGGTGCTCCGACGTGGATGGGGCTTACTCCGCAGGGAGGCACGTTCAATGAACCTGGACATTCTGGTGGAGAAGGCAGGGGTTCCTGTGGGCAAGCTGGGTGTGGTTATAGAGGGATGTCCAACCATCTTGACTCGGAGTAATGAGGCAGTGAATGCTCAGCTTGAAAAACTATCAAGCTATTTTAAGGTGGAATTTGGAGGGAAGGTAGAAGCAGATAGCACAAGCCCCCTGAAGCAGCGACTAGACGAGCCGCTTTTGGACACGAGCTACCTAAGCAGGCTTATTTTGAAGCATCCATACATCCTCTCCCGTTCTCCCTATAGCATTGCAGAAAATGTTGCCATCCTCCAGTCCTTCACTCCCCCAGGCACCCCCTCCATTGCGGCCTCTGTGCTTCGGGGTGCCCCCTCCATCTTCAGTCTTACCAAAGAAACTCTTTTAGCTAAGCTTCAGTTCTTTGTGGAGCTGGTGGGGGAGGAGGCAACGGGAAGAGTGGCGAGGAGTCACCCGAAAGTTCTGAAACTATCGAAGGAGAACCTGCAAGGCAAGCTGGCAGCATTGGGTGATCTGATTGGTCGAGAGAGTGCTGTGCGTGTGGTGGCACAATTTCCGACGCTATTAACTTCTAGTGAAGATGTTATAAAGGAGACGGTTAGAGTGCTTGTGCGAGAAGTGGAAGAGGCATTGGAGAGAAGCGGAGAAGGAGGATATGGGAAGCACAGGTTTGGGAAGAATGATGGAGGCAATTGCTTGGTAGAGACAAATGATTCCCAAGCATATGACTCAGCATTTAGTGTCAAGAGATGCAGGGCTCTTCGGCTGGCGGTAGATTTGGTTGTGAAGTACCCACCGTGTATCTCCTGCAGCTGGAATACGAACCTGGAGCCCAAGCTGGAGTACTTAAAACAGGACATGGGGCTCCCTATAATGGAGGTGCTTGCCTACCCTAAGTTTCTTGGGTTCAGTTTGGATCGGCGAATCAGGCCGCGGCATGTGGCGCTGGTGCAAATGGGATATGAGGTTGTGGCACGCGAGAGGGCTATTTGGACTAGTGTTGGAGGCGGGAGGGGTGTTTCGATGAGAGCTGGGCAACAGAGGAGCAATCTGGGTTCTGTGTCTGACAATGTTACAAATCAGCAGCGTGTGAACATGGATGGGGCAAGGAAAACGGTGTGCTTGCACCAGTTTCTTCACTGTACAGACAAGGAGTTTGAGAAGAAGTTTGGGGTGAAACTGTTGGGCTGGTGCTGATAGGCTTTTACGGCTTCCAGTGTGCTGCAGGCCTCCGAGTCCATGTCTGTGTGTGTCTCTCCACACCAGCCCCTCTCTTCAGATATCGCCATTGCATCAACCACTGTGGTGGGCACGGGGATGGGGAGAAGGAAGCAATAGCTGGTGGAAGGCGATTGTGGCAGGGGCGGTGGGGGGGTCCTGTTATATAGGCTCTGCTTTTTTCTCTAGTTTCTCTTACAACAGGTGCTGGAGGGGAGGGGGAAGGGGTATTAGCAGAATTAGCAGCAGCAGCAGGAGCATGAGCTGCAGGAGGAGGCGGATGGGGATAGTGTGAGTGCTACAGCCTTGTCGCTAGGTCCTTTGTTGCTTCCTGATGGGACCAGAGGGGATGTGGCTGCTACAGCTGCCTCTGCCACAGCTGCCTCTGCTACAGCTGCCTCTGCTACAGCTGCCTCTGCTACAGCCGCTGCAGCCCTCCCCCTGCTGGGCCTGCTGCATCTGTTCCCGTGGGTGGCGGTGTCACCGGCTGTAGCAGAGGAGCTGCTGTTCAGAGGGCTGCTGCTCACGGGTCTGCAAGAGGCTCGGCAGGTGAGAGCTGGAGAGGAGAGGAGCCAGCTGGGTTCTGTGTCTGAGAAAGTGGAGGGGCTAAAGGGGATTGAATCTTGAGTGTAAGAAAGAAAGAGTGAAGGAACGATTGACAGGCAAGAGCAGCAGTGCGAAGGGGAGGATTGCGGCAATGGATCGCTACTTGGGGTGCTTGCAGCAGTTTCTTCAGGGTACAGACGAGCAGTTTGGGGATAAGTTTGGGGCTGAATTGTAAAATTTGAGCTGATATCATAATACCTTTTTGCCTAATGCCGTCTGAAATGTCTCACTAGTCAACAATTGTGGTAAGGTTCTCATCAGGGTTCAGGAGGATGAGGCAAGAAGCAGCAGTGGAAGAAGGTTTTCTGTCCTTCCTCCCATGAGGACGACATGTCAGTTAGAACACCTATAACAACAGTACGGTGTAAGATATTGTATGTACTTGTGTGACTGAGAGATGGCGTCAATGCGTATGCATGGATACCTAAAATTTTGAGTTACTTAGGTATGAGTGCTTGTGTAAAATTGGTTTTTTGTGAGAGCGAACACATAACATAATGGATCGTATAGCGGGGATCATGGTCCGCACGGCATAAGCCACACACGTATTCCCCTTCCGATATGCTGGCGCACACAGCTTCAGTAGGCGGAATTTGTAGTCGCCAACTGGGGATTAGTACGGAAGTAAGCGCGTGGTGCAGTTGAAGCCCTGTGATCGGACGGGCTGTGACATTGCATGTTAGCCGTAGATGTCCAAAATTGGCTTGGACGCTTTCTCTCGTAATAGTTCTATGCATTTTCTATGGTTTCTGAATGGAGCTGTAGGCGAAAGCCGCGTTTGGCGATTTTCTGACGAGTTTCTTGTAACCTGCGAAGGAATTTATCTTGAGCGATTCTTGTGATACGAGCCGAGTGACCCTATGCGACGAATCCAGGGTCGCATGAACAATCATTTTTAAGCATGTGGAGCCGTAAGCGAAAGCCGCGTTTGGCGAAGATCGAAGACGAGTTTCCCGCCGGCGAAGGGGACCGAAACATCCAGGAAACCAGCCAGACATTGAAGTCATCATTACATGGATCACCAGCGGCACCATCTGCGTCAGCAGCAACAGCAGCAGCATCCGAAGCAGCAGCAGAAGCAGCAGCAGCAGCCGCAGCCACAGGCGAAGCAGCAGTGGTACCATCAGCTATTCCTACTAGTAGTCTAGTCAACCCAGCAGTCCGGCCAGAGAGCGTTGCTGAACGAACTAGGGAGAGAGCAGACGTTGGTTCTCAACACGCGGAACGAGCTACTGCTGATGACCTTCCAGAGGTCAGGTCTACAGCTATAGGAACTGGTAACACTGGGGGACTGGACGATTCTGGTGGGGGTACTAACCCCATGGTTCTAGACAAAAAAATTGAGATTAGCGGTGCCAGAACTGGCGAAGGAGGAGATAGCGAGCAGGAGCATGAAGCAGGGCCTTCTTCCGCTGCTGCTGCTGACGATGCTGCTGCTGCAGCTGGTGTTGGTGGTTTTGAATTTCTGTCAGAATCCGCCGTTCGTTACGTCCCCCTGGCTTTCGATATAGTCACATCCGGTTTGGAAGACGAGATCAGCTTGCTGGAGCGACTTGTGGCGAACCATCTGATACTGTCACAATTCGAGCTCGCCAGAGCGGCTGTCAGGGACCTTGCACGGCTCAGCCCCTCCCGTGCGATTTCTCTGCTCAGGAATGTGATTGTAACGGGGGGAGAGATTCCCGGGGCTGTTTGGTCGGCATCTGTCCCGTCTGCCGCCCATCTGACGTGGCTATGCGTTGGGGAATACCGAGAACTGTGTAAAGTGCATGGAGAGAGGGGAGAGCGAGGAGAGCGAGGGGATTGGGAGAGGGAAGAGAGGGGAGAGAGGGGAGAGAGGGGAGAGAGGGGAGAGAGGGGAGAGAGTGGGAGGGGATTGGGTGAGGGGAGCAGAGAGAAGAGGCTCTGAAAGGGGTGATTGGACGGGTGCTGCTGCAGCTGATGAGGACGGACAGGGAGAGGATCAGGAGTGGGTGGAGGAGGGAGGACACGGGGGTAGGATGGGGGAAGAGGAGGAGGAGGAAGGAGAGGCGCGAGGAGGGAGGGACACAGGCGACTGTTTGGAGGAGGAGAGGGTGATGGTGGATGAAGCTGAATTTGACCTGTATCTGGCCCAGCTCTCACTCCAGGTGCATGAATCTGCATCCTCAGAAAGAGTGGATCGTCCTGTAACGCGTACAGGCGAGCAGGAGGGCTTATCTGGAGCAGGTAGAGGAGTGCCAGAGCGAGAAGGGGAGGAGGGAGGAGAGACGGAGGGAGAAGGGAAGGAGAGAGAAGAGGAGTCTTTGAGGAGAGGGGGAAAGATGCGTGCAGCAGTCACACTGCTGCATGACCGATCGGCCTGGGGCCTTCCCAGTAGACCCCTGGTTGTGGGGAGCAGATGCAGCGCCAGTGAAATAGGGAAAGAGGCGAAAGAGGCTGTGCTGGCAGGGTCAGCAGCAGGGGCGAGTGAGTCAGGAAGGGCAGCAGTGGTTGAAGAGCGGGAGGAAGCAGCAGCAGAGCGGGACCAAGGCCATGTTGAAACAATCAGTCCTGATGCAACACCTGTCGGCGTCTCATTGGTCGTTGGGGAGCACCCCGAGATCCTGGACGAGCTTTCCAGGAATGTTCTGCGGCAGAGGAGTAGGAGGGGGAGGAGGAGGATGACGGAGATGACTTCAGGAAGAAAGAGACCTGAAATTGAGGGTAATTTACCCTCGCAATCCTGGCCAGAAGGAGTGCCGGCTGTGAGATGGGTGCAGGAGGCTCATCTGGGGGCGGTTGCGTCTCTGCTAGAGGCAGGGGACGTGAAGGGAGCAGCTGGTCGCCTGCGGTACCTGAACATAGAATACGGGGTTTTGGAGGAGCATCTGTACAGGTGAGCATGCGATGTGTTGAGTTGAGATACATTGGTTGGTAGTACCAGGTTCAGGGTTGAGGTTTTAGGGGGTTAGGAAAAGCAGCGGGCCGTCTGCGGTACTTGAACGTGGAGCATGGGGTTGTGGAGGAGCAGCGGTACAGGTGAGCATGCTCCATCCTCAGGTGCCCCATCCAAAGGCGTTTCAAGATTCGAAAGGAAAGAGCAATGATTCATCTGCGGTGGTACCTGAACGTAGCGCGCACATGGTTTTGAAGGAGCAGCAGTAAGTACAGTACAGGTGTGCATTGTGTATACAGTGCATTGAATTGTTCTCACTTCAAGTGTGATCTGAGCATCCATGTGTTGTGACTTGCGATTCCAACTCACTTGAACGCTTCTTGTCTTTCCTTTCCCTCCCTGCAGGTCCGCCCTGCACCAGTTGGTGCTTGCACTGCGTCCCCGGATGCCCCAACAAGGTGCCTTTGAGTCAACTCAGATGTCAACTCACTCGTATGCTGCTTATCTCCCCTTTTCCCCCCTGCAGGTCCGTCCTTCACCAGTTGGTGCTTGCACTGCGCCCCCAGGTGCCCCAACAAGCGCCGGCCAGCTCTCCTGTTTGGACGGCAGTGAGGAAGGAAGAGACAAGAATTGCCGTCCAGGAGCTGCTAGCTTCTGGTTCAGTCCGATTGATCAAGCTGTTTCAGGTATTTATGGCAATGATGGCATGATGTCATGGGGTGTGATGTGATGGCATGGGGAAGTAATGACATATGGTGTGATGGCATGGGGCTGTGATGGTGTGGGGTGAACTTCACATTCACGACATTCATCCATGCCCTTTCTGAGTATGGCGTACTTTGTCGTTCCATCCCTCTCCCCCTTGTCCCTTATCATTCCGCCGTTCTCCTCGCCTTTTGGCTTGTTCCCTCCAGACTGTATGGGACGATCACATCCACAGAGAGTCCCAGCGATCCGCCCGCCACTCCCACATCGCCCCTCCGTTGGAGGCCTTACACGCACTGCTGCTGCTGGTACACGGGCAAGCTGGCAGTATCGCTGATCCGGGACTGATTGAAGTGAAAGAGGGTGAAACGAATGACGCCAAGGGCGAAGACGTCGAAACAGAAGCGAATGGAACGAGTGAAGTGGAAGGGGAGGGAGAGGTAGGGGGAGAACCAGGGGATCGAACGGGACATACAATGGGCGAGATGGGAGATGGTGGGAAGCACGAGATGAGAGAGGGTGTGAGGAGGGAAAGTGTGGAGGAGAGGTGTGTGTGGGAGCTTGTGGAGCATACGAGGGTGGAGAGGCGGGTGGTGGTGGGGAGTGAGCTGGAGGGAGCTCTGGCTGCTGTGCATGCTGGGCAGTTTTCCAAGGCTAACCATGTGAGTGTTTTGTGCAAGGGATGTATCTGACCAATCTCAGGAAGAGCGCTTTTGAGTCGACTCAAAAGCAGGGATGTATCTGACCAATCTCAGGAAGAGCGCTTTTGAGTCGACTCAAAAGCAGGGATGTATCTGACCAATCTCAGGAAGAGCGCTTTTGAGTCGACTCAAAAGCAGGGATGTATCTGACCAATCTCAGGAAGAGCGCTTTTGAGTCGACTCAAAAGCAGGGATGTATCTGACCAATCTCAGGAAGAGCGCTTTTGAGTCGACTCAAAAGCAGGGATGTATCTGACCAATCTCAGGAAGAGCGCTTTTGAGTCGACTCAAAAGCAGGGATGTATCTGACCAATCTCAGGAAGAGCGCTTTTGAGTCGACTCAAAAGCAGGGATGTATCTGACCAATCTCAGGAAGAGCGCTTTTGAGTCGACTCAAAAGCAGGGATGTATCTGACCAATCTCAGGAAGAGCGCTTTTGAGTCGACTCAAAAGCAGGGATGTATCTGACCAATCTCAGGAAGAGCGCTTTTGAGTCGACTCAAAAGCAGGGATGTATCTGACCAATCTCAGGAAGAGCGCTTTTGAGTCGACTCAAAAGCAGGGATGTATCTGACCAATCTCAGGAAGAGCGCTTTTGAGTCGACTCAAAAGCAGGGATGTATCTGACCAATCTCAGGAAGAGCGCTTTTGAGTCGACTCAAAAGCAGGGATGTATCTGACCAATCTCAGGAAGAGCGCTTTTGAGTCGACTCAAAAGCAGGGATGTATCTGACCAATCTCAGGAAGAGCGCTTTTGAGTCGACTCAAAAGCAGGGATGTATCTGACCAATCTCAGGAAGAGCGCTTTTGAGTCGACTCAAAAGCAGGGATGTATCTGACCAATCTCAGGAAGAGCGCTTTTGAGTCGACTCAAAAGCAGGGATGTATCTGACCAATCTCAGGAAGAGCGCTTTTGAGTCGACTCAAAAGCAGGGATGTATCTGACCAATCTCAGGAAGAGCGCTTTTGAGTCGACTCAAAAGCAGGGATGTATCTGACCAATCTCAGGAAGAGCGCTTTTGAGTCGACTCAAAAGCAGGGATGTATCTGACCAATCTCAGGAAGAGCGCTTTTGAGTCGACTCAAAAGCAGGGATGTATCTGACCAATCTCAGGAAGAGCGCTTTTGAGTCGACTCAAAAGCAGGGATGTATCTGACCAATCTCAGGAAGAGCGCTTTTGAGTCGACTCAAAAGCAGGGATGTATCTGACCAATCTCAGGAAGAGCGCTTTTGAGTCGACTCAAAAGCAGGGATGTATCTGACCAATCTCAGGAAGAGCGCTTTTGAGTCGACTCAAAAGCAGGGATGTATCTGACCAATCTCAGGAAGAGCGCTTTTGAGTCGACTCAAAAGCAGGGATGTATCTGACCAATCTCAGGAAGAGCGCTTTTGAGTCGACTCAAAAGCAGGGATGTATCTGACCAATCTCAGGAAGAGCGCTTTTGAGTCGACTCAAAAGCAGGGATGTATCTGACCAATCTCAGGAAGAGCGCTTTTGAGTCGACTCAAAAGCAGGGATGTATCTGACCAATCTCAGGAAGAGCGCTTTTGAGTCGACTCAAAAGCAGGGATGTATCTGACCAATCTCAGGAAGAGCGCTTTTGAGTCGACTCAAAAGCAGGGATGTATCTGACCAATCTCAGGAAGAGCGCTTTTGAGTCGACTCAAAAGCAGGGATGTATCTGACCAATCTCAGGAAGAGCGCTTTTGAGTCGACTCAAAAGCAGGGATGTATCTGACCAATCTCAGGAAGAGCGCTTTTGAGTCGACTCAAAAGCAGGGATGTATCTGACCAATCTCAGGAAGAGCGCTTTTGAGTCGACTCAAAAGCAGGGATGTATCTGACCAATCTCAGGAAGAGCGCTTTTGAGTCGACTCAAAAGCAGGGATGTATCTGACCAATCTCAGGAAGAGCGTGTAATAAGGAGGGGCTTGGAAAGATGGGTGGGGAAGAGGTTCGGGAGTGTGCTGGAGGGAGCTCTGGCTGCAGTGCATGCCGGGCAGTTCAGCAAAGCAAACCATGTGAGTCTTCAGCTTATCTCAGACCCGTGCCCTGACCAAACCCCTTGTCTTGTCATGCAACCAATGGCTCTCACACCCACATGTTCACTTCCTTCCTCATAAACCTCTCTATTCAGTTCGCAAGGGTTTTTGGTTCAGGGTATCGGGTTTAGGGCTGGTCTAACCCCCCTTTCTAAATCCAGCTCTCATGCTGGATGTGCGTGTTTTTTTCGGCTTTAAGGTCATCTTCCTCACCTCTCCCAACCCCCATTCCCCTCCCTCCCTGCAGATCCTCCGACTGTGTCCCCCTCTCCGCCTTCTCACCACACTAATCTTCTGGGACCTCGTAGGGCCTTCCCACCCTGCCATCCGCCTGCGTCTCCTCTGGGCTCTCTGGCCCCTCCAGTCCTCCTTTTGAGATGTCTCAAAAGTCCTCTCTCCCCCTCCTTCCCCCCTTCCCTGCAGATCCTCCACTTATGCCCCCCTCTTCGTCCCCTCACCACATTAATCGCATGGGACCTCATAGGGCCTTCCCACCCTGCCATCCGCCTGCGCCTCCTGTGGGCTCTCTGGCGCCTCCAGTCCTCCTTTCGAGACGTCTCTCAAATGTCCTCTCTCTCCCTCCTTCCCCCTTTCCCTGCAGATCCTCCATTTATGCCCCCCTCTCCGTCCCCTCACCACACTCATCGCATGGGACCTCATAGGGCCTTCCCACCCTGCCATCCGCCTGCGCCTCCTCTGGGCTCTCTGGCCCCTCCAGTGCTCCCATGCCCTGCTGAAGGACTGGGAAGACTCCCTACAACATGAAGGTGCTGACTCGTCCCTGCTGCCTCACGAGTCTTCCCAAGATCTGCTGCCAATCAAGCCTCTCGCTGACTGCTCCTGGCCTTCGCAGCAGCAGCAGCTGCTGGAGCATGCTGGGGTGTGCTGCGTTCACCTGATCTACCACGCGCATCTGGCATTCCGCATTGCTGCTCGCCATGCTGCTTCACAGCAGCGGCAGCAGCAGCAGGAGCAACAGCAGCCTAAGCCTTACAACCACCACCCCCAGCTCCATCGTAAGCAGCACCTGAAGAGCCAGCGTCAGCAGCTGCTGACTCCCAAGGCAGTGGCGCGCATGGTGCGAGCAGCCGACCCGTTTGTTGCACGGCTGGCATTGGAGCTGTTGCAGGTGCAGCCGCCCCTTCACGTGCTGCTCTCTCTGGGCGCCCACGGTTTCCAGCCAGGCGAGATCATCCAGCTGCTGCAGGCTCAGCCTGGGGCTGGGTGCAACGTGCTTGGTGGGGCATCTGGCAGGTGAGATGGAGCAGTATGGTGTGGTGCGAGCAGTAGTTGACCCGTTTGCATTGAGGTCGTTTTTGAGGCGCCTCAAAAACGACCTCTGGCAGGTGAGATGGAGCAGTATGGTATGGTGCGATCAGTAGTTGACCCGTTTGCATTGAGGTCGTTTTTGAGGCGCCTCAAAAACGACCTCTGGCAGGTGAGATGGAGCAGTATGGTATGGTGCGAGCAGTAGTTGACCCGTTTGCATTGAGGTCGTTTTTGAGGCGCCTCAAAAACGACCTCTGGCAGGTGAGATGGAGCAGTATGGTATGGTGCGAGCAGTAGTTGACCCGTTTGCATTGAGGTCGTTTTTGAGGCGCCTCAAAAACGACCTCTGGCAGGTGAGATGGAGCAGTATGGTATGGTGCGAGCAGTAGTTGACCCGTTTGCATTGAGGTCGTTTTTGAGGCGCCTCAAAAACGACCTCTGGCAGGTGAGATGGAGCAGTATGGTATGGTGCGAGCAGTAGTTGACCCGTTTGCATTGAGGTCGTTTTTGAGGCGCCTCAAAAACGACCTCTGGCAGGTGAGATGGAGCAGTATGGTATGGTGCGAGCAGTAGTTGACCCGTTTGCATTGAGGTCGTTTTTGAGGCGCCTCAAAAACGACCTCTGGCAGGTGAGATGGAGCAGTATGGTATGGTGCGAGCAGTAGTTGACCCGTTTGCATTGAGGTCGTTTTTGAGGCGCCTCAAAAACGACCTCTGGCAGGTGAGATGGAGCAGTATGGTATGGTGCGAGCAGTAGTTGACCCGTTTGCATTGAGGTCGTTTTTGAGGCGCCTCAAAAACGACCTCTGGCAGGTGAGATGGAGCAGTATGGTATGGTGCGAGCAGTAGTTGACCCGTTTGTTTCACGGCTGGCATTGGAGCTGCTTTAGGTGCAGCCGCCCCTGCACGTGCTGGTGACCCACTGCTTCCACAAAAACGTTTGAAGCGCCTGAAAAGTGAGTGAGTCGACTGAGAGAACACGACTCAAAATTTGTGTTTCGATTCGGCTTCAATGCACCCGCCCTTGCACGTGATGGTGAGTGCCCTGCCCACTGCTTCAGCAAACGTTTGAAGCGCCTGAAAAGTCGGTGAACCTGGGCGCCCACTGCTTTCATGGTCCACCCACACCCACACCAGCTCATTCGCCTGCTGCAGTTCAGGGTCACCCAACCCAGGCTCTTTCCTCTTGTTCGTGCCTCTGCCCGCTCCAGGGACTGGGACGTGGAGCTCCTTCACATGCTGTTCGGCGCCCAGGCTGCAGAGGCTGCCGTGCATGCCATGACAGGGAGTGGCAGGGGAGGAGAGGAAAAAGGAGAGGGAAAGTTGGGGGTGCAGCAGCGTGGAGCAGCAGAGGCGTTGAGCGCGGTTGAGTCGTTTGAGCATCACGCAGCCCAAGTCACCACAGCTGCCCGCAAGGTGAGGAGGAGGAAGGGCAGTAACAGGGTAGGAGGGATCTGAATGACAGCACGTAGGGCAATGAGGCAGCACAGAGATCAGGTGCGTTGTTTGGTTGGTAATCTATCACTGATGTGTGTCATTTTTCTCTCCCTGGATCTCCCTGCGACTCAGATCTGTTTTTGAGACGTCTCAAAAACAACCTCATCACACGTTGTTTGGTAATCCATCACTGATGTGTGTCATTTTTCTCTCCCTGGATCTCCCTGCGACTCAGATCTGTTTTTGAGACGTCTCAAAAACAACCTCATCACACGTTGTTTGGTAATCCATCACTGATGTGTGTCATTTTTCTCTCCCTGGATCTCCCTGCGACTCAGATCTGGATGGGAGTGATTTTTGAGAATTCTCGCGAGTGATTTTTGAGAATTCTCAAAAATCACTCGCAAGGTAATCCATCACTGATGTGTGTCATTTTACTCCCTGGATCTCCCTGCGACTCAGATCTGGATGGGCTACACTGTGCGCTCGCTGCTTCTCACTGCCTCCAACAATCCACCTTCCACGAGCCACAGTCCAGCAGACGAGAATTGCCTGGCAGGTGTTGAATCATTTGATCACTCACCTTGTCTTGTGACCCTCGTGATCTCTTTCACTCTCTGCCTTTCAGATCTGGATGGGCTACACTGTGCGCTCGCTGCTTCTCGCTGCCTCCAACTCACCTGCCACTGAACCACCTTCCACGAGTCACAGTCCAGCGGACGAGGATTGCCTGGCAGCTGTCACCATGGCCCGGCTCCAGCTGCTGGCCAAGCACGATGCTGCTGCTCAAGGTGATGTAGACGCTGCAGCTGGCTCCGCTGCTGATGCTGCTGGTGACAGTGGTGTTGGCGGGTCAAACACTGGTGGTGGTGGTGCTACTGCAGCAGCTGTAGCACCGTCAGCATCCCCAGCAGTAGCATCAGCTCTCCCGGCTGTAGCGCCATCAGCCCCTCCGGCTGTAGCAGTGATGGAGGCTTTGCTGGCGGCTGTAGCCAAGCATATGCCGCCCCAGGGCACAGAGACACACGGCATGACTCGTCCTTTTCTGCTGGACGCGTCTCCGTTGAGCGGCGTGGACAGGCGGGCGGCACAGGCACTGCTGAAGCGGAAGGATGTGGGGGAGGTGGGATCTGGTGGAGGTTGTGGTGGTGCTGCTGCCAGTCCTGCTGCGGGTGGTGCCTCTGGTGCTGATATAAGTGGCGCGGCTGCCACTGGTGCTGCTGCTGCTTCTTCTGCTGCCACTGGTGTTGTTGTTGTTGCTGCTGCTGCTCCTAGCATGACGCAAGTTAAGTCAGGGGAAAAGCAGCTTGGGAACGAGCTAGAGAGGAGGCCCGAAGAGGGCAGGATGGAAGAAACGATTAGCTTTTCGTCCAGAAGGAAAAGGAGGTTGCTCAGTGGAGATGGGGCAGGGGACGAGGGGGAGATGGACACAGGGATGGAAGAGGAGAGATTGAAACAGCGAGGAGGAGGGATTGATGGGAAGGGTGAGGGGCCAATGACAGGAGGAAAGGGAGACGGAGGGACATTAGGGGAGGGCTTGGCTGAACGTGGTTCGGATTCAGATGCTTCGGATTCAGACACTACATTTGACGGTCTAGATGCTGATTTTGCTGCTGAGCTGGATGCTGAGCTGGACGCACAGGCGTCTGACGTGGCAGCGGCGGCAGTGGGAGTGCTGGCTTCTGATTGGAAGCAGAGGGCGCAGGTGGTGCGTGATTGGCTGGACGACTGGCAGTGGCGACTGGCTGTGCTGAAAGCTGATTGGCTGGGTGTTCGTGCTGGGGGTGGGAAATCGGAGGCGGGGGTGTTGCAAGAGGACGAAAATTTAGAGAGAATAATACATGAGGAGGGGAAGGATACATGTTCCACTCCCCGTCCTGAGGAGGGGGAGGGGGAGCACGAACACCCAGCCATACAGGAGGAGGGGGAGGTGGAAAATGAAGACGAAGCGAGTGGTTCTGAGCAGGAGGTTGGCATGGAGGGGGGTGGAAGAAAGGCAGGAGAGGTGAAGGGGCAGGCAGGGAAGTGGCAGGAGCGGTGGCGACTGCGGAGCGATTGGTCGGCATGGGGGTGGCATGAGGTGGTGGCGTGGATGCGAGTGGATCCCTCTGCTCTCGTCTCCTGGTGAGTTACACCATTCTCTCTGGGTCATTCTTTAGGTCTCTGATGTGCCTGTTCTTGTTCCTTGGGACGTCTCAAAAGTCAAAACACAAGGGAGCGATGGCACAAGGTGGTGGCATGGCATGGATGCAAGTGGAGCCTTCTGCTCTCATTTCCTAGTCCGCTCATTCTCTCGGTTCCCCCTGTTCTCCTTGTTCCCCCTGTTCTCCTTGTTCCCCCTGTTCTCCTTGTTCCCCCTGTTCTCCTTGTTCCCCCTGTTCTCCTTGTTCCCCCTGTTCTCCTTGTTCCCCCTGTTCTCCTTGTTCCCCCTGTTCTCCTTGTTCCCCCTGTTCTCCTTGTTCCCCCTGTTCTCCTTGTTCCCCCTGTTCTCCTTGTTCCCCCTGTTCTCCTTGTTCCCCCTGTTCTCCTTGTTCCCCCTGTTCTCCTTGTTCCCCCTGTTCTCCTTGTTCCCCCTGTTCTCCTTGTTCCCCCTGTTCTCCTTGTTCCCCCTGTTCTCCTTGTTCCCCCTGTTCTCCTTGTTCCCCCTGTTCTCCTTGTTCCCCCTGTTCTCCTTGTTCCCCCTGTTCTCCTTGTTCCCCCTGTTCTCCTTGTTCCCCCTGTTCTCCTTGTTCCCCCTGTTCTCCTTGTTCCCCCTGTTCTCCTTGTTCCCCCTGTTCTCCTTGTTCCCCCTGTTCCCCCTGTTCTCCTTGTTCCCCCTGTTCTCCTTGTTCCCCCTGTTCTCCTTGTTCCCCCTGTTCTCCTTGTTCCCCCTGTTCTCCTTGTTCCCCCTGTTCTCCTTGTTCCCCCTGTTCTCCTTGTTCCCCCTGTTCTCCTTGTTCCCCCTGTTCTCCTTGTTCCCCCTGTTCTCCTTGTTCCCCCTGTTCTCCTTGTTCCCCCTGTTCTCCTTGTTCCCCCTGTTCTCCTTGTTCCCCCTGTTCTCCTTGTTCCCCCTGTTCTCCTTGTTCCCCCTGTTCTCCTTGTTCCCCCTGTTCTCCTTGTTCCCCCTGTTCTCCTTGTTCCCCCTGTTCTCCTTGTTCCCCCTGTTCTCCTTGTTCCCCCTGTTCTCCTTGTTCCCCCTGTTCTCCTTGTTCCCCCTGTTCTCCTTGTTCCCCCTGTTCTCCTTGTTCCCCCTGTTCTCCTTGTTCCCCCTGTTCTCCTTGTTCCCCCTGTTCTCCTTGTTCCCCCTGTTCTCCTTGTTCCCCCTGTTCTCCTTGTTCCCCCTGTTCTCCTTGTTCCCCCTGTTCTCCTTGTTCCCCCTGTTCTCCTTGTTCCCCCTGTTCTCCTTGTTCCCCCTGTTCTCCTTGTTCCCCCTGTTCTCCTTGTTCCCCCTGTTCTCCTTGTTCCCCCTGTTCTCCTTGTTCCCCCTGTTCTCCTTGTTCCCCCTGTTCTCCTTGTTCCCCCTGTTCTCCTTGTTCCCCCTGTTCTCCTTGTTCCCCCTGTTCTCCTTGTTCCCCCTGTTCTCCTTGTTCCCCCTGTTCTCCTTGTTCCCCCTGTTCTCCTTGTTCCCCCTGTTCTCCTTGTTCCCCCTGTTCTCCTTGTTCCCCCTGTTCTCCTTGTTCCCCCTGTTCTCCTTGTTCCCCCTGTTCTCCTTGTTCCCCCTGTTCTCCTTGTTCCCCCTGTTCTCCTTGTTCCCCCTGTTCTCCTTGTTCCCCCTGTTCTCCTTGTTCCCCCTGTTCTCCTTGTTCCCCCTGTTCTCCTTGTTCCCCCTGTTCTCCTTGTTCCCCCTGTTCTCCTTGTTCCCCCTGTTCTCCTTGTTCCCCCTGTTCTCCTTGTTCCCCCTGTTCTCCTTGTTCCCCCTGTTCTCCTTGTTCCCCCTGTTCTCCTTGTTCCCCCTGTTCTCCTTGTTCCCCCTGTTCTCCTTGTTCCCCCTGTTCTCCTTGTTCCCCCTGTTCTCCTTGTTCCCCCTGTTCTCCTTGTTCCCCCTGTTCTCCTTGTTCCCCCTGTTCTCCTTGTTCCCCCTGTTCTCCTTGTTCCCCCTGTTCTCCTTGTTCCCCCTGTTCTCCTTGTTCCCCCTGTTCTCCTTGTTCCCCCTGTTCTCCTTGTTCCCCCTGTTCTCCTTGTTCCCCCTGTTCTCCTTGTTCCCCCTGTTCTCCTTGTTCCCCCTGTTCTCCTTGTTCCCCCTGTTCTCCTTGTTCCCCCTGTTCTCCTTGTTCCCCCTGTTCTCCTTGTTCCCCCTGTTCTCCTTGTTCCCCCTGTTCTCCTTGTTCCCCCTGTTCTCCTTGTTCCCCCTGTTCTCCTTGTTCCCCCTGTTCTCCTTGTTCCCCCTGTTCTCCTTGTTCCCCCTGTTCTCCTTGTTCCCCCTGTTCTCCTTGTTCCCCCTGTTCTCCTTGTTCCCCCTGTTCTCCTTGTTCCCCCTGTTCTCCTTGTTCCCCCTGTTCTCCTTGTTCCCCCTGTTCTCCTTGTTCCCCCTGTTCTCCTTGTTCCCCCTGTTCTCCTTGTTCCCCCTGTTCTCCTTGTTCCCCCTGTTCTCCTTGTTCCCCCTGTTCTCCTTGTTCCCCCTGTTCTCCTTGTTCCCCCTGTTCTCCTTGTTCCCCCTGTTCTCCTTGTTCCCCCTGTTCTCCTTGTTCCCCCTGTTCTCCTTGTTCCCCCTGTTCTCCTTGTTCCCCCTGTTCTCCTTGTTCCCCCTGTTCTCCTTGTTCCCCCTGTTCTCCTTGTTCCCCCTGTTCTCCTTGTTCCCCCTGTTCTCCTTGTTCCCCCTGTTCTCCTTGTTCCCCCTGTTCTCCTTGTTCCCCCTGTTCTCCTTGTTCCCCCTGTTCTCCTTGTTCCCCCTGTTCTCCTTGTTCCCCCTGTTCTCCTTGTTCCCCCTGTTCTCCTTGTTCCCCCTGTTCTCCTTGTTCCCCCTGTTCTCCTTGTTCCCCCTGTTCTCCTTGTTCCCCCTGTTCTCCTTGTTCCCCCTGTTCTCCTTGTTCCCCCTGTTCTCCTTGTTCCCCCTGTTCTCCTTGTTCCCCCTGTTCTCCTTGTTCCCCCTGTTCTCCTTGTTCCCCCTGTTCTCCTTGTTCCCCCTGTTCTCCTTGTTCCCCCTGTTCTCCTTGTTCCCCCTGTTCTCCTTGTTCCCCCTGTTCTCCTTGTTCCCCCTGTTCTCCTTGTTCCCCCTGTTCTCCTTGTTCCCCCTGTTCTCCTTGTTCCCCCTGTTCTCCTTGTTCCCCCTGTTCTCCTTGTTCCCCCTGTTCTCCTTGTTCCCCCTGTTCTCCTTGTTCCCCCTGTTCTCCTTGTTCCCCCTGTTCTCCTTGTTCCCCCTGTTCTCCTTGTTCCCCCTGTTCTCCTTGTTCCCCCTGTTCTCCTTGTTCCCCCTGTTCATAATGCAGCTGCTTATCAGTGTGCAACTTCTCTCTCTGCGCCTCGCTCACTCACCGCTTCCCCGTGCACTCTCTGTTCCTCTGCCCGCCTTGCCTTAATATTGGGCTCGTCCCTCTGTTCCTGCTTTCTCTCTATCCTCCCCGTCCTTCTCAGCTGCTTATCAGTGGGCGACTTCTCTCTCTGCGCCTCACTCACTCCTCGCTTCCCCCTGGCCGTGCACTCAGAAGCACGAGTGCAGCTTTCCGCATGGCTCGCTCGCCACGACCAATCCAGAGTCGTCCAGTGGGACAGTGGAGGAGGGCGATTGCACACCAGCAGCAGCATTGATGGTAGTGGTGGTGGTGGTGATATTGCTGCTGGCAGTGGTGGGAGTGGGGGGGGAGGTGGGAGCAGGGGTGGGTTGGAGAGGGTGGGGAGTGTGGAGGCGAGGGAGAGGAGGGTGAGGGAGAACGAGCAGGTAGACACACTCTTCTCACTCTTCTTCGCTCCATCGCAAGCCATGTGGGAAATGTTCCCAGCCCTTGACATGGTACGTGTGCAAAACATTTCCTGCTGCTGAATTGGTGGTCTGTATGTGCTGTAGTTGTGAGGCGCCTCGACGGAGGGAGAGCACGCAGGTGGACCAGAGCGAAGAAGAGCGCACATTTCCTATTCTCGCTCTTCTTCGCTCTGTCCCAGGCCATGTGGGAAATGTTCCCAGCCCTTGACATGGTATGTGCGTATGGCTTGGGCAATGTTCATGGTGTTAGAAATATATATTGTAGCATGCCAACACTTGTGACTGTACACCAATTGTGGTGTACAGTTGGGTTGGGACTACACCCAACATTGGGTGTAGTCTTGCATTGTGGGGTGCCAATCCAACCATGTTGTGTTGGAGCCCCCACATGCAACCCACTTGGCCCTAGGGTTGCCTCACTTCCTCAAGTGAGGCCAACCCAACCCAAGTGGGCCTAGGGTTGCCTCACTTCCTTAAATGAGGCCAACCCAACCCAAGTGGGCCTAGGGTTGCCTCATTTCCCAAAGTGTGGGCAATCCAATCCCACTTGACCATAGGTCACCTCACTTGCCAACGTGAGGCCAACCCAACCTATGGTCAAACTCACCTTTCCCTTCCAACCTTCTCTTTCTTGTATAACCTTCTGCTCTTTTGAGCTAACAACAACAATTCTTCTGCAAGTTCTTAGTTTCTTTCACATGGCTCGTATAAGGTATGTATGTACTAACACTACTGAGTTGAGGTACCTCAAAGGACGGAGAACGAGCAGGTGGACTCGCAATTCTCGCTCTTCTTCGCTCTGTCCCAGGCCATGTGGGAAATTTTTCCGGCCCTTGACATGGTACGTGTGGAAAACATTTCCTGCTGCTGAGGTGATCTGCATGTATCTGCACTAGTGGGGGCGCCTAAAAAGAGGGGGAACGAGCAGGTGGACATGCTCTTCTCGCTCTTCTTTGCTCCTCCACAGGCTATGTGGGAAATGTTCCCAGCTCTTGACATGGTATGTGGAAAACAAATTCCGTCTCTTGACATGGTATGTGGAAAACAGATTCCGTCTCTAGAAGTGGTATGTGGAAAACAAATTCCGTCTCTTGACGTGGTATGTGGAAAAAAAATTCCGTCTCTTGACATGGTATGTGGAAAACAAATTCCGTCTCTTGACATGGTATGTGGAAAACAAATTCCGTCTCTTGACCTGGTATGTGGAAAACAAATTCTGTCTCTTGACGTGGTATGTGGAAAACAAATTCCGTCTCTTGATGTGGTATGTGGAAAACAAATTCCGTCTCTTGACGTGGTATGTGGAAAACAAATTCCGTCTCTTGTCGTGGTATGTGGAAAACAAATTCCGTCTCTTGACGTGGTATGTGGAAAACAAATTCCGTCTCTTGACGTGGTATGTGGAAAACAAATTCCGTCTCTTGACGTGGTATGTGGAAAACAAATTCCGTCTCTTGACGTGGTATGTGGAAAACAAATTTCGTCTCTTGATGTGGTATGTGGAAAACAAATTCCGTCTCTTGACGTGGTATGTGGAAAACAAATTCCGTCTCTTGACGTGGTGTGTGTTAGTACTATTGAGTTAAAGGATTTTCCCTTCCCACACTATCCGCTCACGTCCCAATGTATTTCCCTGCTTTCTGTATTTTCATACAGGTGGCAATCCTGTTGGATGCAGCAGCAACACAGGCTCGCACCGCCCCTGACGCCCTTGTTCTGCTCGACCAGGTATGGCCTCATTCTTTCTTGCGCCTTAAAAACGGAAATGATTTTTCTAGGTGCCTAATTCGTGCTGCTGGATGCAGCAGCAACACAGGATCGCACCGCTCCTGACGCCCTTGTGCTGCCCGATCAGGTATGGTTGCATTCGCATTCTCATTCGCATTCTCATTCTCATTCTCATTCTCATTCTCATTCCTCGTCTCATTGCTCTTACTTAGAGTCATGAATACACGAAGACGTGTTTATCAGCATGACCTCTTCATGCTTCACTAAAGCCTTTGAGACCTCTCAACTTTCACTTTTGTTCCTCTATTTCCGTGTTTGTGTCTCACACCTGGCTGTCAGGTTGCCGAAACAGAGATATTTTGAGTCGATTTAAGTTAAGTTTCATGCGTTTTCGTATTGCGTGTCCCCCTCCTCCCTTCCACCAACCAACCCTGCAGGCTCGCACTGTTTTGACAGCCTGGCAGACGGACCAGCAAGGACTGAAGGAAGAAGACAAGGGCCGCGGGGGGAAGAATCAGCCGGGGAAGCAGCACCACCACCAGCAGCATCAAGAGCGAGAGGAAGACAGTAGCAACAACTTAAACTCAGTGCAGTGGGCAACAGCAGAGCGGCTGCTTCAGAGGCTGGAGGCCATTCAGAATCAGGACCCCACCACGCCTCTCCCAAGCCTTCTTGCCGCTGTGCAGCCGCACCTGTCGCCGTCTCCGGGCCTGTCAGGCTCGGCAGGGGTGCGGCGTGGCCCCAAGGCTCGGGCGGTGATGGCGCTGCAGCAGGTGGTGGCTGATTGCGAGGCAGGCACGGCGCAATTCGTCAGTGGTACGTGATGGTTAATTATGAATATGGGTGAGCTTCCCGTTTCAGTTGTATGTGGAATTCAGAGGTCCTTTGGGCCCCAAGGCTCGGCTCGGGCGGTGATGGCGCTACAGCAGGTGGTGGCAGATTGCGAGGCGGGCACGGCACAGTTTCTGAGACGTCTCAAAGCACGGCACAATTCTACAGTGGTATGTTCATACATCTTGGAATATTGACGATAGGTGTTTGAAGTATGGGTATGCATTTCTACTGAGATTCATGATTCTTCGGGGTAAGTCGAGTGGCAATGATGTCGCTGCAGCACTTTTGAGAATTCTCAAAGGCAATGATGTCGCTGCAGCACTTTTGAGAATTCTCAAAGGCAATGATGTCGCTGCAGCACTTTTGAGAATTCTCAAAGGCAATGATGTCGCTGCAGCAGGTGGTGGCGGACTGCGAGACAGGCACATCACAGTTTGTCAATGAATTGTGCGAGGTGGGTACGTTAGGGATTGTTGAGCAAGGTATATGGCCTATGGCCGATGGATTGGATGTTTCTCTTTTCCAGCTGAAATTCATTCATGAGTCTTTTGGGGCCCAAGGCTCACGCAGTGATGGCGCTGCTGCAGGTAGCGGGCGGCGGATCGTGAGGCAGGCATGGCATGGCATGGCATGGCATGGCATGGCATGGCATGGCATGGTATGGTTTTCTTTCCCCCTCCGTGCTGGCATGGTCATGATCCGATTTGCATTGTTCTGTGAGGAATGCCCCGACCCGACCCACCCAGCAGACGACTTTTGAGGCGCCTCAAAAGTTCCCCCTCCCCGTCATGATTTGAGGCGCCTCAAAACTAAAGTTCCCCCTCCCCGTCATGATCCGATTTGCATTGTTATCCGAGGAAGGCCCCGACCCAGCAGCAGTTTTTCCCCCCTTCTGCTACTACCCTACCCTACCCCCGTGCCATCCATTTCTTTCCCCCTCCAGGCAAGCTGCACAATCTCATCCGAGCCTTGGAAGATCCCGAACCAGCAGCAGACCCTCTCTCCCAGGTCATCCCCGCACCTGCCACGGCCGCTGGCCAATCAGGATCCGCCACGTGTCCTCCTCCTGGCAGCGGGCTTGGCTTTGGCATTGGGCTGGACGTGATCTTGCCAGAACTGCTTGCTACAGATGACGCTACAGCTGATGCTGCTGCAGCCACAGCAGATGCTACAGCCGGCGCTACAGCCGGTGCTACAGCTGCTGCTAGTACAGCCGGTGTTTCTGGGCTGAGTAATGCGCCAGCAGCAGCAGCAGGGGTCGCAGGGGCAGGGGCTGTAGCACCAGCGGCTGTAGCAGTTGCTGCTGCCAGTTCAGCAGGTGTTGCTGGTGCAGCAGGTGCTGCTGGTGCTGGTGGAGGGGATACCCTGGATGCTGCTGCTGGTGGTAGTGATGGTGCTACTGCTGCTGCTGCTGCTGCTCCTGATGCCACTGTAGGACCTTCCTTGTCCTCCTCCTCCTCCTTTTCTCTCTGGCGAATGCTGCATGGGGGAGGGGGAGCAGCAGGGGGAGGAGGAGCAGCAGGAGGAGGAGGAGGAGGAGCAGGAGGAGGGGGACCAGCAAGTGGGCCTGCAGTATCTGCCCGAGCCGATTCCCAAGGCTCGGTGGCTGCTGCAGCTGCAGTGGCGGGCTTAGCTTCGGCAACAGGTTCGGGAGGAGTGGGAGTGGCAGCAGGATCTCCTGTGCACACACCCCCTCTCTCCCCTCGTTGGACCCGCTCCTCCTCTGGCCTTGGCCTCTCCGCTGCCGCTGCTGCTGCTGCTGGTGCGTCAGCGGGAGCAGCAAGAGAAGGAGCGTTGGAAGCAGCAGTTGAAGAGCTGTCTGATGGAAGTTCAGCTAGGTGTACCTCCCTCCCTCTTCCCTCCACTGCCGCTACGACTACCACAGCATCCTCTGCTGCTGCTGCTCCGTCGCCCCTTTCAGTACCATCACGCTCCTCCATAGGTGCTGTCAGTATGCCCCCTCCTTCCTCAACCATCTTCATCACAAGCGCCCCATCTGCTGCTGCATCTGCACGCGTATCTGCTCCTCCAGCTCCAGGTGTTTCTTCAGGTGGTTCCTCAGGTGGGGCTGCCGGGGCGTCTGCCCCGCTCCCTCCTGTGCCGCGATCCTCCATGCCCAGTCTCTGGCCCTTCTCTTTCAACTCAGCAAACGCCAAGCAGCCTGCTGCAGGAGAGGGGCAGACAGTGGTAGGACTTCAGTCCCTTCTAGGTTCTGGCACTGGTGGGGGGCCAGCAGGAGCAGCAGAAGGAACAGCGGCAGCAGGAGGAGCAGGAAGAGGAGGAGAAAGAGGGGCAGGAGGAGAGAGAGGAGGAGAAGGAGGGCCGGCAGGAGCAGTCTCAGCAGCAGCAGCAGGGTTGCGAGGGCCAGGGAAGCAGCAGCCTTGGGAGCATCCCAAGGGTTTCCTGCCGGTTTTCTTAAACTACGTGGTTCAAATCGGGGATATAGTCGATGATAGTGATCCAAGCCACCCCTTTAACTACTTCTCTTTACTAAACGTCGACCCACTGGAGCTTTTAAGAGAGCTTGTGTTTGTGAGAGGTGATATTGCTGCTGCGTCGCATGTGGCTGGGATCATGGGTAGGGAGTCTTTACCTGCTGATATCATCCCCGCAGCTCTCCCGAGCCTGCTGCCGCCTGTGCCGAGCCTGAAGCTCTGCTCCGTGGCTCGGCGCTTCCGAAGCAGACTTCTGGGCAGGTCAGGAGGAGGACCAGGACAGGGTAGGCCCGGTAGGGGCAAGGCAGTGGGAGGAGTGGGAGGGCCGGAAAGTGCGGAGAAGCTTCTGGTGCCTTCGCCGTATGAGCCGCCGCGATATGCACTGAGTATGGACGTGGTTCAGTTGCTTGCGAGAGAGTCAATGGTGCATGCTGTGCTGGCTTGTGTGCTGGGAGCAGAACAGCAGATCGTGCAGATGCACAGACGCAAGGAGAGAGAGCGTGATTTGAAATCAATAGGTGCATTTTCCGGTGGTGGCGCTGCCGCTGCTACCGGTGGTGGTGCTGCTGCCACCGGTGGTGGTGCTGGTGGTGTTGGTGGTGGGGGTAGGGCTGGTGGTGTGTTGGGCGGTGATAGGGGCAGGGGCAAGGGAGGGGCAGTGGGAGGAGGGGCGAGTGCGGTGGAGGCAGAGGAGGAGGCTGCAAAGAAGCTGATGGAATATGCCCGCGTGCACTCTGCTAGGTGAGTCAGCAAACTCTTTTGGGACAGCCGTGTGTGTGGCTGTGAAGTGTGACTCTGGCAACCATATATTCATTTAGTGTACATTCATTTGTCTCTAACTCCCCTTACACCAACCCCCCCCCCCCCCCCCCCCCCCTCCTTCTCCTTCCCTGCTTCGGCTCCCAGCACTCCAATCATCCACCGGTGGGTCACTCTGCAATCTGCCATCCATTCGATCGCCATTGCTACCGCCAAAGCACCATCTCTCCTTTTCGCTCTCGCTCACCCCTTCCTTCCCTCCCTTTTCCCATACACCCTCTTCCTCCCCATTCCCCAGCACCCCAATCATCCACCGGTGGGTCACTCTGCAATCTGCCATCCATTCGATCGCCATTGCTGCCGCCAAAGCACCCCCCCGCACTCCCAAGCAGCAAGCACCAGCAGCACCACCAGCAGCACCACCAGCAGCACCACCAGCAGCACCACCAGCAGCAGGAGCTGCGGCAGGTGTCGAGGGGGCCACAGTAAGGGGAGGAGGCAGAGGCGGGCCAGTGGGTGCAGGGGTTGCAGGGACAGTGGGGGTTGCAGGGGTACGAGGATCAGGGGAGGGAGAAATGCAGAGAACAACAGTGTTGACATGGGAAAAGGAGGTACTAAAGGAACAGCCCTTGGGTTGGGGTAGCTCTAGCATTGGAGGGACCTTGCCTGTGCATTCACCTGGCAGCAGCAGCAGGAGGGGCGGGAGGGGGTTTGCAGGGTCAGCTTTGCTGCTAGCAGGGCAGGAGGGAACACCAAGGAGAGTGAGAGGTGAAAGATTGGCTGGAGCAGGAGGGGTATCGGAGAGTTTTAGTGGGCTGGTGGGTAAAGGACTGGTGGGTGACGGAGGAGGAAGAGGCACAAAGCGGCCTCTTACTGCTGAATTCGATGCGGTTGAGGTGGGAAGTGAGGAGGGGGTTTCTCTGTCTACGGGAGGAGAAACAGGACATTCAAATGATGATGTTGCTGGGAGAATGGGAGCAGAGGAGGATCCAGCACAGGGGGGTCCCAGCACAATGCCAGGCCAGGGGGGGGTTACAGGAGAGGAGGGGAGAGCGAGAGGAAGAGTGGGGGAGGAGCAGGGGACTGGTGAAGGGGAAGCAGGGATAGTAGGGGCGGAAGGGGCAGCAGGGGGAGCGGCAGGGGCGGCAGGAGTAGCAGGGGCGGCAGTGGTTGGCGGTCGGTTGGAAGCTCTGTTAACGGAGTGGGAGGATCTACGGCCTGTGAGGATTCACCTGGAGAGGTGAGGATTCACCTGGAGAGGTGGGGAGTTAAAACAATCAAATAGATTAAGGTAATGAATTTTTACAGGATGCAAATTCTATCCGCAGGTGATTTTTCTAAATGTGTTTTCTTCTTTCTTCTTCTCCCCTTCCCCCACCCCCTTCTTCCCCTCGTCCTTTTCACTTTTTTTTTTTTTCTCTCCTAGCCTGATTGCTGACTCGCGATTGGCCGAGGCTCTTGAGCTGGCGGACACGTGGCTGCCTGAGGGGGCGCCAGATCACCTGCTGTGTCTGCTCGTGGAGCAGGCTGAGGGCCCTGATGGTGGTGCTGCTGCTGCTCACACGCACGCAGCAGGAGCAGCTGGAACACGGACAGTAGGAGCAGGAGCAGCGGCAGGAGGAGACATGATGCGGTTTCAGAAAGTGCCTGTGACTCAGGCGAGCGGGCTGCAGCAGAGCCCACGGAGTGGAGGAGTTGGGTTTGTGCGGAGTGAGGCAGGGGGTCGCACTGGCAGTGCTGGCAAGGCCGTGAGGAAGCCGGTGACAGCGGGTGACAGCTGGCGGTTCGTGATTCGCGTGGCTGACGAAGAGCTTGCAGCAGCGCTAGCGCTCAGGTGAAATGGGGGATGGATCTGTTTGTTTCGTAATGTCATGGCGGTTCTGGTTCTGTGATGATGGTGGCAGCTATGTGTGCAGTGCAGATGTGCTATTTTTTAAACAACTCGAAATTGCCTTTTGTTTGTGGGGTGCGACTTTTGAGATTCTCAAAAGTCGCACCAATATAGCGTGGCATATGTGCTGCTGTGCTGCTGTGCTGCTGTGCCTGCATGCACGTATCTTCTCTGTGCGTGCCTGCACTGCACCACTACAGGTACTTTTGAGTCGACTCAAAAGTCATAGCATGGCATATATGCTGCTGTGCCTGCATGCACGTATCTTCTCTGTGCGCCTGCCTGCACCACTACAGGTACTTTTGAGTCGACTCAAAAGTCATAGCATGGCATATGTGCTGCTGTGCCTGCATGCACGTATCTTCTCTGTGCGTGCCTGCCTGCACCACTACAGGTACTTTTGAGTCGACTCAAAAGTCATAGCATGGCATATGTGCTGCTGTGCCTGCATGCACGTATCTTCTCTGTGCGTGCCTGCCTGCACCACTACAGGTACCACCACAGCTGGCAACTGTCACACATCCACACCGTATTCAACACCTGCCTCTCACACCTCCCAGCGCACTCGGCCCTGCGGGCTCAGGTATGCTTGTCGCCGGCCGGCCGGCTCCTGCGGGCCGCAGGAATGCAGTAGCTGGCTCGTAGCCACCATTGTGATCGCATCGCATCTGCTGCTTCTCTGTGTGAATGCTGCAGCCTGGAATTGCATGTGCTTTTGTGACGATTTTGTTCTTCTCATGTCGTTGTTCCCTCCCTCTTCTCTTCCTCTCTCCTCTTCCCCACCTCCACACTCCCACCTCTCTCCCCTGTCCCTCCAAAGATCCTCACCTGCAAGTCATCCGTGCGCCATACACGCGCATCCACTCCATTCTTTAATTCTCTTCGTTCCCACTTCCCTTCTGTTTCCGCTTCCCACATCTCCACGCCACACCCCGCCTCTCTCCCCTCCCCACCTCTCTCACCCCGTTTCCTTCAAAGATCATCACCTGCAAGTCATCAGTGGATTAAAACACTTGCATTCGCTCCATTCCGCTTCCCACCTCCGGCTCCGCCATCTCTCTCCCCTTTCCACCTCTATTGATGCGACTTTTGAGAATTCTCAAAAGTCGCATCAATATTCCTTGCCATCTCTCTCCCCTTCCCACCTCTCTTCCCTCCCCGCTTTCTCAATTGTTCCCTCCAAAGATCCTCACCTGCAAGTCCTCTGTGGATCAGTACACTCGCATCCGCTCCATCCTCAACGACAGAACCCTTGCCACGTGGCAGCAGGTCAGTGGCTCGCCCGGGCCTCCTGCTCTGGCTTCCCATGCTCTGGCCCTCTCTCACCCTCCCCCCACTGTCGTTCGTGGCCTTGTTTTGGCCCTGTAATGGCCCTGTTTTGGCCCTGTAATGGCCCTGTTTTGGCCCTGTAATGGCCCTGTTTTGGCCCTGTAATGGCCCTGTTTTGGCCCTGTAATGGCCCTGTTTTGGCCCTGTAATGGCCCTGTTTTGGCCCTGTAATGGCCCTGTTTTGGCCTGTAATGGCCCTGTTTTGGCTCTGTAATGGCCCTGTTTTGGCCCTGTAATGGCCCTGTTTTGGCCTGTAATGGCCCTGTTTTGGCCCTGTAATGGCCCTGTTTTGGCCCTGTAATGGCTCTGTTTTGGCCGCCTAAGTGGCGGTCCGGAAGGAAGCCTCCCTTCCCTGTAAACCTCAGCCTCTCTCCTTCCCGCTCCCTGCTCTCCCCTTCTCCCCCCTCCCCTCCAGGTTCGCTCTCTCTGCTTCCGCGATCCCGAGTCCGTGTGTCGGCTGCTAGCCGCCAAGGGAGCGGTCAAGGAGGCTGTGTCACTAGCAGAAGCACATTCTGCTGCTCCTGCACGGGCATCAGGGGCAGCAGCAGCAGCAGCCGCAGGTACAGGTCTAGGTGGAGGAGTGGAGGCAGACACTGCTGCTGCTACAGCTGCTGCTACAGCTGCTGCCTCTGCTGCTGCTGCTGCTGCTGCTGCCAGTGCTGCAGGCGTGTCATGGAATGCAGCAGCTAAAAGAGGAGCAGCAGCAGGAGCATTGCCAGCAGCTGGAGCAGATCCAGTGGGGAGGGTGGGAGGGGCGTTACTAGCAGAGTTAAGGGGGCGCTATCTGGCTGAGCTGATGGGGGGGGATCCCTTACAGGGTGACTCGGGACCAGCAGTGGGAATGAGATACCTGGAGAGACTGATGATGGAAGGGGCGAAGGGGCGTGATAGCAAGCAAATGGGTCTGGGCGATGGGGTGGGCGTGAATGGTGGCTCTGCTGCTGGTGATGGTTCTAGTGCGGCTGGTGCTGGTGGTAGCAGTGGTGCTTCTGCTTCCTCTGCTGCTCCTGCTCCTGCTACTGCTGGTGCGGGTGCCGGTTCTGGTGGCGGTGATAGGAGTAGGAGCGGATATGAGGGAACGGAGGCGAGGGGGAGAGTGGAGGGGAGGGTGGGAGTGATGGGTGTGGTGCTATCGGCCATGCGGTGGGCTCCATCCCTGCATGCCAAGAAGCTCATAGTATGTACCTACCTACCCCTCATGTGCTTGCTTCGTTCCATCCATGTGACTAGCTAGCCACCCCATCAGTCACCTCGCCTGCCTATCGACCATGCGGTGGGTTCCGTCCTTGCACGCCAAGTTGAGGTCGTTTTTGAGGCGCCTCAAAATCGACCATGCAGTGGGTTCCGTCCTTGCACGCCAAGAAGCTCATAGTACGTACCCCCATGTTTGTTCCATTCAAAAACATCTCAGTAGCTCGATTCATGGGGGCTCATTCCGGATGTTTGATTCATATTCTTGAAGCTGAAGCTCGTTCTGCGAGCCCCTCCTGCCCATGTTCCACGGTTCTCACACACATACATAGACTCACATAGGACGGTTTCTCGCGCGGACTAGAGGTCGTTTGTGAGGCGCCTCAAAAACGACCTCAATTTTCTCGCGCTGACTAGTGAGTGAACGCTGCGCGGTTACAGAAGTTAACACCACCACACACATACATAGACTCACTCACTTGCGCTTTCTCCCATAATCCCTCTCCTTCCACAGGCCTCATCCCTTGCACCCACCCACCGTCCCCTTACTTCCATTTCTCTTCCGTTTTACTATACTCCCTCCCTCCAACCCCCGCCGCTCCTGCTTCCCTCACCTCCTTTCCCTCCCCTCTCCTCCTTCCCCTTCCTCCCGAAAGGTGAATTTTGTCCTCAAGCGGGCGGCAGAGGCAGATTTGCCTTCTGCTGACGTGGCAGACGCCAAGCAGATCCAGCTGGGCCTGCAGCTTCTGGGAACCTTCCCGACAGAGTGGCAGCAGCGGCTGGGAGGGCATCATGTGGCTGTGCTGTTGCAACCAGAGCTTATAGTGGAGAGCCTTATAATGGAGAAACACACCTCCTTGCTGCCACAGGTAGGGTCTAGGTTACATTCATTCAGTCTGTACGTATTATGTTAACCCATCACCCCGTCTTATCCCCTGTTAACCCATGTTAACCCCTGTTACCTTCCTTGTTACCCCCTGTCACCCCTTGTTCCTCCGCCGCCTGCAGATCTTTGCCAAGTTCCACGCCCTGCGAAACGACACCCTCCTCCTCTCAGTTTTGTGGAGGCTGATTTTGGGAATTCTCAAATCTCAGTTTTTTCTCGTTTTCTCAGTTTTCCCTGTTACCCCTTGTTATCCCCTGTCACCCCTTGTTTCTGTGCCGCTTGCAGATCTTTGCCAAGTTCCCCGCTCTACAAAACGACACCCTCCTCTCATTTTTGTAAAGGTTGATTTTGAGAATTCCCAAAATCTATTCCCTGTCACCCCTTGTTATTCGCTGTCACTCCTTGTCCCTGTGTCTCTGGCAGATCTTTGCCAAGTTCCCCGCCCTGCGGAACGACACCCTCCTCCTCTCCTATGCGCGCAAAGCCCTCCTCCCCTCCCCCCTCTCCCCCTCCTCCTCGTCCTCCTCCGCCTTCGCCTCTTCCTCTCCCTCCACCACCCACCCATCTGCCACCTCCCCTCCTCCCCCCCCTCCTCCTCCCCTCCCTCACCAACACTCCCTCCGCTCCTCCTCCTCCGCCGTCCCCCGGCCGCCCTCCGTCCCCCCCGCACCCATCACCAGCAGCTTTCTGCGCATTCAGCAGCAAGCCTCCCGTGTCTTCCCCTGGGGGGGGTCTGCTTCTGGTGCTGCTGCTGCTGCTGCTGCTGCTCCTCCTTCCGGCGATGTCTTTGCAAGCCCTGTTCCGTCCCCTCGTGCTTCTCTTGGGCTAGGAGGGGGAGGAGGAGGGGGAGGAGGAGGGGGAGGAGGAGGGGGAGGAGTGGGAGTGGGGGCGGGGAAAGGGAGTGGGGGGGCAGTAGGGGTTGATCGCCCGCCGACGCTTGCAGAGGCGGCAAAGTCACGGCTTTCATCCTCCATTTCTCTGGATTCTCCTGCTCGTACCTCTGCTTCTCACCCTGCTGCCTCTGCTGCTGCTGATGGTCGTAGTGGGGCTACTAGTGCTACTGGTGCTGGTGCTGTTGCTGGTACTGCTGCTGCAGCAGCAGGTGCTGCTGCTGCTGGTGCAACCCGTTTTGGAGCACGAGGGAGGACAGTCAGCAGCGGCACTGCCAGCCTGCAAACCAGCCCGCGTCCAGGTTCAATGAACCAGCCACAGGGCACAGCACGCACCGCTACAGCCGCCACAGCTGCTCTAGGAGCCGCCGGCCAGGTGGAAAATTCCGGGCGGCATCTAAAATCTGCTGTTACAATCAGCTCCATGTCTCTCCCCGAGCTGATTGGCCAGCCTGTCGGGTACCTGCCAGGTGGCCGCACGGGATTGGACGAGGTGTGCGAGGGGGGGGGTGGAGGCGGGGAGGACGAGGAGGGAGAGGAGGAGGCATTGGGGAGGCTAGGAGCGCGGGACATGCAGCAAGGAGCGATTTTGATAGGGGAAGAGGCGCGGGATAATGAAACAAGATCACACCATGTGTTTCCAGACACGCCAGATGTCTCGCTGTTCCAGTCGCTAGCTTCGCTGTGTTCGAAGAGATTCTCGGTGCTGAAAGGGCTGCTGGCGGTGGTGGTGGAGCAGGCTGGCGTGGCTCTGGCCAAGGAGAGCGTGCCACGTGGCACCAGCCTGCTGTCGCTGACTCAGACGGCCTTCTACTCGAAAGCCTACCTCAAAGTGAGTGAGGGGGGAGGATGTAAGGGAGACAGAGGAAGGGAGAGTACAGAACTAGGGTCAAGACCAGAAGCGCGGAAAATAGCCATGGGATTTGACTCAGAAATCACCTGTTCCCACGTCTGCTGCTCCCTCTGTTCCTTCCCTTCACCTACAGGCACTCACCATCGTGAGAGACATGCTCCTGGCATACCAGACGCAGCTTGCCAAGCTTTTGAGGCGCCTCAGAAAGTCTGTTCTCACTTCTGCTGCTTTCTCTGTTCCTTCCCTTCACCTACAGGCACTCACCATCGTGAGAGACATGCTCCTGGCATACCAGACGCAGCTTGCCAAACCCGGACCTGCCACCCGAAGCACAGGCTCACCACGCGAACCGCCAGGCCAGGTTCGTTCGAGAGGTTCGCCGCAGGTTCGGGCGCGAGATCCTGCGCAGGTTCGGATGCAGCTGAAGTCTCTGAAGCAGCTGCTGGTTCGGGCAGAGGCGTGGATCGCACGGGTGCAGCTGCTGAGAAGATTCCTGGCGGACAATGTGGGGGTGGGAATTGACGAGCTTGGTGGGGGTGACCCTGACTTCCAGCCTGGCTCTCCTGGGTTGTTTGCGTCTTTGTACTTTCACTCAGTGATGGGAGGAGGAGAGGAGAGGGGTGTGGCAGTAGGACGGGGAGGAGGAGGGGAATCAAGGGCAGGAGGGGGAGCAGCGGGAGGGGATATGGCTTGGAGTGTTGAGATACAACAGCGGAACAGGGAGCAACAGAACCAGCAGCAGTCGCAGCAACAGCGGCGGCAACAGCAGCAGCAGCAGCAGCAGCAGCAACCAAGGTCGATGCACCAGCAACAACAGCACCGGCACAGCTCGGTGCAGGCCCGGCTGCATCCCGAAGCAGAAGCAGAGGCTCGGGAGGCGTCCCTATCAGCGACCCTGGCACTCAGGGACGGGTTGGTGAAGGAGGAGTGTTATGAGCTGGCAGCTGCTCTGTGTGACACGTGTCATCATGTGGACCCGTGTCCTGTGTACAAGGCATGGGCAATGTCCCTCATTCGAGTGAAGAACTACTCCCAGGCCCGGCATATTCTAGAGTGAGTATGAGGATGGATAAGGCATGTATGTATCGAGTCATGTGGACCCTTGTCCTCTGTACAACTCATGGAAATGTCTCTTATTGGAGTCAAAAACTTCACGCAGCATCAGCATATCCTAGAGTGAGTATGAGGAAAGGTATACCATACCATACACATATTGCTTCCTTTCCCTGGGTGAGCTATGGGTGGGTTGCTGCTGCTCTTTGTTATACCTGTCCTGTGTACAAGGCACAGGCGATGTCACTTATTCTAGTGAAGAACTATAATCAGGCCCGGCATATCCTAGAGTGAGTCATCCTGACGAATGGTGGAGAGATGACAGTTGGTTCTCTTGAATCTTCAAAAGCCAACTCCATCTCTTATTAGCCATGTAAAGCGCGTCATATTATGTGCTTGTGTGAGCTATGAATTCGCTGCCACTTTACCCCTCTTCCCTCTTCACCCTTTCGTCTCCTCCCCTCCCACAGGCGACTCTTCCTTTTCCTCAACCCAGCCTCCTCTTCAGCTCCCACCACCGCTCCTGCTGCTTCTGCTACTTCTCCTCCTGCTGCTGCTGCTGCTGCTCCTGCAAGTACATCCAGCAGGCGTGTTTCCTCCTCCACCTCCTCCTCCTCTGCTGCTGCTGCTGCTGCAAGCTCACAGGGAGTTGTGGTGGGAGCGGGAGGAGCAGCGTCAGCAGCAGGAGGGGGGAGAGAGGGACAGCGGAGTCGCGGAGGGGTGGGGGCGAGCACAGGACAAGCAGGAGGGGCGGGAGGGGGAGTGGGTGCGGGAGGGGTAGGAGTGGGAGTGGGAGCAGGGGTGGTTGGAGGAAGAGTGGGAGGAGTGGGAAGAGTGGGAGGAGTGGGGGGAGGGGAGAGGATGGCAGTGGAAGCACGGGAAGTGGTGCGGTTTATCGAGACGTGCATTCCTGCTGATGTGCCCGGCACCCAGTTGCTGTGAGTATCATTTATTGAGTGGGGTGACTTTTGAGACGTCTCAAAAGTCATTCCTGCTGATGTGCCCGGCACTCAGTTGCTGTAAGAAGTATCATTTATTGAGTGGGGTGGCTTTGAATTTCCCATCAACGTGATATTGCAAGCAAGCATGCTGCTTGGCTGCTGCATGCATATCACGTGCTTTCCAGAACCATGCAACTCAAAAGCATCCCTGTCCCTTTCCTCTCCTATCCCACCTTGGCCATCACCTCTCCCCTCTCAGTCTGTCCCAAACGGAGAAGGCTGTAGCAGACTCTTTCCAGGGCTCCCTCACAGCAGAGCCGTACCTCGGTGCTCTCACAAATGGTCTTTTCCTTGCTGTATCGTCTTCTTTGCCTCCTATCCCCACCCCTCTTCTCACTTCTTAGTCTGTCCCAAACAGAGAAGGCAGTAGCAGACTCTTTCCAGGACTTCCTAACAGCAGAGTCGTTATAACATAAGTTTGCATTGACTTTTTTCCTACTCCCATATTCCTTCGTCTGTGCCATCACCCCCTCAGCTTATCCCAAACAGAGAAAGCAGTAGCCGATTCATTCCAGGACTCCCTCACAGCAGAGTCGTACCTCGGTGCTCTCACCTCCACCTCCTCTCTCTTCAGCTCTCCCACTCTCCGCCCCTCCTCCTGCTCCACCACCTCCTCCTCCGGCCGCCCGTCTTCCTTAGCACCACCCACTGCATCGGTATTTGGTGCCAATGCTGCTGCCAACACTCCTTCTGGTCCTGCTCCTGCTGCCACTTCTGCTGGCATTTCTCCCATTCTAGGAGCCATGCCCCCGCCTGCTTCTATGCCTTTTGACCCAGGGAGGCAGGGAGGAGGGCGAGAAGGATCAAACCTGTATTCCCGCCAGTCTGCGTTTGAGGCGCAGAGTGTGGCCTGGTCAAGGGAGGGCGAAGGGGGGTTAAGGGGGCGCGGGGAGGAGCTGGGGGGAGGGAAAGAGGGGCAGTGGGAGAGTCAGGGGGAAGGGAACGAGGGGCGAAGGGAGGGGCAGGGAGAAGGGGTTGCGGTGGTGGAGGATGAAGAGAGGGAGACGTTTTCATACCTAGATGATGAGAGGTTCAACGAGTGCACTCAGCTGCTCAAGAGAGTGAGTGCTTGTGTGACCCTTTTTTTTCTCTCTCTCTGGTGAATTAAATACCCACCTTGCTGGGTGCCCATCGTGTTGTGTTTCTGCTTGTTTGCAGTCTGCGACTTAGTTTAGATGACTACAAGCTGCTTCTCTGTGGCTACCTGCATTCAAAGTCTTGAGCAGTGCCTGTTTGATTACCCTGGCTTGACTCCTGCCCTTTTCTCCCCACACTCATAACCCACACTCCCCTGCTGTGCCGGTTCTTCTTACTCTTGCCTTGTGGGCTACCCACCCATCTATCTTTCCCGCAGCATGCCCCTCGGGATCTCCTCCCCTTCATGTTCAGACACGGCCGCTACCGCTCCGCTTGTTGGCTCCTCTTCTTCCCCCCTCCTCCTCCCCACCCTTCCTCCTCCTCCTCCCCCTCTCTCTCATCCACACCCGAGCACAGCAGCAGCACCACCACCTCTGCCACTGGCACTCTTCCAATCCCCCTGGCCCCTCAACCACCTGCTTTTTCGCTCAGCCCAGCTCGGCCCACCCTGTCCTCGTTGTTAGACTGGGATCCGTTAAAGTCAGAGTACGCTACTGTAGAGGAGCTGTGTGCGCTGTGTGTGACGTATGGAGCGGTTGAGGTGCTGGAAAGAGTGGTGGCAGAGGCCCTAGGAGGGAGTGCGGTAGGAGGAGCAAATGGTGCTGGTGGTACTGGTGCTGCTGCTGCTGCTGCTGCTGGTTGGAGTGCTGTATCTGTTGCACCATCATCAGCAGCAGCAGCATCGCCAGCGTCAGCAGCATGGGCGAGTGGCCATGTCAAGTGCCTGGCGGCTCTTTCCCGCATCTGCACTTTCTTCGAGTCTCAGAAGAACTTCCACTTCCTCTTCCGATTCCTGGTGAGCCCCATTCATCCCTTTCTCTGTTTTCTCTTCCTCTCCTTGTTCCTTGTGAGCCACACTCATCCCTTTTTCGCAGACACTTCCACTTTCAGGTTTTCTATCCCCCACCCTTCATAAACAATATTGGATTTTTTTTTTTTTTTTTAAAGCTTTCTCTTTTATTTTTGGTGAGGCGAAGTTAGCCCGAGTCACGCTGTGGATTTTTTACCTATCTCAAACATCAGCCAAGGAACAACAACGTGTAGCAGGTAAAAAATAGGCATCATGGATTTGGTGTAGCAGGCAGGCATAATGCCTCTTCTCTTCTTTGAACAAGGCGAAGTTAACCTTTTTTTTCCCTTTATACGTTTCCCACTCTTCATCAGCTTCTAGCGAAGGACAATGTAGCATCATCCAAACCTCCCTAACTAATCCAGTCTTTTCTGTTCTTCCTTGTTCCCCTCCACTCTCCCCCCCTCCTCTCAGCTTCTAGCCAAAGACTATGTGGCAGCAGGGCTGTGCAGTATCCAGCTCATCCTCTTTCTCATCCCAGTGTTTACCTCCCTTCTCCCTCTCCACCCTCACCCCCTCCACCCGCACCTGCTCTGCTCTCTCCATCAGCTGCTAGCCAGGGATTACGTGGCAGCAGGGCTGTGCAGCATCCAGCTCTTCCTTGTCGATTCCACTGCTCGCTTCCTTCTTCTTCTCCCTGCGCTCTCACCCCTCCCTTTCCCACTCTCCCGCATTCTCCTCTCACTCTCTCAGCTGCTAGCAAAAGACTACGTGGCAGCAGGGCTGTGCAGCATCCAGCTCTTCCTTGTCGATTCCACTGCTCGCTTCCTTCTTCTTCTCCCTGCGCTCTCACCCCTCCCTTTCCCACTCTCCCGCATTCTCCTCTCACTCTCTCAGCTGCTAGCAAAAGACTACGTGGCAGCAGGGCTGTGCAGCATCCAGCTCTTCCTCTACTCCCCCGATCTTCGCACCGCAGCAACGCACCTGCAGCAGGCACAGGTGGGTGGGACAAGGCAGTTAAAGCTGGAATTGGGCGCAGGTTGGATTAAGCTGGTTACAGCTGGTCCTTCGTCTGTTTCACTTTTGGTGCCTGTGTGTCGAGCTGGGTGGTTTTGCAGATTTACACGTCATGCTCAGATTCACTTCCTTTCCCCATGCCCCTCTGCAGCTGCTCTTTGAAAAAGGAACGGAGGCCAGGCAGAACGCAGCAGCAGACCTGGCAGCATCGATCGGCCCTCTTGCTGCTGCCGGCAAGAGACTCGCCGTCTCTGCTGCCTCCTCTTCCTCTGCTGCTGCCGCTGGCGCTGCTGCTGGTGCTGGTGCTGGTGGTATTGTTGCTGGAGGAGCAGGTATATCTGGAGCAGGTATTACTCCCAGCAGCACCAGCACCAGCGCCAGCACCACCAGCAGTAGCAGCAGCACTGCTGCCAGCCTGGCGCTGATCAACAAGCAGCGGGCGGCGACTGCAAAGATATCGGACGAAGACCTGCTGCGGCTTCAACGATTGGCCGAGTTACAGGTGGAGGTGGTGCGGGTGGTGGGGGCGGGCAGTGGCAGGGACAGCAGCGCCGTGTCTCTCGTGGAAGCAGCAAGGAAGGCCCCTTGGAGCGTGGCGCTGTTTGGTGCTCCCAGCGATGGCCGAACCAACAAGTGAGTGGCTCTTTGATTTGGGAGGGTGTGTGTATCGGGATGTGTGGGTAAGTGTGTGTTTCTCGCTTGAATTGGCTGCAACAGAAGCTGGCAGCTGTTGAGGCGCCTCAGAAGGCGGTTGGCAGAGGTGCAGGTGGAGGTGGTGCGGGTGGTGGGGGCGGGCAGTGGCAGGGACAGCAGCGCCGTGCCTCTCGTGGGGGCTGCCCGGAAAGCACCATGGAGCGTGGCGCTGTTTGGTGCTCCTAGCGACGGCAGGACGAGCAAGTACGTGGCTGTTTGGGAGAGTGTGTGTTTGGGAATGTGTTTGGTTGCATTGGTGGAATGTGGCTCTGCACCTGCCTGCCAGCCATGCAGATCTAAGCCAGCGTGACTGATTCTTTCCTACGAATTTGATTGTCCCTGCCTCTTTCCTCACCGACAGGCAATGTGTGGGAATTCGACTTGACGCTCGGGGTGATCAACTTGCTGCACGTGCCAGCCGTGCAGGTCTAGCAACCAGCGGATATGCAATATCCCTTTCCCCACTTCGACTGCCTTCCCCCCCTTTGACTGACAGGCGCCGTGTGGAGGTGACCGAATTCCTGGTCGAGAAAGAGTTTGACCTGGCCCTGGAGGTGATAAACTTCCTGCACCTGCCAGCCGTGCAAATCTACGCCAGCGTGGCAGCGTCGCTGGCGGAGAAGCAGCAGCACCGCGTTCTGTTTGAAGGGCTCATGGACCGGATCAAATACATGCTGCCACCCGCTGACATGGATGAGGTGAGAATTTATGGTCTCTTTTCTTCAGTACCGCATCCAGACTTGCCACTCACTCCCTCTCCCTTAGAGAGAGCAGCAGCACCGTGTGCTGTTTGAGGGGCTTATGGATCGGATCAAATACATGCTGCCGCCTGCTGACATGGATGAGGTGAGCTGGGAGACATAGACGAGGTGAGAGAGAGTCACAGTCGGTAGTGATTCACATGCGTTCTCCCTCTCCCTCTGTGAGAGCAGCAGCACCGCGTGCTGTTTGAGGGGCTCATGGACCGGATCAAATCAAACACATGCTGCCACCCGCTGACATGGATGAGGTGAGCTGCGATGCGAGCCGTGAGCTGTGACTTGGGAGACGTGCTTGTTCATTGTTGTGAGAGTTCTCAAAGCCCCAACCCTGATTCCTGGTGCCAACCCTGATTCCTGGTGCCAACCCTGATTCCTGGTGCCAACCCTGATTCCTGGTGCCAACCCTGATTCCTGGTGCCAACCCTGATTCCTGGTGCCAACCCTGATTCCTGGTGCCAACCCTGATTCCTGGTGCCAACCCTGATTCCTGGTGCCAACCCTGATTCCTGGTGCCAACCCTGATTCCTGGTGCCAACCCTGATTCCTGGTGCCAACCCTGATTCCTGGTGCCAACCCTGATTCCTGGTGCCAACCCTGATTCCTGGTGCCAACCCTGATTCCTGGTGCCAACCCTGATTCCTGGTGCCAACCCTGATTCCTGGTGCCAACCCTGATTCCTGGTGCCAACCCTGATTCCTGGTGCCAACCCTGATTCCTGGTGCCAACCCTGATTCCTGGTGCCAACCCTGATTCCTGGTGCCAACCCTGATTCCTGGTGCCAACCCTGATTCCTGGTGCCAACCCTGATTCCTGCCCCAACCCTGATTCCTGCCCCAACCCTGATTCCTGCCCCAACCCTGATTCCTGCCCCAACCCTGATTCCTGCCCCAACCCTGATTCCTGCCCCAACCCTGATTCCTGCCCCAACCCTGATTCCTGCCCCAACCCTGATTCCTGCCCCAACCCTGATTCCTGCCCCAACCCTGATTCCTGCCCCAACCCTGATTCCTGCCCCAACCCTGATTCCTGCCCCAACCCTGATTCCTGCCCCAACCCTGATTCCTGCCCCAACCCTGATTCCTGCCCCAACCCTGATTCCTGCCCCAACCCTGATTCCTGCCCCAACCCTGATTCCTGCCCCAACCCTGACGTGAACTCTCACAACAATGAACAAGCACGGTGCCAAAGCTCTCTTCCTCCCAACTAATCACTTCCTGCAACCCTGATTCCTGCCCTTTTTTTTCCGCCATCCTCCCATCGCACACGTGTCCTCAGGTGATTGGAGCAGCAGTGATGGTCTACACCCACACCGCTGTCAAGCTCTCTACTCTCTCCCTGACCTTCACCGGGCGGCAAGACATGTCCCGATCTGTGAAGCTGCCCAAGGAGCAGATCGACCGACTCATCCACATGCTGTCAGACGAGCACAAGTGAGTCATTTGGCTTGCGTAAGTCTGTTGGTATAAGTAAATCTGTTAAGTTTAAGTAAGTCTGTTAGCTTTCATCCCGCTGTCTGCGCACATCCTCGCAACCACATGCTGTCAGACGGGCACAAGTGAGTCACTTCACGTAAGTCACTTCTCATAAGTCTCTTTGCTGATGTGAGCCTGCTTTTTGATTTGACCCAAAAGCTTCATGTTAGTCACTTTTCATAAGGAGGTCTCTTTGCTGATGTGAGTCTGCTAGCATAACTAGGTTTGTGCCAACTCCTGTATCCTCCCTGCTCATTCCTCTCCAATTCCCCTCCCACCTTCCAGGAAGGTTCTCTTCAACGTGGCATGTCGCAGGTTGCGTCTGGCCTTTCAGATCGCTACGGGGCACTTCCAGCCTCAAACCATCAGTGCTTCAACTCCTGCTGCTGCCAGTGCTAGCACCACTAGCACTGGCAGCAGCAGCAGCAGCAGCAGTGGGGGTGGGTTAGGGTCGGTGTACCCGCTACAGAGTCGCATCAACGATGTGATTTTCATCATGCATGAGGCTCGGAACGCACCCAAGGTCCGGGAGCTGTGTCGTGAATGGCTGGCGGCTCGGGGCATTATGATTGAGAATGTGGAGAAGCACTCACAGGCTCATTTGTTACCTCACCAGGCATGGCCTCTTGGACACGGGACACAGCAGCCGCATGCCCTGCGTCAGTAGTTTAGCTGTTGTGGTTTGATGCCATGTTGGAAGGAATACTGCTGGGTGTTTGTGTGACCACTGACCATGATTCCCGCTGTACGATCCTGAATACTAGATAGTGAGGCACCTTTTCCCCCCACAGCCACCTCACGCCTTACCGTGTTACGTATGGTGTTTTTTACGGTATCAACAATAATGATTTTTACCCAGTGTGGTGTGGACTCCGAACTCGTGTCTTACTACTTTTGCTATAGCTTCTCCACTAGCTGTCGTCTGGTCCACACCACAGAGGAGGCACGACAGGAAACATCTACTTGCTGATTCCTGGCCTACCGCATTTGGCTTCTGAAAAAATGATATACGGTACAACTATTTCTGTGCAATTGGCCCAGAACATATCGGACTACACCCAGGAGGAGACTAGCTCTTCCTTGCTAGCCATGAGTGATAGCAGGGCAGATGCATTTGGTAAGTGGTATGCAGGGGGATGGCTGGCAGCACGTTATTGGAGTGGACGACAATCAGGCCGGCGGCAATTCCAAGGGCCATGTTGGGGAAGAGCAGCGAGAGGGAGAGGTGGAAGAGGGGGAAGAGCGCTGCAGACAGCATGGCAGCGTCGATCCTGAGGGAGAGAGAGGCATGGAAGGGGATAGCATAGGGAGGGAAATTAGTCAAACAAGACTTGGCCTGCTGACTTGATTTGACAAAGCATGCTTTGTGTTGACTTACTGACTTCAGTTCCAAACAGGCAAGGGTAACAACAAAATTACCCAACCCAGTGCAATTGATATGCTAGGAAAGAGTGTGCTTGGTGAGGTGTGGAGATCGCCCAACTTAGAACAAAAGCAAACCTCTTGCCAAACCTCAAGCCTCTCACCAGCCTGCCTCGCCACCTGCCAAACCTCTCAGCTGCTGCTAGTTCTGGTAATACCCCTGCCGTCTCCCCCCCATTGCCTGGTTTAAGAGAAACAAGCGAAAAAAGCAGAACCCATAGAATAGGACCCCTTACAGCCCCTGCCACAAGCCACAGCAGCCCATCAGCACTGCCCTACAGTTTGACCCCAAACTTCTCCTCAAACTATTTTTGAGGCGCCTCGAAAACTTCTCCTCAAACTATTTTTGAGGTGCCTCAAAAATTTTCGCTCATTGGAGGTCACAGCAGCCCATCAGCACTGCCCTACAGTTTGACCCCAAACTTCTCCTCAAACAGCTTGTCTGAACAGTGGAGAAACTGGCGCAAGCACACCGCTTTCCTTGTCGCCTCCAAGTTCAGAAGCCGCTTCTCTGTAGCACCTCTCTCCCCAAGCTCATCAATGCTTAGAACAACCCCATGTAACACTCCACTTCTCCTTTCTTCTGCTCCCCATTCAGCCTCTACTGCCGCCACACTCCTAGATAGACACAGAACCCAGCTTGCTCCTTTGTTTTTCAGCTCCAACACTCGTCCGACACATCATCTCGTGTGCCACAACCTCACAGCCCATTCGCACCAGTGCCACATGCCGCGGTCTGATTCGCCGATCCAGACTGTACCCAAGAAAGTGAGGAAAGGCAAGCACCTCCATTATAGAGAGCCCCATGTCCCGTTTTAGGTACTCCACCTTGAGCTTCAGGTTCGTTTTCCAGCTGCAGAAGACAGACTGCGGGTGCCTCACAACCAAATCCACCACCAACTGATGAGCCCTGCATCTTTTGACACTTGGTGCTGAGTCAAGTGCTCGACAATCATCTTTCCCGTCTAAGCAAGTATCTCCATCAACGACTCCCAACCTCTGCGTGCCATTTCCCACTTCTCCACTTCCCTCCAATGCCTCTTCCACTTCTCGCACAAGCTTACTGAAACTTTCCCTGATGCCATCTTCACTAGCACTCATCAGTGTAGGAAATCGTGCCACCCCCCGGACAGCATTCTCTCGGCCAATCAAATCAGCCAATACCGCCACCTTGTTTTGAAGATTCTTCTTTGATAGTTGCAGAACCGATGGGTAACTCCTCACCATTCTCCCTGCTGCCTCCTCCCCCACCAGCTCCACAAAGAACTGGAGCTTAGCTAGGAGGGTTTCTTTGCTGAGATTGAGGATGCTGGGGGCTAGACAAAGAACAGAGCCTGCAATGGAGGGGGTGCCTGGGGAAGTGAAGGACTGGAGAATGGCGAGATTCTCTGCAATGCGATAGGGAGGAGTAGAAAGATAGTTGGACACTTTAGGATAAGCCTGCGTAATTGGCTCGTGTCCCGATGCGGCTCATCTAGTCGCTGCTTCAAGAGGCTTGTACTGAGGCTTGTACATGTGCTATGTGGTCCTACATTCCCTCCAGATCTCGCCTTAAGATAAGTTGATAACATCTCAAGCTGGCTATTTACCGCCTCTTTGCTTCGAGTCAAGATGGACGGGCATCTCTCTATAATCACACCCAGCTTGTCCACAGGAACCCCTGCCCTCTCCACCAGAATGTCCAGGTTCGTTGAACGAGCCTCCCAGCAGAGTAAGGCCCATCCACGTCGGAGCACCAATCCTAATCTGCTACGGTGGACGTTATGAGCCAACAGAAACTCAAGGCAGTTTTGAATCTGTGGCAGGGGGGATCGGAGCCAGGCTCGTTCTCTCCCAGTGATGTGCACAATGTCGGCATGAGATACACCATATGACTGGAGGAGACGGACACGTGGCAATAAGTTATTGGTGGGATTGGAGCGGAGGAGTTGGGGGTTGAAGATGAGAAGGGATGCGACAGTAGAAGGTGAGGAGATACCGAGGTGGGAGGAGAAAAAGTGGTAGAGGGAGAGGAGGGAGGAGGGAGATACGACCCGCCGATTGTACAACAGAGGAGGGTGCGTGGGAGAAGATGTGGTGGGTGGTGCTTCCTCCTCACACGCCTCTGCTTCTGCATCTTCCTCATCCTCCTCTTTTTCCACCTCCTGATCGTCCCCCTCCCACCCCTCCTCCTCTTTCACTTTCTCATCGCTTCCCCAATCCTCCACCTCCTCTCTCACAATCTGAGGCCCGAACCTATCCCTCAGCACTCCAGCAATCACTGCCACTGCCTCCTCCTCCTCCTTGCAGCCTCTCTCACGCTTCCCGACTCCATTTCCCGCTACTACCCTCTCCACCCTCCCATCCCCACCTCCCTTCTCTCCCCCTTCCATTTTCCTGATTCTCCTCTGCCCTCCTCTCCCATCCCCCCTCTCCTCGTCCTTCACTGTACGCGTTTCAAACTCCGCTTGCACCGCTACTAGAGGCTTGCTTTTGGTAAGCAATTTCGACCCAGAGATAACAGTCTCTTCCTCGGAAGCTTCTGTGTCTACTCGCCTGGAAGACGCAGCAGCGGCTGACCATGCCACGAAGCTTCGGTCGTGGAACGATACCTTATTCTGAGGCGCCTCAAAGTTTTGGTCTTGGCTTCGGAGCTGGAAAGACGCGTATCGCGCAGGATAGATTGGATTCGATTTGATCCGATCGAGGTCTGGCAAGGAAGGAACATAAGATCGCGATGCAATCTGGTGCAGGTGAGAAGTACCCGAAGTAATGAGCCTGGGTATCGAACCGACAATTTGCCGTGACGTATGCCATAGCAAACGGCGGGCTGATCTACGCGAGGCGACGTAAAAGCTTATTAATTCGTTGATTTCGTTGCACCCGTCGAATTCGTCCTATTTGTTCAACTCTTCGTGTATGCCTGGATCCTCGCTAACCTTGGCTAGCTAGTGACGCGAAACGTGAAGTCGCAATTCGCCTGTGCGAATTCGATCATCGAAATCTGACGACAATCAGGAACCACGTATCTCTGTGAACTAATGCTCCCTCCAGCTACTTTTCTAACTAGCGTCTAGCTCCTCTCCAAGTGAGAACAGGTCTGGTTCACACTGGAAGAACAGGATCCCTGGGGACTACCGACTAGAATAGTGCGACAATCACCAAGGTCAAAGGGCGCGGCTATACAAGGTGCTTTACGTTGTAGAAGGCTCGAATACGTATACAGAGTGGTTTAGCTGGGTGCTGCGCAAGTTCCTGCTCATGTGAACTCTTCCGCATAAGCACTTTTCGCCAGGCAAGTGTCGGGGTCTTGGGGTAGGACCGAACGAAACCAGATGCTGGTTCGCCATAAATTGTAACTGTGGTTGCTTCGCATCTCTGCATCGCGCACTAGATACATGGAACGAGAATGATTCGCCTTGTCGCCAACGACGTGTTTGTATGACCACGATCCCCGCTATACGATCACGACGCACCATTTTCCCCACAGCCACCACAAGCCCTACTGTGTTATGGTGGTATTTTCAAAAAGAACTGAGGTGGTCTCCACTATAAAAGCACTTGTACCTCATTTCTTTTCATATAAAACGCATATACAATTTGACGCCATCTCTAGATCGCACAGCTGCAATACAATTGCAATAGCTTCTTTGATAGCTGTTATGAGGAACGAGTGATAGTAAACATATACTTTCTTAACTGCTGCTTCTTGCTCCATCGTAATCCTGATGATGTCCTTGTTGACTCGTGGGACCATTCAGATGGCATTGGCAGAGTGATATCAGCTCAGGTTTCACAGGTTGACCCCAAACTTCTCCACCTCAGGTTTCACAGGTTGTCTCTACCCCGAAGAAACTGCTGCAAGCACACTTTGCCAGCTCTCCCTCCTGGCTCGTCACTCCCTAGGAAACCCCCAAGAAACAGTCCATTGGCACAATCCCCCCCTTAGCATTGCTGCTCTTGCCTGTCATCCGCTCCTTCATTCTTTCCTTTCTTCCGCTCCGCATCCAATCCTCTCTCCCCCCTCCACTTTGCCAGACACAGAATCCTCTTTTTCCATTCTCGACGAAACACCCTTCCTGTCTCCAACACAACCATAGCCCATTCGCACCAGCAAGCAGGCCGCGGCAATCCCAAGGGCAATGCTGGGGAAGAGGATGGAGAGGAAGAGGTGGAAGAGGGCGAAGAGGGCTGCAGAGAGCATGGCAGCATCGATCCTGAGAAAGAAAGGAAGGCAGGAAAAGGGATAGTGCAGGCAGGAAAGAGGGGAGGAATGCAGGAGAGATGATATCAAGTGAGTGAAGATAGGAAAGAACGAGTGATATTGGATTGATGCGAAAAAGTGTGGGCTATGAGAATGGAGGACATTATAAAACCCAAATAGAAGGTGGTACGAGTGGACTCTTGCCAAACCCCACTACTAAGCCTCCTGCAAAGCCTCTCACCTGCCGAGCCTCTCTTGCAGGCCCGTGAGCAGCAGCCCTCTGAACAGCAGCTCCTCTGCTACAGCCGGTGACACCGCCACCCACAGGAACAGCTGTAGCAGGCCCAGCAGTGGGAGGGCTGCGGCAGCTGTAGCAGAGGCAGCTGTAGCAGAGGCAGCTGTAGCAGAGGCAGCTGTAGCAGCCACATCCCCTCAGGTCCCATCGGGCGGCAACAAAGGACCCAGCGGTAATGCTGTGGCACCAACACCTAGCCGCCTGACGGTTTGATATTCACAGTGTGGAGGCACAGATTTAGGCATTGGCACACACCCTCTCACTCAGGCATTCAGGCATGGACTGAGGCCCGGGGCACATTGGAAGCCTTTGAAGCCTATCAGCACAGCCCTATGGTTTGACCCCAAACCTCTCCTCGAACTTCTTGTCTGTGAAGTGAAGAAACTGGTGCAGGCCCACCCTTTTCTTTGACACCTCCAGATCCAGAAGCTGCCGCTCCATACCAACTCTCTCCCCTGTCTCATCATTGCCCCCGACAACCCCAAATAACGGCCCACTCTTCCCTTCTTCCGCTCCCCATACAGTCCCCTCTACCCCCTCCACATTGCCAGGCACAGAACCCAGCTTGCTCCTCTGTATCCCAGCTTCAATCGAATCATCCTTCCTGTCTCCTACACTCATCCGGCTTGACATCTCGCGTGCCACAACCGCATAGCCCATTCGCACCAGCGCCACATGTCGCGGTCTGATTCGCCCATCTAAACTGTACCCAAGAAATGGAGGGTATTCAAGCACCTCCATTATAGAGAGCCCCATTTCCCGTTTCAAGTACTCCACCTTGGGCTTCAGGTTCGTTTTCCAACTGTAATGGATAGACGACGGGTACCTCACAACCAAATCCACCACCAACCGACGAGCCCTGTATCTCTCAACACTTTGTGCTCGGGAAATCCGCAATTTCTATTTCCAAACAGTTACCTCTATCACCTTCCCTCAACCTTTGCGTCCCACTTCCCTCTTCTCCACTGCTCTCCAACGCCTCTTCCACTTCTCGAACAAGCTCTCTGAAACTTTCCCTCACGCCACTTTCACTAGAATTCATTAGTGTAGGAAATCGTGCCACCACCCGCACAACATTCTCTTGGCCAATCAAATCAGCCAATGCCGCCACTTTACCTTGCAGATTCTCCCTCGATAGTAGCAGAACCCCTGGGTGAATCCCCGCCACTCTTCCTGCTCCTTCCTCCCCCACCAGCTCCCCAAAGAATTGGAGCTTAGCTAAGAGAGTTTCTTTGCTGTAACCAAAAATGCTCGGGGCACGACGAAGCACAGAGCTGGCAACGGAGGGGGTGCCTGGGGGAGTGAAGGACTGGAGAATGGCGATATTCTCTGCAATGCGATAGGGAGATTTTGAGAGAATGAATGGACAGTTCAGGATAAGCTTGCTAAGGTGGCTCTTGTCCAGATGCGGCTCATGTAGTCGCTGCTTCAGGGGGCTTGTGCTGGAGCTATCCGCTTCTACCTTCCTTCCAGATCCCTCGTTGAGATAGGCTGATAGCATCTCAAGCTGCATACTCACCGTCTCTTTACTCCGAGTCAAGATGGCCGGCCATCTCTCTATAATCACACCCAGCTTGTCCACAGGAACCCCTGCTCTCTCCACCAGAATGTCCAGGTTCGTTGAATGAGCCTCATAGCAGAGTAAGCCCCATCCGTACAAAAGCACCGAGCCCAATCTGCTTTGGCGGATGCCTTTAGCCAAGAGAAACTCAAGCACACTCTGAATCCGTGGCAGGGAGGATCGGAGCCAGGCTGGATTTCTCAGAGTCATGTGCACGATGTCAGCATTGGAAATGCCGTATGATTGGAGGAGATGGACACGTGGCAGGAAGTCATTCGTGGGACTGGAGCGGAGGAGTTGGGGCTTAGAGGCGAGGAGGGAAGCGACAGTGGAAGGGGAGGAGATGCCGAGGTGGGAGGAGAAGAAGCGGTAGAGGGAGAGGAGGGAGGAGGGAGATACGACCCGCCGGCTCTTGAGTGGAGAAGGAGTGGGTGTGGGAGGAGATGTGGCAGGTGGTGCGTCCTCCTCACTCGCTTCTGCTTCTGCTTCTTCCTCTTCTTCCTCCCCCAATCCTTCTATACCCCCCTCCTCCTGTTGTTCCTCCTCCTCCTCCTCTTCCTCCTCCTCATTTCCCCCATATTCCTCTTCCGCCTTTTTCGCTGTTCCCATGACCAATCTGTCCCCACTGCTACTTATATCACTCTCCCACTCCTCCAACTCCCCTCTCACAATCTGAGGCCCGAATCTCTTCCTCAGCACTCCAGCAATCACTGCCACTGCTTCCTCCTCCTCCTTGCAGCATTTCCTCCCGTGTCTCTTCCTCATGGCTCCGTCACGCTTCCCCGCTGCATTTCCTTCTACGACCCTCTCCACCCTCTCATCCCGTCCTCCCTTTTCTCCCCTTTTTACTTTCCTGATGCACCTCTGCCCTCCTCTCCCATCCCCCCTTTCCTCGTCCTTCACTGTACGCGTTTTGAACTCCGCTTGCACTGCTACTAGAGGCTTGCTTTTGGTAATTAATTTCGACCCGGAGATAACAGTCTCTTCCTTGGAAGCTTCTGTGTCTACTCGCCTGGAAGACACAGCAGCGGCTGACCACGCCACGAAGCTTCGGCAGTGGAATGATACCGTATTTTGAGGCGCCTCAAAGTTTTGGTCTTGGTTTCGGAGTTGAAAAGACGCGTTTCGCGCAGGTTCGTTTGGATCCGATCTGATCTGATCGAGGCTTGGTAAGAAAGAAGCATAAGACCGCGATAGGATCTGGTGCGTTTGAGAAGTCCCCGGAGTAATGAGTCTGGGAATTGAACCGACACTTTGCCGTGATGTATGAGGTAGGACCAGCCATAGTAAACGGCGTGCTGATCTACGCGAGGCGAAGTAAAAGCTCATAAATTCGTTGATTTCGTTGCATTTGTCGAATTCGTCGAATTTGTTGAACTCCTCGTGTACGCCTGGATCCTCGCTAACCTTAGCTAGTTAGTGACGTGAAACGTGAACTCGCAATTCGCCTGCGCGGATTCTATCATCGAAATCTGACGGTGCGGATTCGATCATCGAATCCTGACGACTGTCAGGAAATACGTATCTAAGTGGATTGTTGATGCCTCGCCTCGAGCATTCTAGCTAGCACCTAGCTTCTATGCGAGAACAGCTCTGGTTCACCATTGAGGAACTGGATTCATTGGGACTACCGACAGGAACAGTGTGACGATCACCAAGGTCAAAGCGCACGGCTATATCAGGTGCTTTACGCTGTAGAACGCTTGAATACGTATACAAAGTGGTTAATCTGGGTGTTGAGACAATTCCTGCTTACGCGAACTCTCCTGCATGAGTACTTTTCGTCAGTCAAAACGAAACGAGATCAGAGCTGAAGTGTCGGGATCTTGGGATTTGACCGAACGAAACGAGACGCTGATGCAATTTTCGCCAGAAAACTGTAACTGTGGCTGCAGCGCATCTCTGCATCGCGAGATACGTGCAACCAGAATGATTCGCATTCCCGCCAAGGAGGTGCCTGTGTGACCATGATCCCCGCTATACGATCACGAGTACCATACTAGATTTTGAGGCACGTTTTCTCCCACAGCCACCACAAGCCCTGCTGTGTTATGGTGATATTTTCGTTTTAAATAGGAACGAATTCTACAAAATGTGGTCGCTGATACAAAAGCACTTGTACCTCATCTCTTTTTGTATAAATGCATATACATTGTGACACCGTCTTTAGATCACACAAATACAAACAGTTGCATTGACTTCTCCACTAGCTGTCATATGGTTTATACGGGAGGAACGAACGACAGTAAACCTAAGCTTCTTTAATTGTTGCTCCTTGCTCTATCATAAACCCTGATGAGGTCCTTACGTGTTGACGCAAGGGACCTTTCAGATGGCATAGGTAGAGTGATGTCAGCTCAGCTTTCACAGTTGGACCCCAAACTTCTCCAACTGTTTGTCTCTACCCCAAAGAAACTGCTGCAAGCACAATGTTTTCCTTGCTGCTTCCATTTTTCACAAGCTGCTGCCCTGTGACAGCTCTCCCTACTGGCTCATCACTCCTTAGAAAACCCTCACTCTGCTCCCTACTGGCTCATCACTCCTTAGGAAACCCTCACTCTGCTCCATACCCTCACTCTGCTCCCTACAGGGCCTACAAGGTGGTGCTATGGGGTAGTGACGAGCAGATCACCAGGACTCGCTGTGAGTGTGATCATTTCATGTAGCCTGGAGGAGAACAGAACAGAGGGAAGGAGAACGGTAGGATAATAAGAAAGGGGTGAAGGATGGAACTACAGAGTAAGCCATAGTCGGTGTGGGCATGGAAGAATGTGAAGTTACCCCCATGCCATCATACCATGGCATCACACCCATGCCGTAACACCCATACTGCACATATCCACACTGCCATCATATTCCTGCCATCACACCTCCATGCATCAGCTGCTCACCTGTACCACTACTCACCTGTACCACTACTCACCTGTACCACTACTCACCTGTACCACTACTCACCTGTACCACTACTCACCTGTACCACTACTCACCTGTACCACTACTCACCTGTACCACTACTCACCTGTACCACTACTCACCTGTACCACTACTCACCTGTACCACTACTCACCTGTACCACTACTCACCTGTACCACTACTCACCTGTACCACTACTCACCTGTACCACTACTCACCTGTACCACTACTCACCTGTACCACTACTCACCTGTACCACTACTCACCTGTACCACTACTCACCTGTACCACTACTCACCTGTACCACTACTCACCTGTACCACTACTCACCTGTACCACTACTCACCTGTACCACTACTCACCTGTACCACTGCTTCACCTGTACTCACTTGTATCACTCACCTACACCACTGCTCATCACATACCGCAGAAGACCAGTTGCTGCTCCCATACGGGTCTTGAGGCATCTCAACCTCAATGCCTTAGTACCGCTCACCTGAGGATGAGTCAAGCTCGCCTATATTGCTCCTTCTCCACAACCCCGTGCTCCACGTTCAGGCACCTGAACTTAGGTGACCAGCTGCTCGATTCCCTCCTCTCCCCATAATATGTTCCAAGGCATCCCAACGCAAGTATGTTACATGGCATGTCAACACATCGCATGCTCACCTGCATCGTTCCTCCTCCAAAACCCAGTGCTCCACGTTCAGGTACCGCATATGTGCAGCTGCTTCCTCCCATCCCCTTGTATTACAATGCATGTCAGTGCATTGTACGCTCACCTGCATCATTCCTCCTCCAAAACTCAGTGCCCCAAGTTCAGGTACCGCAGCAGACAGCCGGAGGCTCCCTTCACGCCAACCCCCCCTTCTGGCATAGATGTCACCACCCCCAGATGTGCCTCCTGCACCCATCTCACAGCCAGCACTCCTGCTGGCCAGGTATGCGAGGGCAAATTACCCTCGCTCTCATGCCTCTCGCTTCCTGATGTCATCCCCCCCCCCCCCCCACCCCTCCTCCTCTGCTGCGGAACATTCCTGGAAAGCTCGTCCACAATCTCAGGGTACTTCCCAACAACCAATGAAACGCTGACAGGTGTCGAATCAGGAATGGTGGCCTCACTGGGACCAGGTTCCTTCCCGCTCCACTGCTGCTTCCTTGACCTCTTCAACCACTGCTGCCACTGCCGGCTCAGTTGCCCAGGTGAAAGAATTGAAAGATACTACAAACACTGCATCTTTCAACCCTTTCCCCTCTTTCCTTCTCCCACTGGCATTGCATCTGCTCCCCCCCACCATTAGAGGTCTACTGGGAAGGCCCCAGACTGATAGGTCATGAAGTAGAGTGACTGCTGCACGCATTTCTTCCCCTCTCCTCAGAGCTTCCTCTTCTCCCTCCTTCCCTTCTCCCTCCTTCCCTTCTCTCTCCTTCCCTTTTCACACCTTTTTTCCCTCCTTCCCTCCTCGTTCCGCTCCTTCTCGCCCCTCCCCTCCTCGCTCCTCCCGATCTCTACCTGCTCCAGATAAGCACTCCTGCTCGCCTTGACGCGTTACAAGACGATCCACTCTTTGGAAGAATGCAGACTCTTGTACGAGAGCTGGGCCAGATACAAGTCATATTCAGCTTCATCCAACATCACTTTCTCCTCCTCCAAACTGTTTCCCGTTTTCCCCCATCCTCGTACCTCTCCTTCCTCTGCTCCCTCTTCCGCTCCTTCCACCTCCTCTTCCCTCATCCTTATCCAGCCATCACCTTCCCCCTCCCCGTCCTGATCCTCTCCCTGCTCGTCCTCAGCAGCAGCAGAACCTCATTCGTCCAATCATACCTTTCAAAACCTCCTCTCTCTTCTCCCCTCACCCAATTCCCTCTCTCCCCCCTCTCTCCCCTATCCCAATCCCCCCTCTCTCCTATTCTCTTCCCTCTGTCCATGCACCTTACACAGCTCCCCCCCCTGCCGCCTCCCCTCCAACACCTGTTAGCAGTGGAGCCTTGCCAAACCTCACTACCGAGCCTCCTGCCAAGCCTCTCACCTGCCGAGCCTCTCTTGCAGGCCCGTGAGCAGCAGCCCTCTGAACAGCAGCTCCTCTGCTACAGCCGGCGATACCTCCACCCACAGGAACAGCTGTAGCAGGCCCAGCAGGGGGAGGGCCACAGCAGATGTAGCAGCCACACCCCCACCGGTCCCATAAGACAGCAATAAAGGAGGACATAGCAACAAGGATGTAGCACTCACAGCTATTTCCTCCTCCTCCTTTTGCTGCTCCCGCTACTTCTGCTGCTGCTACTGCTGCTGCTGCTAGTTCTGGTAATCCCCCTCCCCCCCCCCCCCCCCCCCCCCCCCCCCCCCCCCCTTCCCTCCAGCACCTGTTTCAAGAGAAACTAGAGAGAAACGCAGGGCCCATAGAACAGGAACCCCCACCGCCCCTGCCAAATTCGCCTTCCACCAGCTATTGCTTCCTTCTTCCTATTTCTGTGCCCCTTCTCCCCATCCCCGTGCCCCTTCTCCCCATCCCCGTGCCCCTTCTCCCCATCCCCGTGCCCCTTCTCCCCATCCCTGTGCCCCCCACAGTGGTTGATGCAATGGGGATTTTGGAGGGGCTAATGTGGGTGGAGGGACACACACAGACATCAGGCATTGGCACACACCCTCTCATTCAAGCATTGACTCTGAGGCCCGCGGCACATTGGAAGCCACACAAGCCTAGCAGCACCAGCACTACAGTTCAACCCCAAACTTCTCCTCAAACAGCTTGTCTGAACAGTGGAGAAACTGCTGCAAGCACACCACTTTCCTTGCCACCTCCGCATGCACAATCTGCTGATTTGTAACAGCTCCCCCCACTGGCTCGGTGTCATGTCTTATGAAATCCTCAATCAGCGGCCAACTACCACAATCCTCTCCTTTACGCCGCTGCTCTTGCCTGTCACCAGTTCTTTCGCTCCCTCTTTCTTCCACTCCCCATTCAATTCCCTTTCCTCCTCCCTCCACTTTGTCAGGCACAAAACCCAGATTGCTCCTCTGTATCCCACCTTCGACCGAAACATCCCTCCTGTCTCCAAAACTCGTTCGACCAACCATCTCGCGTGTCACAACTGCATAGCCCATTCGCACCAGTGCCACATGTCGCAGTCTGATTCGCCAATCCAAACTGAACCCAAGGAAGCAAGGGTACGCCAGCACCTCCATTATAGAGAGCCCCATGTCCCGTTTTAGGTACTCCACCTTTGGCTTCAGGTTCGCTTTCCAACTGTAATAGATAGACGGCGGGAACTTCACAACCAAATCCACCACCAACTGACGAGCCCTGCATCTCTCGGCACTTAGTGCTCGGGAATCATTTTTCCCTTCCAAACAGTTACCTCTATCACCTACCCGCAACCTTTGCGTCCCACTTCCCTCTTCTCCACTGCTCTCCAATGCCTCTTCCACTTCTCGCACAAGCCCTCTAAAACTTTCCTTGATGTTATCTTTGCTAGAAGATATCAGCAAAGGAAATTGTGCCACCGCCCGCGCAACATTCTCTCGGCCAATCAAATCAGCCAATACCGCCACCTTGCCTTGCTCGTTCTCCATCGATAGACTCAAAACCTGCGGGTAGCTCCTCGCCACTCTTCCCGTTGCCTCCTCCCCCACCAGCTCCACAAAGAACTGGAGCTTAGCTAAAAGAGCTTCTTTGCCGAACCCGAGGATGGTGGGGGCACGATGGAGCACAGAGCTCGCAATGGAGGGGGTGCCTGGCGGAGTGAAGGACTGGAGAATGGCGATATTCTCTGAGATGCGATAGGGAGGACGAGAGAGGATGTCTGGCGCTCTCAAGATGAGCCTACTTAGGTGGCTTGTGTCCAGATGGGGCTCATCTATTTGCTGCTTCAAGTGGCCTGTGCTGGTTGTATCTGCTTCTACCTTCCCTCCGCATTCCGCCTTGAAAAAGGCTGAGAGCATCTCAAGCTGTGTATTCACCGTCTCTTTGCTCTGAGTCAAGATGTCTGGCCATTTCTCTATAATCCCACCCAGTTTGTCCACAGGAACCCCTGCTTTCTCCACCAGAATGTCCAGGTTCGTTGAACGAGCCTCGGAGCACAGTAAGAGCCATCCGCGCAGGAGCACCGAGCCCAATTTGCTACGGCGGACGCCTTGAGCCAAAAGAAACTCAAGTGAATTCTGAATCCGCGGCAGGGGGGATCGAAGCCAGGCTGGATGTCTCAGAGTTATCTGCGCGATGTCGGCATCAGAAATGACGTATGACTGGAGGAGACGGACACGTGGCAGGAAGTCATTGGTGGCATTGGAGCGGAGGAGTTGGGGCTTAGATGCGAGGAGCGAAGCAACAGTGGAAGGGGAGGAGATGCCGAGGTGGGAGGAGAAGAAGCGGTAGAGGGAGAGGAGGGAGGAGGGAGATACGACCTGCCGCCTGTTGAGTAGAGGAGGGGGCGTGGGAGGAGATGTGGTGGGTAGTACGTCCTCCTTACTCGCTTCTGCTTCTGATTCCTCCTCCTCCTCGTCCTCCTCCTCCTCATCGTCCCTTTCCTCCTCCTCTTTCACTTTCCGCACCCCCTCTTCGTCCTCGCTGCTACCTATCCCATTCCCCCACTCCTCTACCTCTCTCACAATCTGAGGCCCGAATTTCTCTCTCAGTACTCGAGCAATCACCGCGACTGCCTCCTCCTCCTCCTTGCAGCCTCCCGTCCCATATCTCGTCCTCTTGCCTCCCTCAGTCCTCTCCGCTGCATTCCGCGCTGCTACCCTCTCAACCCTCTCGTCCCCACCTCCTTTCTCTCCCCCATCCACATTCCTGATTCTCCTCTGATCTTCTCCCCCATCCCCCCTCTCCTCGTCCTTCACTGTACGCGTTTGAAACTCCGCTCGAACTGTTGCTAGAGGCTTGCTTTTGGTAAGTAATTTCGAACCAGAGATGACAGTCTCTTCCTCGGAAGCTTCTGTGTCTATTCGCCTGGAAGACGCAGCAGCGGCTGACCACGCCACAAAGCTTCGGCCGTGGGATGAAAACGTCTTTTGAGGCGCCTCAAAGTTTCGGCCTGGGTTTCGGAGTTGAAAACACGTGCTTCGCGCGGATTCGTTTGGATTCGATCTGATCCGATCGAGGTTTGGCAAGGAAGGAACTTAAGATCGCGTGAGGAGGCTGGGAATCGAACCTACAATTTGCCGTGACGTATGAGGTAGGACGAGCCATAGAAAAAAGCGTGCTGATCTACGCGAGGCGACGTAAACGCTCATGAACTCGTATATTTCGTTGCATTCGTCGAATTCGTCAAATTTAGCCTGGATCCTCGATAACCTGAGCTAGCTAGTGACGCGAAACGTGAACTTGCAATTCCCTGTGCAAATTCGATCATCTAAATCTGACGGTGCATATTCGATCATTGAAATCTGACGACTAGCAGGAAATACGTATCTATATGGATTGTTGACGCCTCGAACTATACTAATCTAGCTAGCATCTACTTGCTTCTATGTCGGAACAGCTCCAGTTCACCCGAGGAACTGGATTCCGTGCGACTACTGGCAAGACACTCAGATCATCAAGGTCAAAGGGCGCGGCTATTTCAGGTGCTTTACGTTGTAGAACGCTCGAATGGTTGAGCTTGGTGCTTAGCCAATTCCTGCTTATGTGAACTCTCCTGTATGGGGTGGGGACTGTCGGGGTCTTGGGATTTGACCGAACGCAACGCGACACTGATGCTATTTTCGCCAGAAAAAACTGTAACCGTGGCTGCTTCGCATCTCTGCATCACGACATACGTGCAACCAGAATGATTCGCGTTTTCGCCAAGGAGGTGCTCGTGTGACCATGATCCTCGCTATACGATCCCGAGTACAGTAATATATTTTGAGGCACCTTTTCCCCCACAGCCACCACAAGCCCTACTGTGTTATGGTGTTATTTACGCTCTACAAAAGGAACGAATTTTACAAAATGTGCTCTCATACAAAAGCACTTGTACCTCACTTATTTTCGTATAAATGCATATACATTGTGACTCTACCTCTAGATCACACAAAGACATGCAGTTGCATTAACTTCTACACTAGCTGTCGTCATATGGTCCATACGGGAGGAACGAACTGTAATCAACATATACATTTTTTATTGCTGCTTCTTGCTCTACCATAAACCCTAATGAGGTCCTTACGTGTTGACTCAAGGGACCCTTCAGATGGCATAGGCAAAGTGATGTCAGCTCATATTTCGCAGTTTTAATCTTCTCCAACTGTACCCCAAAGAAACTACTGCAAGCACACTGATTTCCTGGCCTTTCAGATTCACAAGCCGCTGCTCTTTGACAGCTCTCCCTCCTGGCTCGTCACTCCCTAGAAAACCCCCAAGTAACAGGCCATTGCCACTATCCTCCCCTTGGCATTCTTGCTCTAGCCTGTCAAGCCATTCCTTCATTCTTTCCCTCTTCCTCTTCGAACTCAATCCCCTCAACCCCCTCCACTTTGTCAGACACGAACACAGCTTGGTCCTGTCTTCACCAGCTCTTGTCGAAACACCCTTCCTGTCTCCAACATTACCATAGCCCATTCGCACCAGCAAGCAGGCCGGCGGCAATCCCAAGGGCCATGCTGAGGAAGAGGAGGGAGAGGGAGAGGTGGAAGAGGGCGGAGACGGTTGCAGAGAGCATGGCAGCGTCGATCCCGGGGGGAAAGAGGCAGGAAAGAGCATAGTGCAGGGGGAAAAGGAGGGGAAGGATACAGGAGAGGTGATATAAAGCGCGTGAAGAGAGGAAAGAAAGAATGACATCGGATTGATGAGAGAGAGTGTGGGTTATGGGAATGGAGGAGCTTATCAAACCCAAAAAGAAGGTGGTACCAGTGGACCCTTGACAAAACTCACTACCGAGCCTCCTGCCAAGCCTCTCACCTGCCGAGCCTCTCTTGCAGAGCTGTCAACAGCAGCCCTCTGAACAGCAGCTCCTCAGCTACAGCCGGCGACACCGCCACCCACAGGAACAGCTGTAGCACGTCCACCAGGGGGAGGGTTGCTCCAGCTGTAGCATCCCGACCCCCTCCAGTCCCATCAGGCAGGCAGTAACAGAGGACCCAGCAAATAGCTGTAGCACTCACACTATTCCCTCCGCCTCCTCCTGCTGCTCCTGCCGCTGCTGCTAGTTCTGCTACGCCCCCTGCCGCCTCCTCTCCAGCACCTGGTTTAAGTGAAACTAGAGAGAAAAGCAGGGCCCATAGAACAGGACCCCCTACTTCCCCTGCCACAATTGCCCTCCGACCAGCTATTGTTTCTCCCTATCAACGCTCCCCTCTCCCCATCCCCACAAGATTGTACCTTATCGCTCATTGGAAGCCACAGAACAGGAGCATATACCAGCACCAGCCCTACAGTTTGACCCCAAACTTCTCCTCAAACTGCTGGTCTGTGAAGTGGAGAAATTGGCTCAAACAAACGGCTCTCTTTGTCCCCTCCAAGTTCACAATCTGCTGCTCTGTAGCAGCTCTCCCCTCTGGCTCGTGATCACCGAGAAATTCCCTACCCCCATCCTCCTCCCAATCGCACTGCTGCTCTTGGCTGTCACCGATTTCCGCTCCCCAGCCAATCCCCTCCACTCCCTCCACTTCGTCAGAGAGTGAGGAAACAGAGCTTGCCTTGCTCCTCCGTATCCCAGCTTCTATTGAAACATCCCTGCTGTCTCCGATACTCGTCCGACTAGCCATCTCGTGTGACACAACCACATAGCCCATTCGCACCAGTGCCACATGCCGAGGTCTGATTCGCCGATCCAAACTTAAAGTAAGAAAGGAAGGGTAGGCCAGCACCTCCATTATAGAGAGCCCCATGTCCCGTTTTAAGTACTCCACCTTGTGCTTTAGGTTCAATTCCCAGATGCAGTAGATAGACGGCGGGTACCTCACAACCAAATCCACCACCAACCGACGAGCCCTGCTTCTCTTGTCGCCTTGTGCCCCAGACTGATTCTCCTCTTCCAACAACCAATCACCTCCATCTAGCCTTGGCATCCCCCTTCCCTCGTTTCCACTGCTCTCCAACGCCTCTTCCACTTCTCGCACAAGCTCTCTGAAACTGTTTTTCATGTTATCTTCACTAGAAGTCATTAGCAAAGGAAATTTTGCCACCACTCGCACAGCATTATCGCGCCCAAGTAAATCAACCAGTACCACAACCTTGCCTTGCAGGTTCTCCTTCGATAGACTCAGAACATGCGGGTAGCTCCTCGCCACTCTTCCTGCTGCCTCCTCTCCCACCAGCTCCACGTAGAACTGGATCTTAGCTAAAAGAGTTTCTTTGGTTAGATTGAGGATGCTGGGGGCATGACGAAGCACAGAGCTGGCAACGGAGGACGAGCATGGGGGAGTGAAGGACTGGAGGATGGCGATATTCTCTGCAATGCGATAGGGAGGAATAAAGAGAATGGCTGGAGACGCCACGATAAGCCTGCTTAGGTGACGCGTGCCCATACGTGGCTCATCTAGTCGGTGCTTCGAAAGGCTTGTGCTGGTGCTACCTGCTTCTGCCTTCCCTCCAGATTCCACCTTAAGATAGGCTGATAATGTCTTAAGCTGAGTATTCAACGCCACCGTCTCTTTGCTCCAAAACAAGATGGACGGACATCTCTCTATAATCACACTCAACTTGTCCACAGGAACCCCTGCTCTCTCTACCAGAATGTCCAGGTGCTTTGAACGTACCTCGCAGCAGAGTAAGAGAGGTTCATAACGGAGCACAGATCCCAATCTGCTTCGGTGGACGCCTTGAGCCAAAAGAAACTCCAGGGTATTCTGAATCCTTGGCAAAGAGGATCGGAGCCAGGCTGGTTCTTTCACAGTTACGTGAACGATATCGGCATGCGATATGCCAAACGATTGGAGGAGACGGACACGTGGCAGGAAGTCATTGGTGGGATTGGAGCGGAGGAGTTGGGGCTTAGATGTGAGGAGGGAAGCGACAGTGGAAGGGGAGGAGATGCCGAGGTGGGAGGAGAAGAAGCGGTAGAGGGAGAGGAGGGAGGAGAGAGATACGACCCGCCGGCCTTTAAGTAAAGAAGGAGGGGGTGTGGGAGGAGACGTGGCGCCAGCAGCGTCCTCCTCACTCGCTTCTGCTTCTTCTTCTTTTTCCTCCCCAAATCCTTCTACACCCCCCCTCCTCCTCCTCCTCTTCCTCCTCCTCCTCCTCTTCCTCCTCCTCCTCATTTCCCCCATCTTCCTCTTCCGCCTCTTTCACTGTTCCCATCACCAATCTGTCCCCACTGCTACTTATATCACTCTCCCACTCCTCCAACTCCTCTCTCACAATCTGAGGCCCGAATCTCTTCCTCAGCACTCCAGCAATCACTGCCACTGCCTCCTCCTCCTCCTCCTTGCAGCCTTTCCTCCCATAGCTCTTCCGCTTGCCTCCCTCACGCTTTCCCGCCGCATTCCCCGCTACTATCCTCTCCACCCTCTCATCCCCACCTCCCTTTTCTTCCCCTTTCACTCTCCTGATTCTCCTCCGACCTCCTCCCCCATCCCCCCTCTCCTCGTCCTTCACTGTACGCGTTTTAAGCGCCGCTTGCACCGCTACTAGAGGCTTGCTATTGGAAAGTAATTTCGACCCAGAGATAACAGTCTCTTCCTCGGAAGCTTCTGTGTCTACTCGCCTGGAAGACGCAGCAGCGGCGGACCACGCCACGAAGCTTCGGCCGTGGGATGAAAACGTCTTTTGAGGCGCCTCAAAGTTTCGGCCTGGGTTTCGGAGTTGAAAAGACGTGCTTCGCGCAGGATCGTTTGGATTCGATCTGATCCGATCGAGGCTTGGCAAGGAAGGAACGTAAGATCGCGTAAGGGGGCTGGGGATCGAACCTACAATTTGCCGTGGCGTATGAGGTAGGACCAGCCATAGCAAACGGCGTGCTGATCTACGCGAGGCGACGTAAACGCTCATGAAGCCGTTGATTTCGTTGCATTCGTCGAATTCGTCAAATTTAGCCTGGATCCTCGCTAGCCTTACCTAGCTAGTGATGCGAAACGTGAACTTGCGATTCCCTGTGCGGATTCGATCACCGAAATCTGGCGGTGCGGATTCGGTCATCGAATTCTGACGACTATCAGGAAAAACGTGTCTCAGTGGATTGTTGATGCCTCGAACTATACTAGTCTAGCTTGCATCTACTAGCTTCTGTGTCGGAACAGCTCCAGTTCACCCGAGAAACTGGATTCCTTCACCCAGCAGGAACGGCTATATCAGGTGCTTTACGTTGTAGAACGCTCAATTACGTATACAGAGTGGTTGATCTGGGTGCTAAGCCAATTCCTGCATATGTGTACCCCCCTGCGTGGGCACTTTTCGCCAGTCAAGTGTTGGGGTCTTGGGCACTGTTGCTATTTTCGTCAGAAAACTGTAACTGTGCCTGCTTCGCATCTCTGCATCGCGAGATACATGCAACCAGAATGATTCGCACTCTCGCCACAGAGGTGCCCGTGTGACCATGATCCCCGCTATGCGAACCCGAGTACCGTAGTAGGCACCTTTTCCCCCTAGAAGCCCTACTGTTAGGCCCACTGGCCTAAGTCCGCTAAAGAATTAGCGGGGTCGACTAAGTCGAGGATGAAGCGCGGCGGAAGACTTTGGCGAAAGAACTACTAGCGAAATAGGCGAAGGAGTTACTGAGTAATTGAAGAAGAGTTGAATGAGAATTGGTTGATATGAGGGAATACAAGCAAGGTTTATATAGCATGCAAGAAGGAAGGTTGGAAAGTAGAATGTGGGACTAGGAATTGGAAGCAAAGAAAGTAGAGTGCCACGTGGCACTAAGAAATCTAAGAAGATAAGGATAAGGGTGAGCTGGAAAGTACTGTTCAAAGTGAACAGTAAATCCCCCCTTAACACTACCCCCCTCCCAAGGAGGCGACGTCCGCGGCGCCTGCAGACTGAAGGTACGCTCGGAGGCAAGCGTTGTCGGGAGACAGCGAGGACGAAGGAACCCAGCTGTCGTCGGCTGCATCGTAACCACGCCAACGAACCAAGAAGTCGATGAAAGAGACACCCCCCTGGAGACGGCGACGGTGCCTGAGGATGCGCTGGATCTGGTAGTCGGGCTCGTCGGTGTCAACAGCTACCGGCAGTGGAGTGCGATCACGGCCCGAGAAGGTGGTGTTGGGATCGGTGTAAGGCCGAAGGAGAGACACGTGGAATGATGGGTGCATGCGGAAATGAGCGGGAAGGCGAAGGCGGTATGCGACTGGACCAAGTGCGCGCTCAATGACAAATGGACCAATGAAGCGTGGGCGAAGCTTGCTGTCCTGTGGCAGTCGGAGGTTGCGGCTATCCAAGAGAACACGGTCGCCAACTGCGAACGACACCTCACGACGACTGCGGTTGGTGGTGCGTGCCATGCGTGCATTTGCAAGCTCAAGGTGCTTCCTCACATGGTCGTGAATGAAGGTGAGATGCTGGTGGAAGTTGTCCGCACGAGGGACGGTGGGTGTGAGATTGACACGGGTGGGGACATTGGGGTGCTGACCGTACAGTGCAAAGAACGGTGACATGCCTGTGGCGGAATGATGCGTGTTGTTGTAGGCGAACTCAGCCATGCTCAGCTTCTTGTCCCATGCTGCTGCGTCGTGCATCGTGATGCTGCGAAGGATCTGCTCCAAGGTCTGGTTCACGCGCTCAGTCTGTCCGTCTGTCTCTGGATGGTACGCAGACGACATGGCTAAGCGAGTCCCAAACAGTGCGAAAAGCTGCTTCCAGAACTTCGAGGTGAATCTAGGGTCGCGATCGGAAATGATGGAATCGGGAACCCCGTGCAGTCGGACTACGTTATCTACGAACAGCGTCGCGGCTTCCTCTGCTGTGACCTGACCGTGCGTGGGGATGAAATGCGCTGCTCGAGAAAACTTATCCACTACCACGAAGATCGCGTCGTGACCCCTAACTGTGCGCGGTAATGCCATGATGAAGTCCATCGTAACTACCTGCCAAGGGCGGTCGGGCGGTGGAATCGGCTGCAAAAGACCTGCTTTGCGCTGGCGGGAAGATTTCGTACGCTGACACGTGTCGCACGAGCGAATGTAATCCTCTACGTCTGCTGCAAGCCCTGGCCAGTAGTACGTGCGACTAAGCGTCTTAGCCGTCTTGTCTGCTCCAAAGAGACCTGCACTAACTACGTCGTGCGCCTCTGAGAGAAGGAGCTGTCGAAGAGGGCGGTAGGCTGGAACCCAAATCCGTGTGGTGCCCTTCCGTATGTAAACACTACCCTGCACCTCTGCTCCTGCGGGCGGCTGCGGTGTGAAGTCGGATCTACCGTGTAACCGTGCTCGAAGTGTGCTGTGAGAAGTGGATGGCCTGCAGTGACTGTGAGGCTAGCGAGCTGACAACTAGGGCGAGTGAGCGGATCTGCTGGGTTGCGCACGCCTGGCTTGTACTCTATCCTGTAATGAAAGCTCCCCTCCATGAACTCCATCCATCTAGCCTGGCGACGACTCAGCTGCGGTTGCGACTTGAGAAAGCGAAGCGAGCAATGGTCCGTGCGTATAACACTATCTGCCCCCTCTAGGTAGCACCTCCATACCTTATACGCATGGATGATTGCGAGCACCTCTTTGTCGTGTATGGGATAGTTCAACTCCGCTCCCCTCAGCTTACGCGACTCGTACGCGATCGGCTGCAACCCGCGTCCCTGGTCCTGAAGAAGTACTGCTCCTATGGCCTGATCTGAAGCGTCGGTCACTACAACGTACGGGCGAGTGGGATCAGGGTACGACAGTGTCGGTGAAGACGTGAGCGACTGCTTCATCTGCTCGAACGCCTGCTGCTGCGCTGGACCCCAAACGTACTCTACGCCTTTCCGAAGTAGGTCGGTGAGTGGACTAGCGATGGAAGCGTAACCCTGAACGAAACGACGGTAATAATTCGCTAAACCGAGGAAGCTCTGCAACTCCTTGACTGAGGTCGGTGCCACCCAATCCTGTACGGCTGCGATCTTCTTCGGGTCGGTCCTAACGCCACTAGCGGATACGACGTGTCCTAGGAACTCGACCTCGGGGAGAAAGAACTCGCACTTCGACTGCTTCGCGTACAGCTTCTCCCTCCGCAAGACCTCAAAGACCCTCTGCAAGTGCTGCACGTGCTCCTCTTTCGACTTGGAGAAGATCAAGATGTCGTCTAGGTAAACGACAACGAACGAACCTAGGAACTCGGAGAGGACTGTGTTCATGAGCGTCTGGAACGTCGCTGGGGCGTTGGTCAAACCGAACGGTAGAACCCTAAACTCGTACAACCCCTGCTTCGTACGAAACGCCGTCTTGTGCTGGTCCTCTGGAACTACACGAATCTGGTGGTAACCCGAACGAAGGTCGATCTTAGAAAAGACTCTAGCGCCCTGCACTGCATCTAGAAGATCCTCTACTCTCGGCACCGGGAATCTGTTCTTGACGGTGGCGGCGTTCAGTGCGCGGTAATCTATGCACATCCGTAACCCTCCGTCTTTCTTAGGCGCGAAAAGGATCGGTGCGGCCCAAGGCGATCTAGATGGCTGTATGAACCCCTGTGCGAGAAAGTGCCTAACCTGCTGCGTCATCTCCTCTGTCTCTGCTGGACTCAACCTCCACTGCGGCTTTGCTACTGGCCTGCTCCCCGGCTCCAACTCTATTCGATGGTCGACTGCTCGGCTAGGAGGTAACCCTGGGGGCAACTCGTCGGGGAAGACGTCTGCGAACTCCGCTAACAGTGCACTCACCTCAGCAGGAAGAGTCGTCTTCTCACTAACTGCTGCGCTCCCTCCTTTCCCCTCCTCAGCTTCCACCTCCTCAAGGAAAACCGCGAAGATCCGTGCCGCTCGCTTCACCAGCTGTCGCACACGAACAGCATTGATGATCGCTGTGGATGATGTGGCCCCATCGCTCCACTGTGGCAGCTCCCGGAACTCCCCGTCTACCTTGACGCTGCAGCTTCCCTGAGCCCAATCGAACTGAGTACTAACCGTCCGTAGCCAATCTCTCCCGAAGATGAAATCGTAACCGTCCAGCGTCGCAGAGTCGAAGTCACGCCTAACTGTGATCGGTCCTAGCACTACGCGCAACTTGCGAATGACTGGTCCTATGTGGAGAGGCGTCCCATCTATCATACGTGCGTCCTTGAAGTTGACTGAGGAATCTGCTTCAAGATGGAGACGGCTAACTAATGAAGACGAAACGAACGAGTGGCTAGCTCCGCTATCGACGAGAATCTTAACAGGAACTCCGCGAAGCTTCCCTAGAAGCACGACTGGACGATCAACAGTGTCTACCTCGTTCTCCGTAGATGACTGCTGCGAGGCCGTCTCCTCTACGTTGGTAGACCTGGCGGGTACGGGAACCTCCACACCAGCTAGCGACCCGCTATCTACTGGCGGTTTCCGTTTCCCTGCTGTCGCTCCTTGAACTGTGGGCAGTCCCGCTTCATGTGTCCCGGCTTTTTGCAGTAGTGACAGTTCCCCCTAAATCCGTTGCGCTGTGAGCCGTCACTGTTAACTGCACCAATCTCCATGGGCGACGGTCCGTCCCTCGATCGAGCGTCGTTGATCGGTCTGTTGTATCCCCTATCGCGATCGTCACGACCCCGTCGGCTTCGTACTGCGTCGACGCGTTCTGCTGCTGCGACTACTGACTCGAAGGTGGACAACCCGTGAATCGCAATAATCTCCGCTATGTCCGGCTTCAACCCTTCGAGGTAGCGATCGCGCATCTCTGCTTCCGTGATGTCGTCTATCTCGTTGCAGATGCTCAAGAACCGTCGTGTGTACTCCTGGACGTTTCCTATCTGTCGGAAATGACGCAGACGCTTCCTAGCAGCTTCGGAGGCGTTCACCAAATCGAACCTACTTTTCAGCGCCGCTTCAAATCCTTCCCATGTCGTCGGAACCGTGGTAACACCCAAAGCTAAACTCCCTAAGCTCGAAGTTGCAGCTGCATGCCCCACGCCCTGTTGATGCCCGTCTAACTGAGCCCTCCGTACAGCAGTCTGCGTAAGTTGGCGCCACCACTCCAAGGCCGGGCCCCTCAGCAGCGTTACGGCGTACTCGATCCGCTGCTGCGCGTCCGCCTCTTGCACCCCGCTCGCGGCGAAGTAATTGTTGAGCATGAAGAGCCACGTTCGCACGTTCGCGTCGCGTTGACTTGGGTCGAACGACTCGGGCTTCTGCGGCTTGAGCGCGCTTCGACGTTCCGGCAGCGCTTCCGCGCCAGTCGACGTGGTGGGTGCAGGAGTTGGTGCGGCATGACCATGGGGGTTAGAAGCCAAATTGCGAAGCTGTTGCATTTCGGCTCGTACCTGACGATTTGTCAAGACGGGCGAAACGAGAGCTAGGATCAGGCTCGGGTGGTACGATCGGAGAACGGAGAAACGGGATCCCACAGGATCCTAACCTAACTGATACCATGTCAGAATGAGAAAACGGATGATGCATTGTTGTTGGTTGGGGTACATATAGCTAACCCTAAGTTTTGTACCCCCTAAGACAAACCTCACCAGGTTGCTCCGTCCCCCCAGGTAGCTGTGTCTTGTCAGGTTCCTCCGTCTAGTCCGGTCGCTGCGTCGTGCTCCTGTCGGTCGCTTGCCCACCCCACCGTTTTGTGGCACCACCGGCTGGGGCACCCTTCTCCTCCTCGTCTTCGCGCTATGTCTCGTCAGCGTCTTGTCTTAGGTCTCCCGCGTGTCTTGCCGTCGCTGCCGCCGTCCCTTGCACCACCGTGCGGTCCTTGCGTCGAGGGTAGGCTGCGCGCCACCCCTCACTCCTCCTCCCTTCGTCCGGCCACCGAGCCTTTTGAGACGCTGCACTTGGACGTCTGGGGCCCCTCTCCTCGCCCTGGCCCTGAGCGTGAGCGTTTCTTTTTGGTGGTCGTTGACGACTACTCCCGCTACACCACAGTGTTCCCCCTGGCGAGGAAGTCTGAGGTGACTTCTACGCTGATCAGGTGGTTGCTTACCACCCAGGACACTCGTGGTCGTCGTGTCAGCTGTCTCCACTCCGACCGCGGGGGCGAGTTTCGCTCCGGCATTCTCGCTGGATTCTGTCGCGAACAGGGCATTCGTCAGTCCTGGACGCTTCCGGAGTCCCCACAGCAGAATGGGGTTGCTGAGCGTCGCATAGGCCTGGTCATGGAGATTGCCCGCACCTCCTTGACTCACGCCCGTGCCCCCCATTTCCTGTGGCCATACGCGGTCAGGTACGCCGCGCACCAGCTGAACCTCTGGCCACGCGTCTCTCGGCCGGAGGCTTCACCGACCAGTCTTTGGACAGGGTCCCCTGGTGTCGCGTCGAGGTTTCGTGTCTGGGGGTGCTTGGCTCTTGTCCGCGACACCTCCGCGGACAAGCTCTCGCCTCGCGCCGTTCCTTGTGTTTTCCTTGGTTTCCCTGAGGACTCCTCTGACTTCACCTTTTACCACCCTCCCTCTCACCGGTTCTTTGACTCCCGTGACGTCCGTTTCGAGGAGTCCACCCCCTACTACGTCAGGTACCCCAGTCGAGGTCTCCCGGTCCCTCCCCCCCCTCTCTTCCTGACCGCCGCTCCCCCGCCTGCTCCCCCGGTACAGCCTCCCCCCCTGGTCCAGCCCCGTCTGGTGTGTCTCAGGCTAGCCCTCCCCCTTCGGTAGCCCCCCCTGTACAGCCTCCCTCCCCACAGTCTTCCTCGCCGCCTCCTGCAGGTGCTCCCTCTCGGGAGGTTGGTCCTGCGACTGTCCCTGTACAGGTCTCTGGTTCTGGGGGTGCTGGAGTTGGAGCTGAGCCGCGGGTTGCAGAGGACTCTTGTCTTCCGGGGGCTGGTACTGGTCGTGCGGAGTCTGGGGGTGCTGGTGCGGAGTCTGGGGGTGCTGCGTCTGGGGGTGAGGGTGTCCCTTCGGTTTCTGGAGAGCCTGGGTCTGGAGCTGGTGTTAGTGCTGCCTCTGGGGGTGGTGTGCTTGGTGCTTCGGAGGTCGACTCTGGGGCTGCCGCTGCCCCGGACACTACTCCTTCCCCCCACCCCTATCCGACCAGGTTCCAGGCTCGTGTTCGCCGTGCTCGTGAGGAGCAGCTGGAGTTGGAGAGAGAGGAGAGAGAGTTGCAGCGGCTCGAGGAGCAGGAGCGACAGCAGCAGGAGCAGCAGCAGGAGCAGCAGCAGGGGCAGCAGCCGCTGGAGCAGCAGCAGCCGCAGCAGCCGCAGCAGCAGCTGCTGCCGTCTCCTCCTCCTGTCTCGGGTCTTCGGACCCTTGGTCTCCCCTCTCCCTCTCCTTCCTCCTCCCCCTCTCCTCCTGTCTCTGGTCCTCCGCTTCCTCCTCCTGACCCCTCTCCCGCTGTTTTCCCTCGTTCTCAGTCTTCGTTGTCTCCTCCTCCTTCTCAGACTTGGGCCTCTCGTCGCTCCCCTCGTGCTCGTCCCTCGTCTCCTGTTCCCTTCACTGACCTTCGTACAGCCTTCCTTTGTTCTCGTCCACCTCGTCCGTCTCCGTCTGTGCTTCCGTCTCCTCCTGAGTCGGCCCTCACTGTGTCGCTTCCTTCTCCTGTCACTGACTACTACCACACGTACCGTCCTGTTCTCTCTCGTGTTCTCGCCTCTCTTGTTACCCACCCTCGTGCCTCTCTGTCCTCTGTGTCCGCTCTTACTGCCGCAGTCACTGAGTTTGCCTCTACTCGCCGCCTTGACTACGCCACCAGTCTTGTGGCTGCTCCTCCTTCCAGTCCTCTGGCCGTCGGGGGTGTGTCTGCCCTTGGCTGTGACGCCCTAGAGGACAGGCAGTTCGAGCTAGAGTTCCTGGCGGCCGCTTCCCCTCATCTCTGTGCCATGCTCCTCTCCCCTGAGGGAGACCCCGACGCCCTTGACATTCCGACTCCTCGCACTTACGCTGAGGCAGTGTCAGGGCCTTGGGCCTCTCAGTGGAGAGCTGCCATGGACGCAGAGATGGCCTCCTACAAATCCACAGGCACCTACGTCGATGAGGTTCCTCCCCCTGGGACGAACGTAGTCGACGGCATGTGGATCTACAGGGTGAAGCGGCCACCGGGATCTCCTCCGGTCTTCAAGGCGCGCTACGTGGCTAGAGGCTTCAGTCAGCGCGAGGGAGTTGACTTCTTTCAGACCTTCGCGCCCACCCCGAAGATGACCACTCTTCGGGTGTTACTACACGTAGCAGCACAGAGAGACTACGAGTTACACTCTCTCGACTTCTCTACTGCTTTCCTTCAGGGCAGTCTTCACGAGGAGGTCTGGTTGCGTCGTCCCTCTGCCTTCACTGGCTCTTTCCCTCCTGGGACCCAGTGGAGGCTGAGGCGACCGGTTTACGGTCTTCGTCAGGCTCCTCGTGAGTGGCACGACACCCTGCGTTCTACCCTGTCTGACCTTGGGTTCCAGCCGTCTTCTGCTGACCCGTCGCTGTTCGTTCGTCGTGGCCCCACACCTTTCTTTGTTCTGGTCTACGTTGACGACCTTGTTTTCGCCACCCCTGACAGGGTTGCTTTGGCACACGTGAAGTCCGAACTGCAGAAGAGACACACCTGCACTGATCTTGGTGAGCTGCGCCACTACCTTGGCCTGCAGATCACCAGGGACAGAGCTGCTCGCACCATTACACTTTCACAGTCACACATGGTGCAGCAGGTCCTTCAGCGGTTCGGGCTTCAGCACTCCACAGTACAGCGCACACCTCTTGCTGTTGACCACAGACTCACTGGACCCTTTCCTGACGAGCCGTTCGAGCCTAGTGGTCCCTACGCAGAGCTTGTGGGTTGCCTCATGTACCTGATGACTTGTACTCGCCCGGACCTCGCCTTCCCTCTCAGCGTTCTTGCGCGCTTTGTTGCACCAGGGAGACACCGTCCTGTTCACTGGACAGCAGCTGTGAGGGTGGCGAAGTACCTAGCGACGACATCAGGCGTGGGGCTAGTTCTTGGAGGGCAGCAGTCTGTCGTACTTACTGGTCACTGTGACTCCTCTTACGCTGACGACGCTGAGACTCACAGGTCTACTCAGGGGTACTGTTTCAGCCTGGGTTCTGGAGCTGTTTCCTGGCGGTCCACGCGCTCCTCTTCGGTCTCGACCTCTACAGCTGAGGCTGAGATCTACGCTGGTGCCATGGCGGCACAGGAGCTGCGTTGGTTGACCTTCTTGCTCACCGACCTTGGTGAGCGGCCGAGCTCTGCACCGACCTTGTTCACTGACAACAAGGCGTCTATTCTCCTTTGTCGAGAGCCACGACTGGAGAGCAGAGTGAAGCACATTCACGTCAGGTACTTTCTTCTGCGAGAGTTGCAGAGGCGTGGACAGGCTCGCTTTGAGTTTGTGGAGTCCGAGGCCAACACTGCAGACATCTTCACCAAGGCGCTTCCGCCTTGTGACCACCAGAGGTGCTGTGTGCAGTTAGGCCTTGTTGACACTGGTTTTCGTGTTGCTTAGACTTGAGTGTACTGTTTACTTTGCTTTCTATATATCTCTGTTACTTCTTGGACTGGCCTTGTGGCCACTGTTGTTTGTGCTCAGACTGTGTGGTGACGTTGTGATCCACCCTGAGCTTCGTTTCTTGGACTGGTCTTGTGACCGTACTCGTTTGGTTCTGCTAGACACCCCTCACTTAGGCTATGGGGGTGTGTCAAATGTTGTAGCCTATAGTGAGGTTTGTCTTAGGGGGTACAAAACTTAGGGTTAGCTATATGTACCCCAACCAACAACAATGCATCATCCATTTTCTCATTCTGACATGTAGTAGGTTATGTTAGTAAAGAGTGCTTCTATGGTCTACTTGTTGTGTGCTGCTCATCAATGGTAGATTGTACCTCTAACTGTGTGAAATGTGACCTAAAATTGCACTTTTGCCGCACATAACACCCACCCCCCGGGTCTTATATAGGATCACCCCAAAAGGGGGGGTATAGTACCAACGGGGTCAAATATAACACCCCCCCCGCACAAGCTACCCGGGGGTGTACAATTCGGGGTGGGTGTTTTATCCGGGGGAATACGGTATATAGCATGCAAGAAGGAAGGTTGGAAAGTAGAATGTGGGACTAGGAATTGGAAGAAAAGAAAGTAGAGTGCCACGTGGCACTAAGAAATCTAAGAAGATAAGGATAAGGGTGAGCTGGAAAGTACTGTTCAAAGTGAACAGTAAATCCCCCCTTAACACTACTGTGTTATGGTGATATCTACGCTCTAAAAAAGGAACGAATTTTACACAAGGTGGTCTCTAATGCAAAAGCACTTGTACCTCATTTGTTTTCGTATAAATGCATATACAATGTGACGCCATCTCTAGATCACACAGACATACAGTTGCAATGACTGCTCCACTAGCTTTCATATGGTCCATACGGGAGGAACGAACGACAGTAAACCTATACCGGTACTTCTTTAATTGCTGCTTCTTGCTCGATCATAAACCCTGATGAGGTCCTTATGTGTTGATTCAAGGAACCGTTCAGATGGCACAGGCAAAGTGATGTCAGCTCAGAACTCGCAGTTTCACCCCAAACTTCTCCAAATATTTGTTTGTATCCCAAAAAAACTGCTGCAAGCACAGCGAGTTCCTGGCCGCTTTCAGATTCACTAGCTGCTGCTCTGTGACAGCTCCCCTTCCTGGCTGATCACTCCTGGGGAAATTCCCAAGTAACAGTCCATTGCCACAATCCTCCCCTTGGCATCCCTGCTCTTGCATGTCAACCGCTCCGCATTTCCTTCGCTCTTTCCTTCTTCTGCTCCGCACTCAATTCACTCTAACCCCTCCACTTAGTCAGACACAGTACCCAGCTTGCTCCTCTCCTCTCCAGCTCTCATCGAAACAGCCTTCCTGTCTCCAACACAACCATAGCCCATTCGCACCAGCAAGCAGGCCGGCGGCAATCCCAAGGGACATGCTGGGGAAGAGGAGGGAGAGGGAGAGGTGGAAGAGGGCGAAGAGGACTGCAGAGAGCATGGCAGCGCCCATCCTGGGGGGAAAGAGGCAGGAAAGAGCATAGTGCAGGGGGAAAGGCAGGGGAAGGACACAAGAGAGACGATATAATGCGCGTGAGAGAGGAAAGAAACAATGGCATTGGATTGATGAGAGAGAGTGTGGGTTATGGGAATGGAGGAACTTATCAAACCCAAAAAGAAGGTGGTACCAGTGGACCCTTGACAAAACTCACTACCGAGCCTCCTGCCAAGCCTCTGACCTGCCGAGCCTCTCTTGCAGGTCTGTGAGCAGCAGCCCTCTGAACAGCTGCTCCTCTGCTACAGGTGGCGACACCACCACCCACAGGAACAGCTGTAGCAGGTCCAGCAGGGGACACCACAATAGCTGTAGCAGAGACAGCTGTAGCAGAGACAGCTGTAGCAGAGACAGCTGTAGCAGAGACAGCCGTAGGAGAGGCAGCTGTAGCACCCACCAGGCAGCAACAGAGGACCCAGCAAAAAGCTGTAGCACTCACACTATTCCCCCTGCCTCCTCCTGCTGCTCCTGCCGCTGCAGCTAGTTCTGCTAACCCCCTGCCGTCTCCTCTCCAGCACCTGGTTTAATTGAAACTAGAATGAAAAGCAGAGGCCATAGCACAGGATCCCCCACCGCCCCTGCCACAATTGGCTAATGTGGAGCGACACACACAGACATGAGGCATTGGCACACACCCTCAGGCATTGACTCTGAGGCCCAGGGCACATTGGAAGCCACTCAGGCATTGAATTCTGTGGCCCAGGCCTGTGACCCTGTAGGCCCAGGGCACATTGGAAGCCACTCAGGCATTGACTTCTGTGGCCCAGGCCTGTGACCCAGGCATTGGAAGCTGTAGGCCCAGGGCACATTGGAAGCCACAGAAGCATATATCAGCAGCAGCCCTACAGCTTGACCCCAAACTTCTCCTCAAACTTCTTGTCTGAGCATAGGAGAAACTGCTGCAAGCACGCCAATTTCCTTCTTGCCTCCAAATTCACAAGCTGCTGCTTTGTAGCAGCTCCGACACCTGGTTCGTGATTGCCTGGGAATTCCTCAAGCAGCAGCCCACTACCAGAATCCTCCCCTTCGCCTTGCTGCTCTTGCCTGTCGCCCGTCCTTACACTCTTCCTTTCTTCCCCTCCCCAATCAATCCCCTCCGCCCCCCCCACTTCGTCAGAAAGAGAGGAGCCAACAGAACCCAGCTTGGCTCTCTGCTTCCCAGCACTCGTTCGAAAAACCACCTTGTGTGCCACAACCTCATAGCCCATTCGCACCACTGCCTCATGCCGCGGTCTGATTCGCCGATCCAAACTGTACCCAAGAAAGGCCGAGCAGGCAAGCACCTCCATTATAGAGAGCCCCATGTCCCGTTTTAAGTACTCCACCTTGGGCTTCAGGTTCGTTTTCCAGCTTTGGGTAATACACGGTGGAAACTTCATAACCAAGTCCACCACCAACTGACGAGCCCTGCAACTCTTGCCACTTAGTGCTGAGCTTAATGCTCGGGAATTATTTCCCCCTTCCAAGCAAACCGCACTGTCACCTTTACCCAGCACTTGCGTCTCATTTCCCACATCTCCACTTTTCTCCAACGCCTCTTCTACTTCTCGCACAAGCTCTCTGAAAGAATCCTTCATGCCATCTTCACTAGACATTACTAGCAGAGGAGATCGAGCCACCAACCGCATGGAATTCTCTTGGCCAATCAAATCAGCCAGTGTCGCCACCTTGCCTTCCACGTTCTCCTTTGATAGTTGCAGAACCTGCGGGCGGCTCCTCACCATTCTCCCTGCTGCCTCCTCCCCCACCAGCTCCACAAAGAACTGGAGCTTAGCTAAGAGAGTTTCTTTGCTTAAACTGAAGATGCTGGGGGCACGACGAAGCAGAGAGCTCGTGATGGAAGGGGTGCCTGAGGGAGTGAAGGACTGGAGAATGGTGATACTCTCTGCAATGTGATGGAGATGACGAGAGGAGATGACTGGATACTTAACGATAAGCCTGCTTAGGTGGCTTGTGTCCAAATCCTGCTCATCTTGTCGCTGCTTTAGGAGGCCTGTACTGGTGCTACTAGCTTCTACCTTCGTTCCATACCCCGCCTTAAAGAAGGCAGATAATGCTTCGAGCTGCTTATTCAGCGCCTCTTTGCCCCGAGTCAAGATGTCGGGATATCTCTCTATAATCCCACCCAGCTTGTCCACAGGAACCCCTGCCTTCTCCACCAGAATGTCCAGTTTCATTGAAGGTGCCTCACACCAGAGTAAGCGTCGTGCACGTCGGAGGATCGAACCCAATTTGCTTCGGCGGACGCCTTGAGCCAAAAGAAACTCAAGGGTGTTTTGAATGTGTGCAAGGGAGACTCGGAGCCAGGCTGGTTCTTTCACAGTTACGTGGACGATATCGGCATGCGATATGCCAAACGACTGGAGGAGACGGACACGTGGCAGGAAGTCATTGGTGGGATTGGAGCGGAGGAGTTGCGGGTAAGTGACGAGGAGGGAAGCGACAGTGGAAGGGGAGGAGATGCCGAGGTGGGAGGAGAAGAAGCGGTAGAGGGAGAGGAGGGAGGAGGGAGATACGACCCGCCGGTTGTACAGCTGAGGAGGGTGCGTGGGAGGAGATGTGGTGGGTGGTGTGTCCTCCTCACTCGTTTCCGCTTCTGCGTCCTCCTCACCCTCCTCTCCCTCCGCCTCCTCATCGTTCCCCTCTCCCCCCTCCTTCACCTCCTCTTTCACTTTCACCACTCTCTCGTCATTCTCGCTGCTTCTTATCCCGCTCCCCCACTCCTCCAACTCCTCTACCTCTCTCACGATCTGAGGCCCGAATTTCTCCCTCAGCACTCCAGCAATCACTGCCACTGCCTCCTCCTCCTCTTTGCAGGCCCCCGTCCTGTTGCTCTTCCTCCTGCCTCCCTTACTCTTCCCCGCTGCATTCCCCGCTACTACCCTTTCATCCCCACCTCCCTTTTCTTCCCCTTCCACTTTCCTGATGCTCCTCCGACCTCCTCCCCCATCCTCCCTCTCCTCGTCCTGCACTGTACGCGGTTTAAAGTCCGCTTGCACAGCTATTAAATGCTTGCTTCTGGGAAGTGATTTCGGCACCAAGATAGCAGTCTCCGCCTCGGAAGCTTCTCCGTCTGCTGGCCTGAAATACACATCAACGACGGACCATGCGGCGAAGCTTCGGACGTGGGATGAGAAGGTCTCTTGAGACGCCCCCAAGCCTCGGAGTTGAAAAGACGCGTTTCGCGCAGGTTCATTTGGATTGGATCCGATCCGATCGAGGCTTGGCAAGGAAGGAACATAAAATCGCGATGCGACCCGGTGCATTTGAGAAGTCTCAAAACTCGTAAATCCGGGAATCGAACCCAGAACCGGCCGTGACGTTAGGGGTAGGACTAGCCATAGCAGACGACGGGCTGATCTACGTGAGGCGACGTAAACGTTCATGAATCCGTTGCATTCGTGAAATTAGATTGAAACGTGAAGTCGGTTTCACGCAGACGTAGGCTAGTAGTTAGAATTCGGAACGACTGGCCTAAGCTGAGCTGTAGCTAGTAAGTAAGTTGGTGGTTGAGTTCGGTTCGGAAGGAGACCAGCTTTGCTAGCGTTTCCATCAACCATGAAATTGCCGAGATGCGCTGTTTCCAGCCATCCGTTGTCCGAGCTTGGGATATTCCCGAACAAACGAGCACTTGATCTTGTTTCGCCAGGATATGTAACTTTCGTTGCCCAATTTTACACCGCGAAAATCACACAATCGTGTTCCTCGGACCCTTGAATGTTCCATCGTTGAGTCGCCAACCAGACATTTCCGTGTAACGAGGATTCGCCGTCGCGAAATATAGTGCGTCGCCGTCCTCCGAGGAAACCCACGGAATTTGAACTGGTTTTCTCGAGAAGTTTGGTCGAACCTCAGGTTCGGGTCGTCATGAAGGCAAACACAAACCGAACCGACGTAGTGCAACACTTTGGAACTTGAATAGTGGCATGCCGTCCGTCCGTCCATTCCTATAATAGGCGACTGATTCTCAACGGAGACTGATGATACAGTAGTGACTGTCGTCCAGCTTTTCTCAACAGGCGTGAATATTTTTTTAGTGCATGACAATATTTACGTGTTCTTTTTCCGAAATAAAGGAGGACCACAACGAGCGTAGAAACATTAGGGTGCTTTTTAAGCATTCTCAAATACGAGGCTAGTAGCATCGGAGCGCGCGCCGGCATCATGTGGCACGAGGCGCGGCGGTCGGAGAAGCGCGTGCACGAGATGATGGACGCGGCGAAGAAGCGCGCCGAGCGCCGCGCGGATCAGCGGTCTCGGCGCGCGGGGGATCCGACGCAGCTGCTGCGCGTGGCGGGCACCAAGCTCCGCCTGGCGCACGACTCCGCCGTCTACCAGTCCGCGCAGGACCTCTCCGGCCTGTCTGTGACCACCTATCTTTCCTCTCGTTTTCGAGTCGACTCAAAAACAGGACCTCTCCGGCCTGTCTGTGACCCCCTATCTTTCCTCTCGCTCTCAGCAGAGGCTTGCCGAGGCCAGTCTATGACCACTTATCCCCTCCTTTGATTCGCCTCCCGCCATGGCGATCATCGCCTGATAGACATACCCCCTGACCTGGCTTTACTAAATCACAAAGCGGTGCTCTAAGCACTGGTTAAGACCCCTGGATCCCCCGAACGATTCGCGCCTCGCCGCGGCCTGTCCGTTGACCGTTTCTCCTTCACCGTGTCTTATTTCCTTCCCATGCATCCTCCGTGTTCACTTCCCTTCCCTTCCCTGCTTTTGAGACGTCTCAAAAGTCGGCCTGTCCGTTGATCGTTTCTCCTTCACTCTGTCTTGTTTCCTTCCCATGCATCCCCTGTCTTCACTTCCCTTCCCTTCCCTGCTCCCCTCTTTCCCTTCCCTGCTCCCCTCTTTCCCTTCCCTGCTCCCCTCTTTCCCTTCCCTGCTCCCCTCTTTCCCTTCCCTGCTCCCCTCTTTCCCTTCCCTGCTCCGCTCTTTCCCTTCCCTTCTCCCCATGCCCCCTATATTGGAGTGACTTTTGAGAATTCTCAAAAGTCTTTCCCTTCTCTTCTCCCCATGCCCCCACACCCCCACCGTCTTTTCCCCCTTTCCCTCTCTTCCCTCTCAAATCACCTTTTCTATTTTACCTCCTAACCTTGCCTCATGACTTTTGAGTCGACTCAAAAGTCCTCTCAAATCACCTTTCCCTCTCTTCCCTCTCAAATCACCTTTCCCTCTCTTCCCTCTCAAATCACCTTTTCTATTTTACCTCCTAACCTTGCCTCCTGCCCTGTTTTCGGTTTTCTCATGTTACACTCCCATTTTCTGTTAGCCATTCTATGCATCACCTATCACCTGTGATCTGCGCTGGCACCGTTTAAGTGGATTGAACCTACGATTCCAGTCAATAACAAATCATGTTCTTTGGTGACCTTCCCTTGTTTTTGCTAACTTACCTGCTAGGCTCTGCCCTGCCCAAATTCCCGTCACGTGTTTCTATCCTAATGCCCCCCCTTTTTCTTGCCCTCCTGCTGCCCTCCCTTTTGTTTTTTTCCTCTGCACCTCGCTTTTTGCTGCACCGCGCTTTGCTGCTTCTGGCTGCTCCTTGCTCCTTTCGCTGTGCCCCGTGCCCCATGCCCCGTGCTCCTCTCTTCTTTCTCTGGTCTGGTCTGCTGGTCTACGCGTTTTCTTCCTTCCACTCCGCTCAACCGCGCTGCAGCATCCCTTGGAACAACAGAGAGGACACACTCATAGACAGGTGCGTGGGTGAGATTGCATGTTCTTAGACAGGTAAATATCAACATGGGACATCTCAAGGTTTGCTGTATAGAATGTGTTGTTGTTGCTGTTGCTGCTGCTGCTGCTGCTGCTGCTGCTGCTGCTGCTGCTGCTGTTGCTGGTGGTCCTTGTCAACTTGCCATGCCTGACGACAATGGCTGCTATTTTTGAGACGTCTCAAGAATCAATGGCTGCTATTGGCAGTCACACATGCCCATTGCTCCATTAGCGCGGGCCATGGCAGGTATATTTGATGCCCCCATGTTCGTTCCTTCCTTGGAGTGCCTACTTCGTGACACTTATGTATGTGAAGTGCATATCCCACCCAACCCTACCCATTTCCACCACCATTGACCATTCACTGGTACAGGTACGACGGGCGAGCCATGCTGGATTTCATTCGCGAGTATGATCCGCACCGGCACAGGGCGAGGGAGTTGACAGAGCAGCAAGAGGAGGAGGAGGAGGAAGATATGTTCTATGTATGCACTCATTCCCAAACACCCCCTGCCCACAACCGACCACTCGCTTGCACAGGTTTGATGGGCGAGCCATGCTGGATTTCATTCGCGAGTATGATCCGCACCGGCACAGGGCGATGGAATTGACAGAGCAGCAAGAGGAGGAGGAGGAGGCGTGTAACTTCGAGCGGTATCGGGATCTCGTGCGGCTGGGCTGGCATGCAAGTGAGTGTTTGGTGTTGAGGCAAGACAGAGGAGGAGAAAGAGGAGCAGCAGCAAGAGGAGGAGGAGGAGGCGGGTAATTTTGAGCGATACCGGGACCTGATGCGACTGGGCTGGCATGCAAGTGAGTAGCCTTTCACACATAATGAGCTAAGGAGATGAGGAGGGAGAGGGGGAGGAGTCGTGTAACTTCAAGCGACACTGGGATCTCGCGCGGCTGGGCTGGCATGCAAGTGAGTGGCATGCAAGTGAGTGTTTGGGCACACTCTCGTGGTCACATTGCAGAGCACACAGCGATTGTGTTTTCGGCAATGTAACACTCCTTTTCCGTTGCTGTCTCATCTCACCATATACCCCATTCACATTGGCAGAGACTGAGGAAGAGGGCTGCGGCATGTGGAGCGAGAGACATCCCCCACATTGTCACACTCGTTACCCGTTTCCTGTGTTTCTTCCATTTTCTCCCATTTTTTACCCCCATATGTGACATGACGTTTACATTGGCAGAGACTGAGGAGGAGGGATTGCAGCAGGTGGAGCGAGAGATGGAGGCCAGAGCCCACGCTCAGCTCAAAGCCAACAGGTAGCACTATGTATGTGTGGTTAACACGTGATACCTGCTCTTTGCAAATGGCACCTGATTTTACAGGTAGCACTTGTTCTTTCACAGGTTGCACCCGCTCTTGCATCCCTCCTTTTACCCATCTTTCCATCGTTGCAGATCACCCATCGAACTCTCCTCCTCTCTTTCTCCCTTCCATCTTCCTTTCATTCAGGCCAAAACTGCCTGCTTCTGCTACTCTTCTGAACCTTTCTTCCTTCCCTCTTCTGTTTTCCCCAGGCCGAAACTGCCTGCTGCAGCAGCAGCATCTGCAGCAACACCAGCAGCAGGCAAGGGGGCTTACGCTAACATGCCGTTCTCTTATGGAAGCAGTGACTACAACGCAGGTGATTGTAACGAGGATGAGGAGGAAGAGGATGAGGAGGACGAGGAGGAGGAAGAGGAGGGGGATGGGGGGGAGGGGGGAGACGTGGAGGAATACGGGTGGATGTCTCCTAGTGGGCGGCAGCGTTTGGCAGATATGGCGGAGCGGTACGGCATCGAGGAGTACGGGCGGCACATGGATTTGGCAGTATCTGCCTTGGAGAAAGAGAGGAGGCTGCGACAGATGGCGGGCAATGATTCGGTGAGCTCCTGTGCCATAATTTTCTACTCTTCGATTCATTTTCCTATATACTCTCCCATCCACTCTCCCATTCGCTCCCTACCATTCACTCTCCCATCCACTCTCCCATTCGCTCCCTACCATTCACTCTCCCATCCGCCCTCTGTTTTTTATATGCATTGCCCCCAGCCTACTGGCGGCCTCCTTGCAAGGACAGGCTTCAACCAGCCTGGTCACCTCCCATCCCCTCTGTTCTGTTCTGTTCTGTTCTGTTCTGTTCTGTTCTGTTCTGTTCTGTTCTGTTCTGTTCTGTTCTGTTCTGTTCTGTTCTGTTCTGTTCTGTTCTGTTCTGTTCTGTTCTGTTCTGTTCTGTTCTGTTCTGTTCTGTTCTGTTCTGTTCTGGATTCTCGTTCCTCGCCTTCTAGCGTCCTTCACGCAAGGAGAGAAAGAAGCTAGCTCGCCAGGGGAAGGAAGGGGGAACGCAGGGGAAGAAACAGCAGGGGAAGGGGGAGGGGTGGAAGCAGCAGGGGTTGGTGCGGGTTGGGGGCCACACAGAGGGGCAGAGGGGGCTAGATGACAGAGGAAGGGACAGGGAGAGAGAACGAGACTGGGATCGGGATAGGGAGAGAAGGGAAGGGGACAGGTGGGACAGAGATTCAGACAGAAGATGGGATAGGGACAGGGATAGGGATAGGGATAGGGACAGGGAGCAGGAGAGGGGTAGGGATTGGGATAGGAGCAGAGGGGAAGAAGCAGGGGGAAGGGGGTCAAGAGGGGGTGGGGAGAAGGAGGGCAGGATAGAGTTCATCACCCAGTTTGGCGGGGGTGTGGGAGAGGACGAGGGATTTGGCAGGGAGACGGAGAGGAGGAGGGAAGATGAGGAGGAGAGGAGGAGAGGTTACGGTGGAGAACGGTTTGAGAGGGGTTTGAGTGGGGACCTCTCGGTTGGCTCCCCTTCACCTGCCACTTCCAAGCTGTCGCCAGCTGTCAGGTGGGTTATGGTGCGATGTATGCTCATGCTCACATTGGTCAGGTGTTTTATCAGGTGCCTCTTTCAAGCTAACGCCAACTATCAGGTGGATTATCAGGTGGATTATCATACGGTGTTTGCTTGTGCTGGTCAGATGAACAGGCTGACTTCCACACAGCTGTTGCTTTTGAGACGTCTCAAAAGTCCTCCACACAGCTGTCGCTTTCTTGCATCTTCCATGCTACGATTTGTAGTTGTTGATGTTTCTGTTATTGTTTTCAATATATATTATAATAATTATTTATTTTAGAAAATATCTGAGACCAACTTTCCTTTTTCTCCCCTCTTCCACACAGCCGTCGCTTGCTTGCGCCGTCCACGCTACCTCGAGTGGGAGGGGCGGGCAAGGGAGCAGAGGGAGGGGTGAAGGAGACTCCTCAGGAGAGGCTGAAGCGGCTGATGGCCAAGCAGCTGAACAAACACAGTAGGTCGGGTGAAAAGGGTGCGAAACAAGTGTGGAGATGTATACAGTGTGGTTGACTTGTACATGTATGCAGGGAGGGTTGGAGGAGACCTCTCAGGAGAGGCTGAAGCGGCTGAACAAACACAGTAGGTTGGGGGGCGTGGCGAGGCGTGTTAGGTCGTGGTGGGCCGTGTGGGGTGCGTTTAACAAGAGTGGGGGAAAGTAAGATGAAATTGGGGCTGGATAAACCCAAGCTTGGAAATGAAAGTGTATTCTGTGTTTTTCTCCCATGCTTTCCCCGTACTTGTACCTGTTTGTGTGTGGCAGTCAGAAAGGATACAGCAGCAGAGAAAGCGAAGAAGGAGGAGCAGGAGAGATTGAAGCGAGCTAAGCTGGAAGAGACTCGCCGTGCTGCTGCTAGGTACCGAGACAGGAGCAGAAGCAGGAGCAGGAGCTGGGACAGGAGTAGAGACAGGGACAGGGGCAGGAGCAGGAGCAGGAGTAGGAGCAGGAGTAGAGACAGGGGCAGGGACAGGAGCAGGAGCAGGAGCAGGAGCAGGAGCAGGAGCAGGAGCAGAAGCAGAGACAGGAGCAGGAGGGGCAGAAGCAGAAGCAGAAGTTGGAGCAGGAGCAGGAGTAGCAGCAGGGGCAGGGGCAGGAGCAGGAGCGGCAGTAGGGACAGGGGCTGACGAGCAGGAGCAGGAGCAGCAGCAGGAGGAGAGAGGGGCAGAAGGAGCAGAAGTTTGGTTCTGTATCTTAGCCTGAAGTTTGCAGGGTTCACTTTGTCGCCAACAGATTAATCACCAACAGGCGCGTCGAATCTGAACACCGTTCGGTAGCAGCGAACGGTGCAAGGCAAAGCAAAGCTCGACCTTGAATCAGGCGAAACCGCACCGCACCCCATGCAATTTCGCGGCGCCTTTCTCTTTGCAAGTTCCTGGCATGAACTGTGCTAGCTCGACATTGAATCCCTTCTCGAGTTCCTTGTCTAGGCAAACAAGTAACAGAACCAATCTCCTCTTTCTCCGCTTCGTCCTCATTGCTTCCGCCTCCATCCCCTTCCGCTCTCACAATCTGAGGCCCCAATTTGCCTCAGAGATTTGAGTGGAATTTCCGAGTTTCAGGGAGGCCACTCGCAACAACCATCAGGCCGCACAAGTCTCAATGTGCAAATCGATGAAGGGAAAAGATACGCCATGCTCTGGCGTGAATTCCGAACAGAGTATTGGTTGAAAGGTATTGGTCAAATCAGAGCGGTCCTGCCTGTCACGCAGTGCGTCAAATCTGGAGTTATGACGTACGCGATAATGAGAAAGAGAGGGCTTGAAGTTCGAAAAGAATAATATTTCCGCACATACACGTCGAAAAGTGTGCTTTCTGCTGCATGCGAAACAGTTAGCGATCGTGTATGCAAACAACGAAAGCATGAAGAGCTGGTAACACGCATGAGAGCTTCAGTGAAGATGCCATCATGGAGCATCAAACCGCGCATCACTGTACAGTTCGACGCAAAAATGGCAGAGAACCGTACAGCCAGTCGATTTGGCGGGATGCAGGACTGAACTTCGCGATCTCGTTCAACTGACACTGATTCTAGTGCGACACGAAATACTTCAAGGAGCATGAATATTATTATTGACAGAATCGTTGCTCTGGGCAGGATTTCTTTGGTGGTCGTTGATTTTTTTTTTTCCCTGTTTGGTGACTACGAGGTGACTACAAGAAAGCAGCTATTTACATGAAACAAATGTCATACAAAATCAAAGTCATCAAACTAAACTATATATTAGAGTACAATCAGGGCAGTGGTAAAACTACAACTCCCAGAAACTCTAAGCTACAGGTCCTTCGATGCTGCTCTTCAGCTGAATCCGCCACTTCGGTCTTGACCCCTCTTGGCCGCTAGAAGCAAGCTCCTAGCGTTTCACCCGTACACCGCGTTGAGGTGGGGGTTATTCGTACGGGACACCTGTGGGAAACAGGGGCAAAAAATTAGATTGTCCCGCCTCGGGGCAGAGAACCACCTCAAATATCCGGATGTCAGATGTCAGGTTGAAGGCGCCTCGAGTCCGCGATGCTCCACGGAACCTGAGATGGAAAACCCATCTGCATGCATACTACCCAACAACCCCCACCTCCCTCGAACCTGTGACACGAGTACCACGAGCGCGCGTCGCATCTAGATACCTGTACCACGTGGTCGCTCCTACTCGCCACCCCGTCGCTCCTACTCGCCACCCCGTCGCTCCTACTCGCCACCCCGTCGCTCCTACTCGCCACCCCGTCGCTCCTACTCGCCACCCTGTCGCTCCTACTCGCACCCCGTCGCTCCTACTCGCCACCCCGTCGCTCCTACTCGCCACCCGCATACCTTACCAACTCTCACTCTTCAGAAGTGCCGTGCCGTGACGAGCAGTGCCGTGCCTTGCCGTTCTTCGGCTCCTCCGCCATGACCTGGAAAGGAAGGAGAGGGAGAAACGGTGAAAGCTCCAGCGGCTTCCCCTCCACGAAACCTGCGCACTAAAACACGGAAAAACGTTAGTAAAACTGATGAAAACAAGATGAAAACAAGAACAGAGAAAACAGGAAAATCAAAGACAAGAAAAGCACGACAAAGCGTGAAAAAACCGACATAGGTAGAGAAACTCACCCTTGGTTTCGTGGAGCCTGCCACGACCTCCCGTCCGTTGTGCTCCTCCTCTATTGACCTGAGGAGACAAGACAGAGAGAGAGAGACAGAAGGGAAAGAGTGATAGCTCCAGCGGCCTCCCCTCCACGAAACCTGCGCACTAAAACACGAAAAAACGTTAGTAAAACTGATGAAAACAAGATGAAAACAAGAACAGAAACAACAGGAAAAACAAAGACAAGAAAAGCACGACAAAGCGCGACAGACACGACATAGGTAGAGAAACTCGACCTTGGTTTCGTTCCTCCAGCCACGACCTCCCGTCCGTTGTGCTCCTCCTCCATTGATCCGAGGAGACAAGACAGAGAGAGAGACAGAAGGGAAAAAGTGATAACACCCGCGGCCTCCCCTCCACGAAACCTGCGCACTAAAACACGAAAAAACGTTAGTAAAACTGATAAAAAAAAAAAAAAAAAAAAAAACAAGAACAGAAAAAACAGGAAAAACAAAGACAAGAAAAGCACGACAAAGCGAGCACGACAAAGCGCGACAGACACGACATAGGTAGAGAAACTCACCCTTGGTTTCGTTCCTCCAGCCACGACCTCCCGTCCGTTGTGCTCCTCCTCCATTGATCTGAGGAGACAAGACAGAGAGAGAGACGGAAGGGAAAAGGTGATAACACCCGCGGCCTCCCCTCCACGAAACCTGCGCACTAAAACACGAAAAAAACGTTAGTAAAACTGATGAAAACAAGATGAACAGAAAAACAAGAACAGAAAGAACAGGAAAAACAAAGACAAGAAAAGCACGTCAAAGCGCGAAAAACACGACATTGGTGGAGAAACTCACCCTTGCCGCGATGACGAGCAGATCGCGACGCGATGACGTTGTCGCGGCGCCGTCGTGACCTTGTGAAGCCTCCAAGCCTTCTGAAGTCCTCGCGGCGCCGGAGCTTGAGTTGAAGACGAGATTATGATCTGTACATCATAGAGACATTTATCATAAGGCCCGCCGATAGAAAAAAACCAGTAAAGCACGAAAGCCTTATCCTGGAAGCTCGCGGCGCCTTAAACTCTTCAAGTGAACAATATCTTCAAATGTCTTCAAAATAACAGCAGTCTTGGGCTGTCTTCAAGTTACGCAGCGTTCCGATCTACTCAAGTTTGAGGCTACTAGACACGTTCGGAAAAGGGAGGCGAGGAGAGGAGCACCATCGAGGCACACGAATCAGCCAAAACCATGTAGCAAAGCGTTCGCTGCTAGCCTACGCTGCGACTCTGCGCTGCGACTCTGCGCTGCGACGCTGCGCTGCGACCCTATGCTGCGATGCTGCGCGCCTATGCTGCGAACCTACGCGCGACGCTGCGACGCTGCGAGCGCACACACGCTCTGCTGCATGCCTTTGGCTGACTCGGGCTTTCCGGTGCTCCTCAGAAGAAAATATCGTCGACGATAATGGTTTTTTCGAATGAATGAAGTTGGAATGGGCATTTAGTGGTTAAGCTTACTGACGGAAGAAGATTGTGAGAGGTGGTGCCGTGTGCGCAAATCTCAATTGGATGGAGTTTCTGGTAAGGATGGGTTCTGGAATCGAGGGTGGCAAATTGCCGCCGCTATATTCGAACGGCCTAGATGTAATCTCGTGCCATCCGCCGACGGCCATGCGGGATCGCCAAGATCATCAGCCCAGCAGCTTTTGGCGTCCGGGGGACCAGAATGATTTGGTGACATGATGGAAGCAACTGGTGCAAGAATTTGTGAAATGTTCCTCGGAAGGTGTGGTTGTGCGGCCTGTGCGAATCGCGGTCGATAATTCCGAAAGTTCTGGGGATTTTGAATCGAGGGTAGTAAAACGCCGCCGCGAAATTTGAACGGCCTTGTATTCTCGTGCCGTCCGCCGATGGCCGTGCGAGTCGTCAAATTCACCAGCTCAGCATATTTGCAGTACGGGGGAGTCAGAATGAATGGGGTGATGTACTGTGTGAGGGTTAGTGAATGTGCCTCAAGTCGAGAGGTGTGGTGCTGCCTGTGCGAATCGCGATCGATTTTGAAAGTCGGTTCTGAAAGTTGAAAATCAAGGGTGGTAGATGGCGCCGCCAAAAGTGAACGACTTGGATTGAAAAGTGAGCCCTCCGCCGACAAGCGGCCAGACCGCTAAAAAGTGGACGACTAAGCTGATTGGCACTGTTTTTATGCCAGCGATATTTGGTTCGACTTGGAAGAGAGTCAGAACGATTGGCGCGTATACCCGTTTGTAGCTGTTCTCGTGTTTATATTTCTGTAATTTGTTGAACACCTCCGCGTATCTGCTCATTTACAGAGAGTGGCACAGGTTTGGCCAGCCCTTCCAGAAGGTTCCGAGTTCCGGGCAGTTTGGGTATTAGTCTGGGCAATATATTGCGTGAGTTACGGGACGGCAACTGCTGTTGGAACGAGTTAGGCCCTCGCTAAGTCAGAGTTTGGACAGCTGAAATGGCACTGGTTGGATGGAAAAATCTGTTAGGACCAATCAGGATGGAAAACCGAGAGCAAAGAAGAACCGATAAGGAAGGAAAGCTGGGGAAGCAAATCCGAACAAATTTGTGGTAATACAGGGAATCAAAACACCAAGCAAGATAGCAAATCACTGTAACGGGGTGTGGGTTGGCGCACCAACCACCTGCTCGCTATAATCGACATTGTTGCTGCTGTTGTCCTCGCTTCCTGCCTCAGATCCAGTCTTTGGGAGTCTCAGATCTTAGAACTTAGATTAGCAAGTAATCTCGCCTCTCCTGTGACTTGCACTTGTTTCTTTTATTATCCGTTGATTCCGCTTCAGATCTTACAACCCTTGGTCGTTACGTGGCGAATGGTAGTAGTAGTTTCAGATGCGTACTATTGTCGATACTCAAGTCTATTTCGTATAATATTACTTCGCGAAGGGACTTTCGACGGAGGGCGAATCCCACTCGTTGAGCTTATGCTAGAGCGGTCACGCAAGTCTGTACTTCCGCTTTAAGATCAATTTTGGCGTCGTAAGTAGATCTGACGATCTCGCCCGTTTTACAGCTAACCCTAGAAACGCCATGTCCGTGTGAGGCGCGTCAGCTGCTGACGCGGGCTTTAATGTCTTCTAATTAGACCCGCTGACGCGCTCTTTGGTGGACGGTAACACTGCTGAACGCAATAATCAGAGGCATCGTGAAGTGGAGGACTAATGTGAGTTCAGTCTCCCTTCCCCTTCCCGCCTCCTCCCCTCCCCCTCCCCCCTTCCTTTACCAACCTCTCTCTCCTTTCGTCAATGCATGGTTTAAATCTTGTCTCGTCACTCCGTCTTGCCTCCGCTCGTCCCTCATCTCCCCGTCACTCCCCCTCACCACATTTCCCATTTCGATCGCCCCTGGCCCCCCTGCGCTTATCCGTATTCACTCAGCGCTGATACCTCCCCCCCCCCCCCCCCCCGCGCTCACCCCTCGCCCCCCTGCGCTCACCCGTATTCACTCAGCGCTGATACCTCCCCCCCCGCTGCGCTCACCCCTCATCCCCCTATGCTCATCCGTTTTCACTCAACGCTGATACCTTCCCCTCCCCCTCTGCGCTCACCTTTCATTCCACCACAGTTATCCCCCTCAACCCCGCTACAATTACCTCATTTGCTCCCCCTCTCATCCCCTCTTTGCTCCCATAATTTCTCCATGTGCCCCCCCCTCTTCCCACCTGCGCTCACACCTTATTCCCCTTTGTTTATCCCTCATTCCCTCCGCGCTCCTGCATACCCCTGTGCTCACCCTTTTTCTTGAGCCCATCCCTTTCCCATCCCCCGCTTTCCCCCCTGTGTTTATCCATTCCACATTTCCTTACCCTTCCCCCTGCCCTCATCCTAATCCCCCTTGCGACACTTACCCTTCGTTCCCCCGTCCTTACCCTCATCCCCCTGTGCCCATCCCTCACTTCCTCTATGCTCAACCCTACTCTCTGCACTCATCAGTCGTTTGCCTATGTAAGTTCCTCATTGCACTCATCCCATCCCCTGCACTCATCCCATCCCCCTGCACTCAACCTTCATCCCTCACCCTCATCCCTCCACCCCTAAAGCTCCCTGCATATATTCCCTCTCAGAAGTCTGATCTGAGCCTAACATGATAAGTTGGCGTCGAGAATTGATGTAAATTCATACTCATGTTTAGATGATCTCTAGGCAAATCTGAAAATTAGCAGATGTTCGACCACTTGATTACCTATTAAGGCTGTTTCAAGCGAATGCAGCATCCTCTTGTGCCGTTTGATTCGAAGTACACGGTAATGTATGGCATTATGATACAAAAACACTTGCAAGCAAACTAAATATTCGTGAGATGGGAAGGATCCACGAGCAAATTTGTGCCGGGCCTGCTTTATAACAACCTGCAAATTTGCCTGAGAATACCTGGATACAACCAGAACCAATCAGTGAATGGAACTCCTGATTAGCTCACTGCTCCTTTGCCCGTCACTGCTGTCAATTTTCGAGCTACCCCTATTGGCACTAAAAGTCGATCCCATGAGTGGCATCCCATGAGATCACTGCTCGTCTGAGATTGGACGGCGGAAATTCCAGCCTCAGGTGGTAACCAGCTCCCTTGCCCGTCACTGCTGTTTTCCGTCGCCTGCGCCCCCCTCCCTGCCACGTCAGCAAAGAGGGAGAGGAGAACTTTTTAAAGGCAAAAATGAGGAGTGAAAATGTACGAGGTGCTTGTGAGGAGTGAAAAGTTCGAGGAGTGAAAAGTTCGAGGAGTGAAAAAGTTCGAGGAGTGAAAAGTTCGAGGAGTGAAAAGTTCGAGGAGTGAAAAGTTCGAGGTGCTTACAAAGAGGGTGAAGAGGGCAACAGGTGCCACACCGGCCTTGTACCCAACACTGACTGCCAACCCACGTTGAGAAGCTTCAACTGCCCCTCCATCCATCTCATTTGTTCCCAAAAACCGTGTAATAAAAGGCAGCAAACAAGGGGAGGTGCGCAGTTCTTACAAAGAGGGTGAAGAAGGCAACAGGTGCCACACCGGCCTTGTACCCAACACTGACTGCCAGTCCACCCTGAGACGCCTCTGCTGCTCCCCCCACTATCTCATTTGTTCCCAGGAACCGTGTTGTCTCCATCTCCCATCCTTGCCTCGTGCCGGATACAGTGGTTTTAAACCTGAGGGGAGACCACAAAAAGTAAAACAGGGAGAGAGGTGACCACAAAGATAACAGACTAGTGACAGAACACCCACTGGAAAAACAAGTAGAGAAACATGAGACGAAGCAGGTGCGAAGGGACTGAAAGATGAACCCCCACTAATGCCACACACTTTCTGTACCACTGTTGATACACAATAACTAACAAGCTGCTCCTAAGAACAACTGATGCATCAAAGCTGGTGTGCTCCTAGCCATACCGTATTTGAGCTTCTGGCTTGACAGCGGGTCCCAGCTGTCGCACTGTGATTGGCTGAAGCACCTCCACTGACACTCCCCGATCGGCGAGGGAGAATGAGGGCGTCACACGCGTTCCCAAGGGGTGCTGTGATGGAAGAGAAGAAGAGGAAGGGAAGAGAATGGGAGAGAAGAAGAGGAAGGGAAGGGGAGAGAATGGGAGAGTGAGAGAATGAGGGCGTCACACGCGTTCCCAAAGGGTGCTGGTGAAGGGGGAAAAAGGGAGGGGAGAGAAGGGAAGGGGAAAGAAGGGAAGGGGAGCCCACCTGATAAGCAAACCCCACAGTGGACGTGTCTGCTGTCTGCCCTTCCACCTGCAGCACGCCCCTCAGTGCACACCCAAGCAGGGCTGAGCAGAGTAGGCATAATCATTTCCCTTCCCGGTATTAAGACTCACACTCCCCTCCCTCCCTACCTACCTGATAGGCAAACCCCACAGTGGCCGTGTCTGCTGTCCGCCCTTCCACCTGCAGCACGCCCTTCAGTGGCGATACAGGCAGGAAGAGACTGGCCTTGACCCCGTTGACCCGGTTCATGAGGAACTCGCCCCTGGGGAAGTCAACCCACAGCATATCCTGACAGGGGAGAGAGGAAGGGTGGGGTGAAGGGAAGGGAGCATTGAAAGGAGGAAGAGACTCGCCTTGACCCCGTTGACCCGGCTCATAAGGAACTCGCCCCTGGGGAAGTCAACCCACAGCATGTCCTGGCAGGGGAGAGAGGAAGGGTGGGGTGAAGGGAAGGGAGAATTGAAAGGAGGAAGAGACTCGCCTTGACCCCGTTGACCCGGCTCATAAGGAACTCGCCTCGCGAGAAGTCAACACACAGCATGTCCTGACCGAGGGAAAGGGGAAAGGGAGAAGTGAGCGAAGGGGTGAATCAAGAGGAGGAAAAGGCTTGCCTTGACCCCATTGACTCCGTTGACCCGGTTCATCAGGAACTTGCCCTGGGGAAGTCAACCCACAGCATATCCTGAGGGGAATTCGGGCATGCAGGCATGCGGGCATGTGCGCATGTGAGCATGTGCGCATGTGGGTGTTAGGCCATAAGGGAAATGCGGGCATGCTGGCATGCGGGAACATACCACGTGGCAAGCTGGCAGTCTGAGGGGGAGGAGAGCCTGGCACACCATGGACCGAGCCCACCACCTCTGAAGCGCCCCAAAAGTCATAAAATACCACATGGCATGGCATGGCAGGCGGGCGGCTTGAGGGAGCAGAGTGAATGGTAGGCAGGCCGTGGATCCAAACAACAGAGCACATTTTAGGCCGTGGGCTGGTAACATGAGGGCACATACCACGTGGCAGTCAGGCAGCTTGAGGGAGAGCAGGGCCCGGTAGGCCATGGATCCTAGCAGCAGGATCACATACCACATAACACACACGCACAGTGTAGAATGTGGGTATACAGGCATACTAGCACAGACATACCACGTGGCAGGCTGGCAGCTTGAGGGAGAGGAGGGCCCTGTAGGCCATGGATCGAGCCCACCACCCCACCATGAGCGCCGTGCGATGGCTAGGCCGTTCCTGACAAGGATGGGAGGGAAGGAAAAAAAACATAGCTTTCCAGGCACTTCAGAATGAGACCAGGCAAGAAGGGCCGAGAGAGAATCAGCCCTTAGACACAGCTGCAGACAGGCAAAGCGGGGGCCCGATGAACTCAACCCATAGACACACCTGAAGGTCGTGGAAGATTTGAACGAGTGAATTGTCGCCAGAATGCAGGGTAGCTCCAAAGGAGGGGACCAAGCGGGGCCGGTCCCATCTCAGGCGGAGGGGGCCAATTTCCGGAGCGATGGAGAAGCGGGTGAAGGGCGAGGAGAGACGACCCTCTGCTATGAAACACACGAACATCTGTCAACAACACACCTGAAGGTCGTGGAAGATTTGCACGAGGGAGTTGTCTCCAGAATGCAGGGTAGCCCCAAAAGAAGGCACCAGACGGGGGCGGTCCCATCTCAGGCGGAGAGGGCCGATTTCGGGGGCGATGGAGAAGCGGGTGAAGGGTGCGGAGGGGCGACCCTCCGCCACTGCTCTAATGCGAAGCGGGAAGGAGGGCCGGGAGGAGGAAGAGGAGGAGGAGGAGGAAGAGGAGGAGGAAGATGAGGCAAGGGAGGAGGAGGAAGAGGAGGTGGAGTTGGGAGAAGCGGAGGAGAAGAAGGGAAGGTGAGGGAACGAGGGGAGCGGGAACGGGAAGGGCGACAGCGAGGGGATGTCTAGCGAGAGGGCCGTTCGGAGGATGTCGGTTCGCGAGTTGTATTTGCTGGTAACCGTAACCGTGCGTCTCTTGCGCGCGGCCTCTACCCGCTTTGCCACGTGGTCAAATGCACGCAGAAACGCCTCGGGATTCGCTTCTACCATCTGCCGCAGCTGCATCACTGATATCCTCCCCCCTGCCCCTGCTCCCAATCCCGCTCCAAATCCTGCTCCTCCCACTCCGAAACCCCCTCCTCCTGCTCCTCCTGCTCCGATTCCTGCCCCTCCTCCTGCTCTTCTTCTCGCAAACGAGGCTGTAGATCGTCCGAAATGCGTACTCAGCCCGCCAATCCCCATCCCTAACCCATTCCCTTCTCCTGATTCCGCCTCTGCGCTTCTGCTCCATAATCTTTCCCCTGCGCCCATCCCCGCCCGCGTTTCCTCCGCATTTGCGCCCTCCCTTCGCCTCCCAAGGCCGATGGGCAGCATGCGAAATAACCCCATTTTACTGGAGGTACGACCCAACCCCCCATCTTCCAGAACGTCTCTCCTTCTGACCTCGCTAAGAGACTCCCTATAACGGGTTCTAGATGACACCGCGAGCTCCCTAGTGGGCCTGGACTCTTCGTACTCGTTACAGCCCTGGTTCGGTAATAGGCTTGAGACCTGTCTGATACACTTCTGCAAGAGCCCTAGGCCATCTGTATCCGCACTTTCCAACCCAGCTTCAACAAGACCGCCCACCGGAGATATACGTTTATTTACAGTAATAACCCCCTTTACCTCCTCAAAATCCCTCCTACTGTGCGCACTATGAAACCGTGCCTGCGGCTGCTCAGGGACTTGCTGCTGTGCAGGCTGCTTCTGCCGAAGCTTCCTCCATTGCTGTATCAGCGTCTCTTCACCACCCCCACCATCTCCACCACCCCTTCCCCTTCCCCCATCTCTTCCCCCCTGCTCTGACACTGCTCCCTTCTTTCCTCTCGCATCCCCTCCCGAGCCTATCACCCCTCCCTCCGGACCTCTTAAAACCAAAATTTGAACTCTCTCATTGGCCGAATCCGCCTCCACCAATGGCGAGCTCTCATTCTCTGACTTGACGCGGATCCCGCGTCTTCCGTCAGAACTGCCGTCCGCTACCGGCCAGCCGGCAGAGCTGCCGTGCCGTCTCTCCCACCCGCCGTCCCACCTCGGGATTGCCTCGTTCTCCTCTCCGTCCGCTCCCTCAGAACTCCCCTCCGGACGCGAAACCCTAGATGCGAGCCTGTGCAACAGGCTGTGCCGCGAAGGCTGCCCGCGAACGAGCTCCCGCCCGGGAAAAGACTTTCGGGGCGCTTCAAATAAGGACCTAATTACCGTGGGAGACGCCGGGGGAGATATCGTTTCAGGAGGGGGAGAATTTCCTCGCGGAGAGGCGGAACGCGGAAGAACTGCGGGGGAAGGAACCGGGGAGAGGGCTGGCGGAAGGAGAGCGGGGAAGGACGCGGAGCGCGGTGGGAATAGACGAGGGTTGAGAGGCGGGGAAGCGGGGGAGGGAGAGGAAGAAGCCAGTGACGGAGATTGCGAAGGCAGGTGAGCTGGCGACGCCGGCGACGACGCCGGCGACGACGCTGGCGACGGCGACGACGACGACGTTGACCGCGAAATTCGAGCACCGTGTGACGGTTCTTGAGGGGAATATTTCGGGGCTAGCGCTGTACACGAGCCTATGTCCGCCACCTCCCGCTGCAATAAGTTGTCATCCACTGGAGAGCCATCATCGAATAGAGCCTTCTGCTTCTCCTGCCTCCCTGATTGACTTGCGCCTGAACCTTTTCTATACGTCCCGTCCTTATTCAGACGCCGTCCGGATGATTTTTTCCGCGAACGGGCATTCCTGACAGCGCCCGTTGCAGCTCCTGCTGCTGCTGCGCCATTTGCGCCGTTACTTCCGCTCCTTTTGCTACTAGCGCTTCTCCCCGTAGAAGGATTTGGGCCAGCGCACTGGTTGTCGTTTTCCGCGGCTTGGTGGGCAGGAGAAGCTGAAACGCCGGGAGAGAGCAGCAGCGAGAGCTGCTCTGCCGCTTTCCTCGCGCGACCCTTGAGATCGCCGAGCACGTCCATAAGAACTGAAGGTGCGCTCTACAGACGAATTTTGAAGCGCCTCAGAAGGCGGGACCCTTGAGATCCTCGAGCACGTCCATAAGAGCTTAAGGCGCGGTTCATAGAGTTACGACCTGCTCCAGTTCGAACCGCCACCAGATGTACCACGCCGGTGACCACCTTAAGTACACCAAAGTTCTTTTGGCCTTTGAAAATAAAAATCTATGAGCTAGTTATGCCTGTTCAGACTCAGGTCTAGATATTCCTGGAAATTGAAAAGCTTTACTACATAAAAACTCTGTGGGAGAGTATGGGAGCTCCTAGGATTTAGGTATGAAACCAAGAAGCATCAAGTGAATTGATGAGCTTTCTAGGTGAAGGGAGAAGGGAGGTGGTGGCTGAAGGGGCGGGCAAAAAATGTTTTCCTACCACCTTTCTTTTTACTGTACCGCACTCACGTTTAGGGCGCTTCACCTCTCAGTTCGAACAGCACGCTCGTTCGAACAGGCGAAATGTTACTTACTTCGTCACTCGTCGTTCGGGTATTCGCGACGTCGCAAGTAGGAAATTTCGCGAATCAGAACAGAGCTGTCACATGGGGCACGAAGCTCTTCATTTCGCACGTTCGAAAAGAGTGGCCCTGTTCTGTTGCCGCACCAGTTGGTGCGGCCCCCTCCGCACCGCATCATTTGATGCTTCTTCTGGCCTTCTACCGGAGATCCTGGAAGCCTCGATTTTGAGGGTGTATTCCTCGATTCCAGGCTCGGGAAACTGAGCCCCTTCCCGAACCTAGTGAATGCAGTGCAGTGCAGTCCGCCCTGCGTTGGGCAAAAGAACGGTGAACCAGCGACTGACTCACGATCCCCCACTCCCAGGGAAAATGGGTGCGAAATGGATCCGCCGCCGCATCAAGTGGTGCGGCAACAGAACAGGGCCAGTAGTTCGAACAAGTTGGGCTCGGTGACAGGGATTCCGCACGGACGACTGATTTGATTGGTCAGCAGGCTTCGGGTCGAATACGAATGTTTGCGACCATTGCAAGTGTCGCCGGGCAGGAGAAAGTGCATCGAAAATGACATTGTTGCTGGGAAACAACAAGGTGAGCAGTAGTAAAAGAGCACGAAGAGACATTTTGACTGGATGGGCGAAAAATGGGTCAAACTGGAATGGCAGACGACTGAAATTTTTTCTTGCGACGTTTCGCGACGTCGTCCAACACTTGGCGACGTCGCATGTTCGAACAGGCTGTCACCTCTAGTCACGAGCTGTCACATTCACCAGGGTGTTCAAATTTGTGTTGGGATCTTGTCAGGAAACTGTTCGTACAGTGAATTCGTTACGTATGTTCGGATTTGGCCCTTCCAGCCCCGAGGTGATGCGCCCTTAGCCTTCGTCAGGTTCGGCAGTGCCGTTTGCGGTGCGGTGATTTCAAGGTCGGTATAGAAGTGAAGCCACCTTGGTTAGGCCTAAGGACGCGGCACCTGTTTTCATTTTGCCAGGATCGAACGTAGGAGGGGATCGAGGGAACTTCTGCTCCGATCATGCGCTCCGTCTTCTCCGCCATCAGGCGGCCATGGATTCTGTCGAGTCAACCACGGTCACTATACTCGTTATCGAGCATCAAAGGATCAACCGTAGTGTTATCATGTACCGTCTTTAACTTTCATAATGGATTTCCAGTCATACTTGCTGACCTTGGATTCTCCAGTTACAAGTCGGACCCCTGCGATTTCTATCAGGCTCCCTCGAGTTTACCAGCTGATCATGGCTCGCATCACTACTACATTCCGTATTGTTTCTTCCCGAAAATACACGGCAGTGACTACTCTATTATTAACATTCATGTTATCAAGGTTGCTACCTCGAGATCACACCACCTACTGCTCGAGCTGCTGGAGCCGGACAAGCTTAAAGAACTATTTAACGTTTCAGTGCTCAGACTTCAGGCATCATCAGCGTTCATTGAGGGTGCTCGGCACGCTCTCCTGCTGCCTGTTTCTCTTCATCATCACACGATGTCTCATCCGGCTGATGTCCCGAATCTGCCTAAGGGCCAGCGTTCACGGCCAGTCTCTGATCTGCCTCTTTCAACTGATGCAGTCAGCTCCACTGTTGACAAGTCTCCTGCAGTCAGCGACAATGGCAAGAAGTTTCCGTCAGAGGCTGGAGGATCTGGTTTGTCGGCAGAAGATAAGGCTACCATACCTTCGGTCGGCATCACAGACGACGGCGGTTTCATTGATGATGACTCCGATGATGATATGGTCATTGATCTGGTTAAGGAGGCCGACTTCGGTTTGCGGTCGGTTGCAATATTGTTGATCCCGTTCATGTTGAGCAAAGAGATTTCCTGCATCATTGACGCTGTCAAAGCACTGATAACACACGGCTGGTATACAGAGTTATCAGAAGAAGCGGCGTCCACGACGAAGTTCCAGCAGATTCAGACGACCTACATTGCCAAGATGCGCTTCTGTCGCCTGCAAGTATCTTTTGTGAAGGAATCGGATGCGGAATGTGTGCGGAAGAAAGAAGTCATTTATCAACCTCTCAAGAACCAGGGTCAACTCATCTCTCTGCACTGGCAACACACTGAGGACTCGGCTTTCGCAAAGGAGAAGGCCTTGAATCCGCAAGCTATTGAGTTTTTCATCTCGGGGGTTTCTGCTGCTGTGGAGCTGATTCTCATTCATGACCGCCTGGCGACTTACCCGCTCACAAGTACCAAGCGACCGGCCTTCCTGCGCTGCACCTGCCTGCACCGCGTGCTTCATCCTGTTACTGGAGCTGACACGGATGTTGTGAAGGGTTTGGTTTACGCTCACCCTGAGAACCAGAATCGTCGTTGGATCCATGCGATCGCTGATCCTGCTGACCGGGCGAAGAAGCTGCTTGTCCATTACCCGACTTTATCCTGTTCGCTCTGTGGCGGCAAGCACTATGATAAGTATCATGATGCTTTTGTCACTGAGCGACCGAACAATGTTAGTATATGGAAGCTTACCCTTGGCAGTGTGCACAGGCTTAACGGTAAAAGCGGCTGTTGTTACTCTTTATTCTGACCTTCCGTTTTGCTCACCTCCTATCGTTACTAATCATTCTTCGGCCCGTTGCAGCTGCGTCGCTGAAAGCGTCATCGCTTTCTCTCCCGATTCTTCGGGATCCTGCTATTGCTCTTGTTTCCACCGGCAGCAGCAGGGAGGACTGGATCTGCACACAAGTGGGCTGTGGAAAAGCAAAAGGGAAAAGTCTCATGGCGGCTGTTGCTCACATCTCTGCAGCTACTCACCTGCTGGAACTGGCGAAATCAGGCTCGGCCACGAAACAGTCGCTCGACAAGCTGAATCTCGATGTCATACGGAAGGAGTACGGTCTGTGAATGGCCTTGAGCGTTACATAGATGCAGCGGCTTGTTGGTGTTTAGGAGTCAGCGTCGGTTGTACCGTCTTCGCTATCAGCCTGTGGATGATTAGGGCTGCAAGGCAGTTTCATCATGATTAATAAGAACCACCTCACTGTTTCGAGCCTCAACGTTAACGGATTAGGAGATCGAGCCAAATAGAGCCGAGTTATCAGCTGGATTAGTCAGTCAGGAGACATTGGAGTACTGATAGACACTAGAATAGGCGCGGACCATTCTTACTGGAAAAGTCTCTCCACTCACTCTATTCTAGCTGCGGCTCCCCGCTCCAGAGCTGGCGGGGTTGCCGTCGTTAGCCGTAACCCAGCCGTCTCGTTTCATGACACGATATGCCATCCGTCAGGCAGGATAATCAAAACCACGTTAAAAGGCCATGGACCAGTTCTTACCCTTGTCGCTGCCTATTTTCCTTCGAGCTCACAGCCTAGAGCCGCCTTCCTTAGAGATTCACTCGGACCTCTTATAGACCAGATCCCGCCTTCAGAACACCTGTTGATCATCGGCGATTTTAACCATGTAGAAAACACCAAGCTAGACAAGTCATCAGGCAAGGGGGTGTCGAACGAGAATGAAAAGCTGTTCCAGCGCTGCAAGTCCTTCCAGCTCTCAGACGCCTTCCGCATACTTCACCCCGGTTGCCGGGAGTACACCTTCTACTCTAAATCCAAACGAGTTAGCACCAGGATAGACCGGGCTCTTGTTTCGCAATCTCTACTGCCTCACCTATCAGTTGCTTCCCATGTCAAACCAGACGAGCCGGTGGCCGACCATAGCTGCGCGGTGGTGGTCGCCTTCAAACTGGATGTGAAGGCCTGCACGGGACCAGGCCTATGGAGATTACATGCTTCAATGGTGAACAGGCCGGGGGTGAGAAAGATCATTGAAGCAACTGTTCGGCGGACTCCGGTCAATGATGGCAGCAGTTTCGAGTTGCTGGTTGCAAGGTTGAGCGCAGGCCTCAGGGCGTACGCGAAGGAGGAGAGTAAGCGGGTTCGTGCGACGGTAACGCACCTGACCAGCACAGTTGCGGCTCTGACGCAAGAGATGATGAGGAATCCACTCTGCTCAAGAACCAAGGAGTTGCTGAGGGCTAAGGAAGTGCAGCTAAAGATGTATCAGTCAGCGCGGAAAGAAAGACTTCACATGCAAGCAGGCTCGACGGCGGAATTAACTGGGGAGATCGCGTCAAAACATCTCTCAGCGCAGGTCAAGGCGCGGAAGGCACGCACCCAGATATCGGAGCTGAAAGACGGGTCAGCGTCGATCACCGGGTCGAAGGAGATTCTCGCTGCGGCTTCTGGTTTCTTTAAGAACATTTTCAGGAAGGATCGCCGCACTGACCGGGACGGCTGGAGCTTCAACCCTTCTCGTCGCCTGGATGGGTGGGTGGCTGAGACACTTACAAGAGAATGGTCAGAACAGGAGGTTAAGAATGCTTTTGCAGCAATGGCGCGGAACAAGTCACCAGGCAGTGACGGCTTACCCAAGGAACTGTTTGAGGCGCATTGGGACCTGCTCGGGGAAAGCTTCATGGCTATGGCAAAGGACTTTGAGGGTACCGCTGCGCTGCCGGCTGAGATCAAGGAGGCGGTGACGATTTTGCTGCACAAGAAAGGCGACAAGGAGCAGCTAAACAACTACCGGCCGATCACGCTGCTGAACTTCGCGTACAAGGTGCTTGCTCGGGTTGTCGCGGATCGGATGAAGTCGGTTCTGCACATGGTTATCTCACCGGAGCAGTATGGCTTCATTCCTGGAAGGCGTTTGTCAGATGCGGTCGCCTTGGTGGCTGATATAATCGAGGGGGCGAAGAACGATAAGGGCGATTGCTATATGCTCCTGGTGGATTTTCAGAAAGCCTTCGACTCGGTCTCAAGGGACTTTCTGTTCCAGGTGCTGGAGTCCATGGGCTTTCCGGAGCAGTTTGTTGGATGGATTGAAGGCCTGCACGAGGGTACAACAACGAAGCTGTTAATAAATGGCTGGCTCGGTGAAGGCGTGGATGTGGTGTCGGGGGTGAGACAGGGCTGCCCCCTGGCGCCCTACCTCTTTCTGTGTGCTGTGGAGCCGCTGGCTCTGGAGGTGGAACGGAAGGAGCTTGGTCTGGAGAAGGATGGGCACCGGCTAGGATATCTTGGTTACGCGGATGATACGACGCTGGTCCTGCAAGGGGAAGCGCAAATTGGTCAGGCAGAGGAAATTCTGGATCGCTTTGAAATGGTTTCGGGGTTGACGACAAACAAAAATAAGTCGGTGGTCTTACCTTTGGGCGCTAACATCGGCGCAACTGGGGGAGGCAGCTTCAAGTGGGCTGGAGCGGACGAAGCAGAGAGGTTGCTAGGCATTTGGGTGACGCCGTCTGGAAGTGGCAGGCCGACTTGGGAGAAGGCGTGGAGCTGTATCTCGGAGAAACTCACCAAGTGGCAACTGAAATACCTGACAATCACAGCGAGAGCAACGGTGGTCAATTTCTACATCACGCCGATCCTTGCTTTTCAGGCGCAGATCTTCCCGCCGCCAGCGGATATCTGGCTGGAAATCATGCGGCTGATACACAGCTTTACCTCGGGTAACAGAGTGGCGACGGCAAAAGGCTTCACACTTTGGAGCAGAGAGTTGCTGTTTACCCCGAGGCTGGACGGAGGCATTGGCGTCAGGGACCCGGAAATCCTCATCACCTGCTTGGCGGCAAGGAGGGTGGGGCTCTTCATAACGGAGAAAAATCCACTCAAGAGAGATCTCATGGAACGGGCCGCGAAGCTTCCGTTGGGGTTGGACTCGTTCACTGCCCACAAAAAACTGTTGAAGCACTGGGAGAATGGCAGCGCCCAGTGGAAGCAGACGGTGGAGAGTTTCATGCGCTCCCCTTTCTCTGTCAAGAACCTGGTGGGGAGCAGGGAGGAGGTGCTTCGGGAGAGATTGGCCTTTAATGCTGACATACTTCTCAACGGCACCACTAATCCGCTGGGGGGGCAGAAAGATGCTCAGGGTTTGACAAAACTTAGGGTCGGAGATCTGCTCGAAGGGGAGGAGAACGGCGCGGTGTTAGTAAAATCCATGGAAGTATTAAAGCAGGAACTCGGCGGTAACGGGCCTGCGAAGCTGGCGATGAGGGCGCTGCTGGCTCTCCCGTCTCACTGGCATAGATTTCTCGGATTTCCAACAGTGCCTCCGCAGTCGGCTGGATTATCCTCACGGGTACCAATTCTGGAAGGGGAGCGGGTAATCTCCATGAAACCGATGAAGGAGGGTTGGAAGGGGACATACAGCCAGTCGTACAAGCAGCAAAAATGGGCTTCACGGTGGGGGAATCACATCGACTGGAAGCGGGTGGTGACGACCAGGGACTCCCTGGCTATTCCTAGCCGTCCAAGGGACGTCCTGATAAGGATCCACGGTCTAAATCTCCAGGTGGGGGAAAGACTGGCTTTCCTCAGCAGTAAGCCTACCTGTCCGCACTGTGGGGAGCAGGAAACCCTGGAGCACTGCCTCGTTCTCTGCCCCAGGATACAGGTGGTGACCTCGGCTCTCCGACGTGCCCTGCGCATGCTAAATCCCAACCGACCATCAGCTTCGCTGGGAGATCTACTGTTTCGGAAAACGGGTACCAGGTCAGCTTTTCCGGAGCTGACCCTCACGTCAGTGGTGCTGCATCAAGTCTGGGTGGAAAGATGCGAAGCAGTTTTTCTGGGGCAGAAGTTTCGGCCACAGCGGGTCCTTTGGAGGGCGGAGTCAGCTTTTAGGCTACACGCAAGAATCTATATGCGCAAAATGGGGGCAGCTCGGAAGAAACGATTGCAGGAAAATTTCGCGGAGGAAAAGAGGATGCTGAGCAGGATCATGCTGGATGGCAAGGGTTGGACGTGGACAAGTGCGTTTGCTGCGCTGTGGTCCAAGAGGAGGGCATGCAGCAACTCGCCTTAGACAGCTCACCTGGAACAGTAATTTATTTTACTGTTGCCTCACGCACGGTTACGACCGTTTAATGGTGTATGCTTGTGTTCTGGTATATACTAATCAATATTAAAAAAAAAAAAAAAAGTAGGAGGGGATCGATGTGCCGCTTATACAGTGCATTGGCGACATCGTCAATGCGTGGTATCCATTTGTCGCATGAATTCGAAATGTACAGTACACGGGTACCCAAATCGGTGGCACCTGCAGCTTGCACGTTCGATGTGCCGCGGTGCACACATCGATCGTGCTGCTGGTTTGGCGGTAGAGCACATCGAGCCACAGGTGACAGCCGCGATCGATCGGCGTCGCCCACGGTCGCAGACAAAAAATTCTCGAGTCGTTGCGAGTGAGATTGCTGGGCGACCAACCACGCTCTGCCCTGATTGGCTGCGCGTTGCAGTGTGTTGGTGTATTCAGCCTGCCCGATCCAGCAATTTCGATCCTGGCACCTATAGCTCGATGTGTCTACCCCACTGCAAATTTTCAGTGTGGGCACATCGGCTTGTCGATCGATGTGTCAGGATCGATGTGAGGCCCCGAACCTGGCAAAATGAAAACAGGTGCCGCGTCCTAAGCTCGGGTGCTTCCGTTCCGCAGCTGCCACGTTTGCCGGGTTTGTTGACCGTCTTTTCAGATTACGGTGTAGACCCTGGTACTACACGTAAATCTGCTTCTTATCGCTATACTGTATCTTAACTAATCTCTTCACCCTCGAAATTGTCTCGCTCCTATCGAGGTTGCCTCCAACAGGTCCGTTGCCTGGGGGTTGAAATTCAAATTTCAAAATCGAAATCCAAGACTGCATCCAGCTTCCCCCTGCTTTCCCTGATATAAGCGGTATCCCGCGAAGACGTTGACTACCTGCTCTCCTGACCCAGTGAATGCAACACACGCTCGTTTCAGATTTAAACGCTTTTAGTCGCCGCCTAATTCAAGTTCGCTGCGTCTATTGCCAGCATCCAGCTTTCCAACAAGACCTTAGTCGTCCATAGTTGTAATAATCCACGATCATCGGCATGGACTCGAGCAAGCGGCCTCGAGGCCCTGCTGGTCAGATAGGCTCGTCAAAACGGCCGTTTCCCGCTCGCGGCGGTGGCGGCATCGGAATCCCCGCGTCGCGACGCGACGAGGAGGAAGGCGATGCGATGGCGGTAGGGACGGAGGAGGAAGAGGAGGAGGTCGAAGAAGCCATGGCGATCGGCGGCGACGCGGGAGGAGGAGCGGATATGGATGAGGACGAGGCGATGATGATCATGATGGCGGAAGACGAGACAGATTTGATTCGGAGAGCGGAGCAGGCGGCGCGGGAAGAGGCCCAGCGGGTGGGACAGATGGGTAGGCTGCAGCCGCTTTTAGATAAGTGGCGGCGGCAGCCGGTGGCGGATTTCGACCCTAGAGCCACAGATATAGGTGAGAGGCTAGCGGTGATAAGTGTAGCCGGTCGTTTGAGAGGTATCCAGGAAACTGGTGGAGAGATGGTGAAGCTCGGTGAGAAGCCTAGTCTCGATGGATTGGCCATGTGCATGATGGATTGGCCATGTGCATGATGGATTGGCCATGTGCATGATGGATTGTCCATGTGCATGATGGATTGGCCATGTGCATGATGGATTGGCCATGTGCATGATGGATTGGCCATGTGCATGATGGATTTTCCATGTGCATGATGGATGTCAATGCCTATAAAGGTAAGAAGGATGATGGATGTTAATGTGCATCAATGTCATTGTGCAACGAACATCTAATAAACTTCACGTCTTTCCCATGCTCTCACCCCCACCTCTCCTTAGTGTTTCAGCAGCTTGACATTGACTACTGCTTGACACCTAACTCACCCTTTTTTTTTTTTAGTCGACCCAAAGTCTGTTCCGTCTCTCAGTGTTTCAGCAGCTTGACATTGACTACTACTTGACATCTGACTCACCCTTCAAGACTCATTACAAGAGCTCCGCTGTATTGCGCATCTTTGGTGTCAACGAGCATGGTCAGTTCCGCTTCTTGTTTATGCTTATTTTCCCTTCAATGCAGGGTGTTTCAGTCACTTAGGTTTCAGTGCCAGCTTTTCATATAGTTTTCAGAACTGGTTACTACATCTTGCTTCGTCAGTCAATCAGGCTTGTTCCGTTCACTGCCAGAAATTTCCCCTTTCTCCTCCCCGCTCGTATCTCCCTTGTTTGTTCTTTTCATTATGTACTTCCGCTCATGCTTCCAGGAAACAGTGTGTGCGCCATGGTGCATGGCTTTCTGCCATACTTCTATGTGATGGCACCGTCGCAATTCACATACGATGATGTTGCTGCCTTCCACACACAACTCTCGGTACAGTCACACGCTTGGACCTTTCCGGGACGCACTTCTCATTTTAGTCAAAGTTTTCAAAATTTGTACTATACATGCTTAATTGTATATACATATTTATTTTGTTACGTGCGTCCCTTTTTGTATTGATGTGCACATTTATGCAACTGCTTGTGTAACTGTATTGTACTGTACATGTGACCGCAGGAAAGGGGTCAGGCAAAGGGAGTGGTGGTGATAAGAGTGGAGATGCTTAAAGCGCAGGGCCTGCTTTACTATCAAGGCCCTGATAAGAAGACATTCCTTAAAATCACACTCGCTCTGCCCACGATGGTGGCTCCATGCCGAGGTGAGTGCGGCACCGTCAACCATGTGGTGGCTTCATGAATTTCATGATCGACTGCCACTTCTGACTGGCCGAGATGTCCTCTTGCTGCTGTTCCCCTCTCCTTTCTTCTCCCTTTCCCCACACCCAGCATACTTTGAACAGGGCTTTGAGTGGAACGGCTTTCACTTCCCCTCCACCACCTATGAGAGCAACGTGCTGTTTGCGCTGCGCTTCATGATTGACTGCCACGTCACCGGGGGCAACTGGATCTCGCTGCCAGCTGGCACGTACCGCGTGCGCGAGGACGCGCGGAAGCTGTCGGCGTGCCAGCTGGAGGTTGATATCCTGTGAGTGATATGATGATGATGTCGTATACGAGGTCATGTGGTGTGATAATGTGATAAGACATGAGATGGTATGATATGATACGATACGACACTATGTTATATGATATGATTATGATATGATATGATATGATATGATATGATATAAAGAGGCAGCTGGATCCCGCTGCGAGGACGCGCAGAAGCTCTCAGCTTGCCAGCTGGAGGTTGATATTCTGTGAGTGACATGATGTTGTGATGTGAGGTGATCTTCTCTCCTGCTCCTCCTGACCCTGCTCTTCTGCTGATCCTGATCTGTTCCTCCTTCGGAACTGACCTCCTGGCTGCTGCTTCTACTCCTCTCTCCCTCCCTTTCTTCCTCTCCCATCAGCTATACGGATCTGATCAGTCACGAGGGTACAGGGCAGTGGTCCCGCATGGCGCCCTTCCGCATCCTCAGTTTTGACATTGAGTGCAGCGGGCGCAAGGGGCACTTCCCAGAGCCGCAGCACGACCCGGTCATTCAGATCGCCAATATAGTTTCCCAGCAGGGCAGCAGCGACCCGCTGGTTCGCACCGTGCTCACCCTCGGCTCCTGTGCTCCCATCGTTGGGTGCGATGTCGTGGCTTTCGAGACGGAGCAGCAGCTGCTGCTGGCATGGAAGGTACGTGCATGTACTTGATACTGATATCATTGTCCTGTTGTGCTGCGTCCACTTGTGTTCTCCCATTGTGGGATGCGATGTCGTGGCTTTTGAGACAGAGCAGCAGCTGCTGCTGCTGGCTTGGAAGGTACGTCTGTCTAGTACCCAAAGCACAACTTGTTGCTTTCGTTCCTCCTGCCCTCCTGTTCGTTACACATCACCACCCTTCGAGTTTGAAGAAGTGTTTTGAGACGTCTCAAAACACTTCTTCAAACACGTGTTCGTTACTGAGCACCACCCTTCCTGCTCCCTCTCTCTCCCTTTCCCTCCGTCCTTCTCCATACAGGAGCTCATCCAGGCGACAGACCCTGACATGATTATCGGCTACAACATTCAGAAGTTCGATCTGCCCTACTTGATTGAGGTGTGTGGGCGGGGCTTACACAAGGAACATTTCAGTGTGTGATGAGGAATTATTTGACATGCTCTTTACCATGTGACGGAGACTTTGTATACAGAGATCGTCCTGATTACAAGGAGGTGTTATTTCTGTTACTACCCCCCCTCTGTTGCTCTCCCCATGCAGAGAGCCGAGAAGCTAAATTTCAAAACCTTCCCGTTCCTCGGTCAGATTCTCAACACCCACTGACTTGAGTTCTGCTGCGCCTGCTATTTCTGCTACTGTTGACCCTCTGTTACCCCCCCTCTGTTGCTCTCCCCATGCAGAGAGCCGAGAAGCTGAATTTGAAGACCTTCCCGTTCCTCGGTCGGATCCTCAACACCCAGCTCAAGATGCGAGATGCTCGCTTCCAATCCAGGTCCGACCCTGACTGTAACTCACCTTATTTGGGGAACACAATTCCGAGACACATCCTGATCTGACCTCACATCACATCTCGTGTGCACTTTTTGTTTCGCCTCACATTACCCGCTGGCAGCTGAGATTTTTTTCCACTGCTCGTTGTGCTCTCCTCCCAATGCAGGCAGTACGGCATGCGGGGAACCAAGGAGGTGACACTCGATGGGCGCACAGTTGATCCGATTGGCTTCTACCAACTAAACCCCTCCCTCCTCTTTGCTCCCTTTTTTCGCCAACCAGGCAGTACGGCACGAGGGAGACCAAAGAGGTGACACTGGATGGGCGTGTGCAGTTTGATCTGCTGGTGGCGATTCAGAGAGAGCACAAGCTCAGCTCCTACTCCCTCAACTCCGTCTCCGCTCATTTCCTCAACGAACAGGTGCGGCCCGCAGGCGACTAATTACCCAGAGAAACCACAAGCTGCCAGGCACGTTTTCTTATAAGTCGCACAAACTGTTTCAGTTCATCACACGCACTCACACTTGCTGACCAAACGGATTCAGTGCAGTGCGCAACGCGGGTTGTTCCACCTTTGTCTTTCTCTGAAGGATGGTCTAATGTAAAGACTATCCTCACCGAAGGTCCTTGGATATCATACGTACGATGTCCTGTCCATTCATGCACTGTATATACTTATGGAGAATGTGCTTGTACTGAATGTGCTTGTACCGAATGTGCTTGTACTGGATATCCTTGTACTGAGCAGAAGGAGGACGTGCATCACTCCATTATTGCTGACCTTCAGAACGGCGACGCCCAAACGCGTCGCCGCCTGGCCGTCTACTGCCTGAAAGACGCATACCTGCCACAGCGGCTGCTGGAGAAGCTCATGATGGTCTACAATTACGTTGAAATGGCCCGGGTTACTGGTGTTCCTATTTCCTTCCTTCTTGCGCGTGGGCAAAGTATCAAGGTACTTATTATTTACCCTACAGATACACACACAGTGTCTACTTTGCTGCCTGAAGGATGCGTACCCACCGCAAAGGCTGCTGGAGAAACTGATGATTGCCTACAACTATGTGGATATGGCAAGAGTCACGGGCGTTCCCATTTCGTTTCTACCTGCGCGAGGTGGAGCAAAACACCACTTGGACCAATTGGTCACTTTGACCCAACTGTTCCAAATGGTCCAAGTGACCAGGCGCACTTGGTCCAAGACTTGGTCCGCGCGCGCGCCTTGCTCCGTGTGCGCGCCTTGGTCCGGGCGCGCGCCTTGGTCCGCGCGCGCCCCTTGGTCCGCGCGCGCGCCTTGGTTCGCGCGCGCGCCTTGGTTCGCGCGCGCGCCTTGGTCCGGGCGCGCGCCTTGGTCCGGGCGCGCGCCTTGGTCCGAGCGCGCGCCTTGGTCCGGGCGCGCGCCTTGGTCCGGGCGCGCGCCTTGGTCCGGGCGCGCGCCTTGGTCCGGGCGCGCGCCTTGGTCCGGGCGCGCGCCTTGGTCCGGGCGCGCGCCTTGGTCCGGGCGCGCGCCTTGGTCCGGGCGCGCGCCTTGGTCCGGGCGCGCGCCTTGGTCCGGGCGCGCGCCTTGGTCCGGGCGCGCGCCCCTTGGTCCCGGCGCGCGCCTTGGTCCGGGCGCGCGCCTTGGTCCGCGCGCGCGCCTTGGTCCGGGCGCGCGCCTTGGTCCGGGCGCGTGCCTTGGTCCGCGCGCGCGCGCCTTGGTCCGGGCGCGCGCCCCTTGGTCCGCGCGCGCGCGCCTTGGTCCGGGCGCGCGCCTTGGTCCGCGGGCGCGCCTTCGTCTGCGCGCGCGCCTTGGTCCGGGCGCGCGCCTTGGTCCGCGCGCGCGCCTTGGTCCGCGCGCGCGCCTTGGTCCACGCGCGCGCCTTGGTCCGGGCGCGCGCCTTGGTCCGGGCGCGCGCCTTGGTCCGGGCGCGGGCCTTGGTCCGGGCGCGCGCCTTGGTCCGGCCGCGCGCCTTGGTCCGGGCACGCGCGCCTTGGTCCGGGCGCGCATCAGCATCAGCATCAGCGCATCAGCATCAGCGCATCAGCATCAGCGCATCAGCATCAGCATCAGCATCAGCGCATCAGCATCAGCGCATCAGCATCAGCGCATCAGCATCAGCGCATCAGCATCAGCGCATCAGCATCAGCGCATCAGCATCAGCGCATCAGCATCAGCATCAGCGCATCAGCATCAGCGCATCAGCATCAGCGCATCAGCATCAGCGCATCAGCATCAGCGCATCAGCATCAGCGCATCAGCATCAGCATCAGCATCACCATCAGCATCAGCGCATCAGCATCAGCGCATCAGCATCAGCGCATCAGCATCAGCATCAGCGCATCAGCATCAGCATCAGCGCATCAATTTCTGCGCATCAGCATCAGCGCATCAGCATCAGCGCATCAGCATCAGCGCATCAGCATCAGCGCATCAGCATCAGCGCATCAGCATCAGCGCATCAGCATCAGCGCATCAGCATCAGCGCATCAGCATCAGCGCATCAGCATCAGCATCAGCGCATCAGCATCAGCGCATCAGCATCAGCGCATCAGCATCAGCGCATCAGCATCAGCGCATCAGCATCAGCGCATCAGCATCAGCATCAGCGCATCAGCATCAGCATCAGCGCATCAGCATCAGCGCATCAGCATCAGCGCATCAGCATCAGCGCATCAGCATCAGCGCATCAGCATCAGCGCATCAGCATCAGCGCATCAGCATCAGCGCATCAGCATCAGCGCATCAGCATCAGCATCAGCATCAGCGCATCAGCATCAGCGCATCAGCATCAGCGCATCAGCATCAGCATCAGCGCATCAGCATCAGCATCAGCGCATCAGCATCAGCATCAGCGCATCAGCATCAGCGCATCAGCATCAGCATCAGCGCATCAGCATCAGCGCATCAGCATCAGCGCATCAGCATCAGCGCATCAGCATCAGCGCATCAGCATCAGCGCATCAGCATCAGCGCATCAGCATCAGCGCATCAGCATCAGCGCATCAGCATCAGCGCATCAGCATCAGCGCATCAGCATCAGCGCATCAGCATCAGCGCATCAGCATCAGCGCATCAGCATCAGCGCATCAGCATCAGCGCATCAGCATCAGCGCATCAGCATCAGCGCATCAGCATCAGCGCATCAGCATCAGCGCATCAGCATCAGCGCATCAGCATCAGCGCATCAGCATCAGCGCATCAGCATCAGCGCATCAGCATCAGCGCATCAGCATCAGCGCATCAGCATCAGCGCATCAGCATCAGCGCATCAGCATCAGCGCATCAGCATCAGCATCAGCGCATCAGCATCAGCATCAGCATCAGCATCAGCGCATCAGCATCAGCGCATCAGCATCAGCGCATCAGCATCAGCGCATCAGCATCAGCGCATCAGCATCAGCATCAGCGCATCAGCATCAGCGCATCAGCATCAGCATCAGCGCATCAGCATCAGCGCATCAGCATCAGCGCATCAGCATCAGCGCATCAGCATCAGCGCATCAGCATCAGCGCATCAGCATCAGCGCATCAGCATCAGCGCATCAGCATCAGCGCATCAGCATCAGCGCATCAGCATCAGCGCATCAGCATCAGCGCATCAGCATCAGCGCATCAGCATCAGCGCATCAGCATCAGCGCATCAGCATCAGCGCATCAGCATCAGCGCATCAGCATCAGCATCAGCGCATCAGCATCAGCATCAGCGCATCAGCATCAGCGCATCAGCATCAGCGCATCAGCATCAGCGCATCAGCATCAGCGCATCAGCATCAGCATCAGCGCATCAGCATCAGCGCATCAGCATCAGCGCATCAGCATCAGCGCATCAGCATCAGCGCATCAGCATCAGCGCATCAGCATCAGCGCATCAGCATCAGCGCATCAGCATCAGCGCATCAGCATCAGCGCATCAGCATCAGCGCATCAGCATCAGCGCATCAGCATCAGCGCATCAGCATCAGCGCATCAGCATCAGCGCATCAGCATCAGCGCATCAGCATCAGCATCAGCATCAGCGCATCAGCATCAGCGCATCAGCATCAGCGCATCAGCATCAGCATCAGCGCATCAGCATCAGCGCATCAGCATCAGCATCAGCGCATCAGCATCAGCATCAGCGCATCAGCATCAGCATCAGCGCATCAGCATCAGCATCAGCGCATCAGCATCAGCATCAGCGCATCAGCATCAGCGCATCAGCATCAGCGCATCAGCATCAGCGCATCAGCATCAGCGCATCAGCATCAGCGCATCAGCATCAGCGCATCAGCATCAGCGCATCAGCATCAGCGCATCAGCATCAGCGCATCAGCATCAGCGCATCAGCATCAGCGCATCAGCATCAGCGCATCAGCATCAGCGCATCAGCATCAGCGCATCAGCATCAGCGCATCAGCATCAGCGCATCAGCATCAGCATCAGCATCAGTATCAGCATCAGCATCAGCATCAGCATCAGCCCATCAGCATCAGCCCATCAGCATCAGCATAAGCGCATCAGCATCAGCATAAGCGCATCAGCATCAGCATCAGCGCATCAGCATCAGCATCAGCGCATCAGCATCAGCATCAGCGCATCAGCATCAGCGCATCAGCATCAGCGCATCAGCATCAGCGCATCAGCATCAGCGCATCAGCATCAGCGCATCAGCATCAGCGCATCAGCATCAGCGCATCAGCATCAGCGCATCAGCATCAGCGCATCAGCATCAGCGCATCAGCATCAGCGCATCAGCATCAGCGCATCAGCATCAGCGCATCAGCATCAGCGCATCAGCATCAGCGCATCAGCATCAGCGCATCAGCATCAGCATCAGCATCAGTATCAGCATCAGCATCAGCATCAGCATCAGCCCATCAGCATCAGCCCATCAGCATCAGCGCATCAGCATCAGCGCATCAGCATCAGCATCAGCGCATCAGCATCAGCATCAGCGCATCAGCATCAGCGCATCAGCATCAGCGCATCAGCATCAGCGCATCAGCATCAGCATCAGCATCAGCGCATCAGCATCAGCGCATCAGCATCAGCGCATCAGCATCAGCGCATCAGCATCAGCGCATCAGCATCAGCGCATCAGCATCAGCGCATCAGCATCAGCATCAGCGCATCAGCATCAGCGCATCAGCATCAGCGCATCAGCATCAGCGCATCAGCATCAGCGCATCAGCATCAGCGCATCAGCATCAGCGCATCAGCATCAGCATCAGCATCAGCGCATCAGCATCAGCGCATCAGCATCAGCGCATCAGCATCAGCGCATCAGCATCAGCGCATCAGCATCAGCGCATCAGCATCAGCGCATCAGCATCAGCGCATCAGCATCAGCGCATCAGCATCAGCGCATCAGCATCAGCATCAGCATCAGTATCAGCATCAGCATCAGCATCAGCATCAGCCCATCAGCATCAGCCCATCAGCATCAGCGCATCAGCATCAGCGCATCAGCATCAGCATCAGCGCATCAGCATCAGCATCAGCGCATCAGCATCAGCGCATCAGCATCAGCGCATCAGCATCAGCGCATCAGCATCAGCATCAGCATCAGCGCATCAGCATCAGCGCATCAGCATCAGCGCATCAGCATCAGCATCAGCATCAGCATCAGTGCATCAGCATCAGCGCATCAGCATCAGCGCATCAGCATCAGCATCAGCGCATCAGCATCAGCGCATCAGCATCAGCGCATCAGCATCAGCGCATCAGCATCAGCGCATCAGCATCAGCGCATCAGCATCAGCGCATCAGCATCAGCATCAGCATCAGCGCATCAGCATCAGCGCATCAGCATCAGCGCATCAGCATCAGCGCATCAGCATCAGCGCATCAGCATCAGCGCATCAGCATCAGCATCAGCGCATCAGCATCAGCGCATCAGCATCAGCGCATCAGCATCAGCGCATCAGCATCAGCGCATCAGCATCAGCGCATCAGCATCAGCGCATCAGCATCAGCGCATCAGCATCAGCGCATCAGCATCAGCATCAGCGCATCAGCATCAGCGCATCAGCATCAGCGCATCAGCATCAGCGCATCAGCATCAGCGCATCAGCATCAGCGCATCAGCATCAGCGCATCAGCATCAGCGCATCAGCATCAGCGCATCAGCATCAGCATCAGCGCATCAGCATCAGCGCATCAGCATCAGCGCATCAGCATCAGCGCATCAGCATCAGCATCAGCGCATCAGCATCAGCGCATCAGCATCAGCATCAGCATCAGCGCATCAGCATCAGCGCATCAGCATCAGCGCATCAGCATCAGCGCATCAGCATCAGCGCATCAGCATCAGCGCATCAGCATCAGCGCATCAGCATCAGCATCAGCGCATCAGCATCAGCGCATCAGCATCAGCGCATCAGCATCAGCGCATCAGCATCAGCGCATCAGCATCAGCGCATCAGCATCAGCGCATCAGCATCAGCGCATCAGCATCAGCGCATCAGCATCAGCGCATCAGCATCAGCGCATCAGCATCAGCGCATCAGCATCAGCATCAGCGCATCAGCATCAGCGCATCAGCATCAGCGCATCAGCATCAGCGCATCAGCATCAGCGCATCAGCATCAGCGCATCAGCATCAGCGCATCAGCATCAGCGCATCAGCATCAGCGCATCAGCATCAGCGCATCAGCATCAGCGCATCAGCATCAGCGCATCAGCATCAGCGCATCAGCATCAGCGCATCAGCATCAGCATCAGCGCATCAGCATCAGCGCATCAGCATCAGCGCATCAGCATCAGCGCATCAGCATCAGCGCATCAGCATCAGCGCATCAGCATCAGCATCAGCATCACCATCAGCATCAGCGCATCAGCATCAGCGCATCAGCATCAGCGCATCAGCATCAGCATCAGCGCATCAGCATCAGCATCAGCGCATCAATTTCTGCGCATCAGCATCAGCGCATCAGCATCAGCGCATCAGCATCAGCGCATCAGCATCAGCGCATCAGCATCAGCGCATCAGCATCAGCGCATCAGCATCAGCGCATCAGCATCAGCATCAGCGCATCAGCATCAGCATCAGCGCATCAGCATCAGCGCATCAGCATCAGCGCATCAGCATCAGCGCATCAGCATCAGCGCATCAGCATCAGCGCATCAGCATCAGCGCATCAGCATCAGCGCATCAGCATCAGCGCATCAGCATCAGCGCATCAGCATCAGCGCATCAGCATCAGCGCATCAGCATCAGCGCATCAGCATCAGCGCATCAGCATCAGCGCATCAGCATCAGCATCAGCGCATCAGCATCAGCGCATCAGCATCAGCATCAGCGCATCAGCATCAGCGCATCAGCATCAGCGCATCAGCATCAGCGCATCAGCATCAGCGCATCAGCATCAGCGCATCAGCATCAGCGCATCAGCATCAGCATCAGCGCATCAGCATCAGCGCATCAGCATCAGCGCATCAGCATCAGCGCATCAGCATCAGCATCAGCGCATCAGCATCAGCGCATCAGCATCAGCATCAGCATCAGCGCATCAGCATCAGCGCATCAGCATCAGCGCATCAGCATCAGCGCATCAGCATCAGCGCATCAGCATCAGCGCATCAGCATCAGCGCATCAGCATCAGCATCAGCGCATCAGCATCAGCGCATCAGCATCAGCGCATCAGCATCAGCGCATCAGCATCAGCGCATCAGCATCAGCGCATCAGCATCAGCGCATCAGCATCAGCGCATCAGCATCAGCGCATCAGCATCAGCGCATCAGCATCAGCGCATCAGCATCAGCGCATCAGCATCAGCATCAGCGCATCAGCATCAGCGCATCAGCATCAGCGCATCAGCATCAGCGCATCAGCATCAGCGCATCAGCATCAGCGCATCAGCATCAGCGCATCAGCATCAGCGCATCAGCATCAGCGCATCAGCATCAGCGCATCAGCATCAGCGCATCAGCATCAGCGCATCAGCATCAGCGCATCAGCATCAGCGCATCAGCATCAGCATCAGCGCATCAGCATCAGCGCATCAGCATCAGCGCATCAGCATCAGCGCATCAGCATCAGCGCATCAGCATCAGCGCATCAGCATCAGCATCAGCATCACCATCAGCATCAGCGCATCAGCATCAGCGCATCAGCATCAGCGCATCAGCATCAGCATCAGCGCATCAGCATCAGCATCAGCGCATCAATTTCTGCGCATCAGCATCAGCGCATCAGCATCAGCGCATCAGCATCAGCGCATCAGCATCAGCGCATCAGCATCAGCGCATCAGCATCAGCGCATCAGCATCAGCGCATCAGCATCAGCATCAGCGCATCAGCATCAGCATCAGCGCATCAGCATCAGCGCATCAGCATCAGCGCATCAGCATCAGCGCATCAGCATCAGCGCATCAGCATCAGCGCATCAGCATCAGCGCATCAGCATCAGCGCATCAGCATCAGCGCATCAGCATCAGCGCATCAGCATCAGCGCATCAGCATCAGCGCATCAGCATCAGCGCATCAGCATCAGCGCATCAGCATCAGCGCATCAGCATCAGCATCAGCGCATCAGCATCAGCATCAGCGCATCAGCATCAGCATCAGCGCATCAGCATCAGCGCATCAGCATCAGCATCAGCGCATCAGCATCAGCGCATCAGCATCAGCGCATCAGCATCAGCGCATCAGCATCAGCGCATCAGCATCAGCGCATCAGCATCAGCGCATCAGCATCAGCGCATCAGCATCAGCGCATCAGCATCAGCGCATCAGCATCAGCGCATCAGCATCAGCGCATCAGCATCAGCGCATCAGCATCAGCGCATCAGCATCAGCGCATCAGCATCAGCGCATCAGCATCAGCGCATCAGCATCAGCGCATCAGCATCAGCGCATCAGCATCAGCGCATCAGCATCAGCGCATCAGCATCAGCGCATCAGCATCAGCGCATCAGCATCAGCGCATCAGCATCAGCGCATCAGCATCAGCGCATCAGCATCAGCGCATCAGCATCAGCATCAGCGCATCAGCATCAGCATCAGCATCAGCATCAGCGCATCAGCATCAGCGCATCAGCATCAGCGCATCAGCATCAGCGCATCAGCATCAGCGCATCAGCATCAGCGCATCAGCATCAGCATCAGCGCATCAGCATCAGCGCATCAGCATCAGCATCAGCGCATCAGCATCAGCGCATCAGCATCAGCGCATCAGCATCAGCGCATCAGCATCAGCGCATCAGCATCAGCGCATCAGCATCAGCGCATCAGCATCAGCGCATCAGCATCAGCATCAGCGCATCAGCATCAGCATCAGCGCATCAGCATCAGCGCATCAGCATCAGCGCATCAGCATCAGCGCATCAGCATCAGCGCATCAGCATCAGCGCATCAGCATCAGCGCATCAGCATCAGCATCAGCGCATCAGCATCAGCATCAGCGCATCAGCATCAGCGCATCAGCATCAGCGCATCAGCATCAGCATCAGCGCATCAGCATCAGCGCATCAGCATCAGCGCATCAGCATCAGCGCTTCACCATCAGCGCATCAGCATCAGCATCAGCATCAGCATCAGCGCATCAGCACCTGCATCAGCGCATCAGCATCAGCATCAGCGCATCCTGATGCATCAGCGCATCAGCATCAGTGCATCAGCATCAGCGCATCAGCATCAGCGCATCAGCATCAGCGCATCAGCATCAGCGCATCAGCATCAGCGCATCAGCATCAGCGCATCAGCATCAGCATCAGCATCAGCGCATCAGCATCAGCGTATCAGAATCAGCGCATCAGCATCAGCGCATCAGCATCAGCGCATCAGCATCAGCGCATCAGCATCAGCGCATCAGCATCAGCATCAGCATCAGCGCATCAGCATCAGCGCATCAGCATCAGCGCATCAGCATCAGCGCATCAGCATCAGCGCATCAGCATCAGCGCATCAGCATCAGCGCATCAGCATCAGCGCATCAGCATCAGCGCATCAGCATCAGCGCATCCTCATCAGCATCAGCGCATCAGCATCAGCGCATCAGCATCAGCATCAGCATCAGCGCATCAGCATCAGCGCATCAGCATCAGCGCATCAGCATCAGCGCATCAGCATCAGCGCATCAGCATCAGCGCATCAGCATCAGCATCAGCGCATCAGCATCAGCGCATCAGCATCAGCGCATCAGCATCAGCATCAGCGCATCACCATCAGTATCAGCCCATCAGCATCAGCGCATCAGCATCAGCGCATCAGCATCAGCGCATCAGCATCAGCGCATCAGCATCAGCGCATCAGCATCAGCGCATCAGCATCAGCGCATCAGCATCAGCGCATCAGCATCAGCGCATCAGCATCAGCGCATCAGCATCAGCGCATCAGCATCAGCGCATCAGCATCAGCGCATCAGCATCAGCGCATCAGCATCAGCATCAGCATCAGCATCAGCGCATCAGCATCAGCGCATCAGCATCAGCGCATCAGCATCAGCATCAGCGCATCAGCATCAGCGCATCAGCATCAGCATCAGCGCATCAGCATCAGCATCAGCGCATCAGCATCAGCATCAGCGCATCAGCATCAGCATCAGCATCAGCGCATCAGCATCAGCGCATCAGCATCAGCGCATCAGCATCAGCGCATCAGCATCAGCGCATCAGCATCAGCGCATCAGCATCAGCGCATCAGCATCAGCGCATCAGCATCAGCGCATCAGCATCAGCGCATCAGCATCAGCGCATCAGCATCAGCGCATCAGCATCAGCGCATCAGCATCAGCGCATCAGCATCAGCGCATCAGCATCGGCGCACCAGCATCAGCGCATCAGCATCGGCGCATCAGCATCAGCATCAGCGCATCAGCATCAGCGCATCAGCATCAGCGCATCAGCATCAGCATCAGCGCATCAGCATCAGCGCATCAGCATCAGCGCATCAGCATCAGCATCAGCGCATCAGCATCAGTATCAGCCCATCAGCATCAGCGCATCAGCATCAGCGCATCAGCATCAGCGCATCAGCATCAGCGCATCAGCATCAGCGCATCAGCATCAGCGCATCAGCATCAGCGCATCAGCATCAGCGCATCAGCATCAGCGCATCAGCATCAGCGCATCAGCATCAGCGCATCAGCATCAGCATCAGCATCAGCGCATCAGCATCAGCGCATCAGCATCAGCATCAGCGCATCAGCATCAGCATCAGCGCATCAGCATCAGCATCAGCGCATCAGCATCAGCATCAGCGCATCAGCATCAGCATCAGCGCATCAGCATCAGCGCATCAGCATCAGCGCATCAGCATCAGCGCATCAGCATCAGCGCATCAGCATCAGCGCATCAGCATCAGCGCATCAGCATCAGCGCATCAGCATCAGCGCATCAGCATCAGCGCATCAGCATCAGCGCATCAGCATCAGCGCATCAGCATCAGCGCATCAGCATCAGCGCATCAGCGTCGGCGCATCAGCATCAGCGCATCAGCATCAGCGCATCAGCATCAGCATCAGCATCAGCATCAGCATCAGCGCATCAGCATCAGCATCAGCATCAGCCCATCAGCATCAGCGCATCAGCATCAGCGCATCAGCATCAGCATCAGCGCATCAGCATCAGCATCAGCGCATCAGCATCAGCGCATCAGCATCAGCGCATCAGCATCAGCGCATCAGCATCAGCGCATCAGCATCAGCGCATCAGCATCAGCGCATCAGCATCAGCGCATCAGCATCAGCGCATCAGCATCAGCGCATCAGCATCAGCGCATCAGCATCAGCGCATCAGCATCAGCGCATCAGCATCAGCGCATCAGCATCAGCGCATCAGCATCAGCATCAGCATCAGCGCATCAGCATCAGCGCATCAGCATCAGCATCAGCGCATCAGCATCAGCATCAGCGCATCAGCATCAGCATCAGCGCATCAGCATCAGCATCAGCGCATCAGCATCAGCATCAGCGCATCAGCATCAGCGCATCAGCATCAGCGCATCAGCATCAGCGCATCAGCATCAGCGCATCAGCATCAGCGCATCAGCATCAGCGCATCAGCATCAGCGCATCAGCATCAGCGCATCAGCATCAGCGCATCAGCATCAGCGCATCAGCATCAGCGCATCAGCATCAGCGCATCAGCATCAGCGCATCAGCATCAGCGCATCAGCATCAGCATCAGCATCAGCGCATCAGCATCAGCATCAGCATCAGCATCAGCATCAGCGCATCAGCATCAGCATCAGCATCAGCCCATCAGCATCAGCGCATCAGCATCAGCGCATCAGCATCAGCATCAGCGCATCAGCATCAGCATCAGCGCATCAGCATCAGCGCATCAGCATCAGCGCATCAGCATCAGCGCATCAGCATCAGCGCATCAGCATCAGCGCATCAGCATCAGCGCATCAGCATCAGCGCATCAGCATCAGCATCAGCGCATCAGCATCAGCGCATCAGCATCAGCGCATCAGCATCAGCGCATCAGCATCAGCGCATCAGCATCAGCGCATCAGCATCAGCGCATCAGCATCAGCGCATCAGCATCAGCGCATCAGCATCAGCGCATCAGCATCAGCGCATCAGCATCAGCGCATCAGCATCAGCGCATCAGCATCAGCGCATCAGCATCAGCATCAGCGCATCAGCATCAGCGCATCAGCATCAGCGCATCAGCATCAGCGCATCAGCATCAGCGCATCAGCATCAGCGCATCAGCATCAGCGCATCAGCATCAGCGCATCAGCATCAGCGCATCAGCATCAGCATCAGCGCATCAGCATCAGCGCATCAGCATCAGCGCATCAGCATCAGCGCATCAGCATCAGCGCATCAGCATCAGCGCATCAGCATCAGCGCATCAGCATCAGCGCATCAGCATCAGCGCATCAGCATCAGCGCATCAGCATCAGCGCATCAGCATCAGCGCATCAGCATCAGCGCATCAGCATCAGCATCAGCATCAGCGCATCAGCATCAGCGCATCAGCATCAGCATCAGCGCATCAGCATCAGCGCATCAGCATCAGCGCATCAGCATCAGCATCAGCATCAGCGCATCAGCATCAGCGCATCAGCATCAGCGCATCAGCATCAGCGCATCAGCATCAGCGCATCAGCATCAGCGCATCAGCATCAGCGCATCAGCATCAGCGCATCAGCATCAGCATCAGCGCATCAGCATCAGCGCATCAGCATCAGCGCATCAGCATCAGCGCATCAGCATCAGCGCATCAGCATCAGCGCATCAGCATCAGCGCATCAGCATCAGCGCATCAGCATCAGCGCATCAGCATCAGCGCATCAGCATCAGCGCATCAGCATCAGCGCATCAGCATCAGCGCATCAGCATCAGCGCATCAGCATCAGCGCATCAGCATCAGCGCATCAGCATCAGCGCATCAGCATCAGCGCATCAGCATCAGCGCATCAGCATCAGCATCAGCGCATCAGCATCAGCGCATCAGCATCAGCGCATCAGCATCAGCGCATCAGCATCAGCGCATCAGCATCAGCGCATCAGCATCAGCGCATCAGCATCAGCGCATCAGCATCAGCGCATCAGCATCAGCGCATCAGCATCAGCGCATCAGCATCAGCGCATCAGCATCAGCGCATCAGCATCAGCATCAGCATCAGCGCATCAGCATCAGCGCATCAGCATCAGCGCATCAGCATCAGCGCATCAGCATCAGCGCATCAGCATCAGCGCATCAGCATCAGCGCATCAGCATCAGCATCAGCGCATCAGCATCAGCGCATCAGCATCAGCGCATCAGCATCAGCGCATCAGCATCAGCGCATCAGCATCAGCATCAGCGCATCAGCATCAGCATCAGCGCATCAGCATCAGCGCATCAGCATCAGCGCATCAGCATCAGCGCATCAGCATCAGCGCATCAGCATCAGCGCATCAGCATCAGCGCATCAGCATCAGCGCATCAGCATCAGCGCATCAGCATCAGCATCAGCGCATCAGCATCAGCGCATCAGCATCAGCGCATCAGCATCAGCGCATCAGCATCAGCGCATCAGCATCAGCATCAGCGCATCAGCATCAGCGCATCAGCATCAGCATCAGCGCATCAGCATCAGCGCATCAGCATCAGCGCATCAGCATCAGCATCAGCGCATCAGCATCAGCGCATCAGCGCATCAGCATCAGCATCAGCGCATCAGCATCAGCGCATCAGCATCAGCGCATCAGCATCAGCATCAGCATCAGCATCAGCATCAGCGCATCAGCATCAGCGCATCAGCATCAGCGCATCAGCATCAGCGCATCAGCATCAGCGCATCAGCATCAGCGCATCAGCATCAGCGCATCAGCATCAGCGCATCAGCATCAGCGCATCAGCATCAGCGCATCAGCATCAGCGCATCAGCATCAGCATCAGCGCATCAGCATCAGCATCAGCGCATCAGCATCAGCGCATCAGCATCAGCGCATCAGCATCAGCGCATCAGCATCAGCGCATCAGCATCAGCGCATCAGCATCAGCGCATCAGCATCAGCGCATCAGCATCAGCGCATCAGCATCAGCGCATCAGCATCAGCGCATCAGCATCAGCATCAGCGCATCAGCATCAGCGCATCAGCATCAGCGCATCAGCATCAGCGCATCAGCATCAGCGCATCAGCATCAGCATCAGCGCATCAGCATCAGCGCATCAGCATCAGCGCATCAGCATCAGCGCATCAGCATCAGCGCATCAGCATCAGCATCAGCGCATCAGCATCAGCGCATCAGCATCAGCGCATCAGCATCAGCGCATCAGCATCAGCATCAGCATCAGCGCATCAGCATCAGCGCATCAGCATCAGCGCATCAGCATCAGCGCATCAGCATCAGCGCATCAGCATCAGCATCAGCGCATCAGCATCAGCGCATCAGCATCAGCGCATCAGCATCAGCGCATCAGCATCAGCGCATCAGCATCAGCGCATCAGCATCAGCGCATCAGCATCAGCGCATCAGCATCAGCGCATCAGCATCAGCGCATCAGCATCAGCGCATCAGCATCAGCGCATCAGCATCAGCGCATCAGCATCAGCTTAACCCTGGCGCATCAGCATCAGCATCAGCGCATCAGCATCAGCGCATCAGCATCAGCGCATCAGCATCAGCGCATCAGCATCAGCATCAGCATCAGCATCAGCGCATCAGCATCAGCGCATCAGCATCAGCATCAGCGCATCAGCATCAGCATCAGCGCATCAGCATCAGCGCATCAGCATCAGCGCATCAGCATCAGCGCATCAGCATCAGCGCATCAGCATCAGCGCATCAGCATCAGCGCATCAGCATCAGCAACATCCGCATCAGCGCATCCGCATCAACGCATCAGCATCAGCACATCAGCATCAGCGCATCAGCATCAGCGCATCAGCATCAGCGCATCAGCATCAGCGCATCAGCATCAGCGCATCAGCATCAGCATCAGCATCAGCGCATCAGCATCAGCGCATCAGCATCAGCATCAGCATCAGCCCATCAGCATCAGCGCATCAGCATCAGCATCAGCGCATCAGCATCAGCATCAGCGCATCAGCATCAGCATCAGCGCATCAGCGCATCAGCATCAGCGCATCAGCATCAGCGCATCAGCAGGCGCATCAGCATCAGCGCATCAGCATCAGCGCATCAGCAGCATGCATCAGCATCACATCATCGGCATCAGCATCAGCATCAGCATCATCATCAGCATCAGCATCAGCGCATCAGCATCAGCGCATCAGCATCAGCGCATCAGCATCAGCGCATCAGCATCAGCGCATCAGCATCAGCATCAGCGCATCAGCATCAGCATCAGCGCATCAGCATCAGCGCATCAGCATCAGCGCATCAGCATCAGCATCAGCGCATCAGCATCAGCGCATCAGCATCAGCGCATCAGCATCAGCGCATCAGCATCAGCGCATCAGCATCAGCAATCAGCACATTAGCATCAGCGCATCAGCACCTGCATCAGCGCATCAGCATCAGCATCAGCGCATCCTGATGCATCAGCGCATCAGCATCAGTGCATCAGCATCAGCGCATCAGCATCAGCGCATCAGCATCACCGCATCAGCATCA